TTTATTCTTGGTCTCAGTGTTTCAGTATACATTGAGAAATGTCAGAGAGCGTGACTGCATGATTGTTCACGAATATCCTCGCTGCGGCGTATCCTAATGAACAAACGAAGAAATGCACATCTAGACTATCGTGGTATCGACTCAATCCGTGCCTAGGCTGACATTGACCGTCTCCAGCAATCTATGAATTTACCTTAGTGTCTGTTTGACGCATCTTTATTCACCTTTCAATGATCGGCCAGTTGATCAATGATGACTAAAACATGTAACCGCCACATGTTCATTAAGAACTTCGGAAATCTCTCCCGTCACGTTTATCGTCATTCGTCACCACTCGGCCCTTTCCGTAACCTGTCCCGGAATAACACGAGTTGGTCACGAATAGTTTATCGTGTCGGCCATTTTGACGTCTTGTACTTGATGTAAATGTATTACGACGCGCTGTCATTGTGACTGACTTAATAAGGTAGTTCTTTACAGACCTTTCTCATCTAATAAGGATATGATTTGAACATATGTGCTGAGTCAGATGTTTCTGAAGAGCAAGTTGTGTATCCATACGCCCATGTCACCTCTCTTTTTGAGGAACTATTTTACTATATAGCTGGTGGTTGTACGGCTGTCAGTGTAAACATGAAGTCACACGTACTAAATAAAATTGTGTTTAGATTTTGGCCTACATGATTTGAGGTAAGAAATTGTGATAAAAAGTTTATAAGAATTGACTTTCACTTTGTGTGAGTTCATTGGAGTATGAACCTTCATAGAGTGAGGGCCAAACATTGTATGATCGTCGTCGCAAGCTCCGACGTTCATACAGTTTGGCCCTCACTCTATGAAGGTTCATACTCCAATGAACTCACACAAAGTGAAGGTCAATTCTTAATTGAACGATATCAGATCATCGATGTCCCTGAAGTTAAACTTCTTGGCCAAATTACCTTGTGTGATCGTCGCCAATCCGAGCAGAAAGTCCGACCGATTCATGTCAAGAAAGAAACGGCGGCATGGTATCTCAGTGGGCTAGCACTATAAATCGGATAGTACAAGCAGCCACACAAACACACACACGTACATGCACGTCGCTATATAAGTACAATAATCTTGGACGCGACGTTAAACCACATTTCACCTCACCTCAACTCTTCGTATCTTTTGGCCCATTGTTTTTGACATATGCTTCGACAGCATCCATAATGATCCCAATTGCTAGGAGGCTGCTCGCGATATTTTGGTCCATATCTGAATAACTGACGAAGGTTGTTATTGTCAACAGAGAGACGTCATCAGTGATCACATGACTTACAGGTTGGTTGAAGTGTGATGAGTCTTGTTATGTCTGGAGTGAAATATGCATTGGTGAACCCAGTGATGTGGTTATGTTTAGTGGTGTCTGGAGTGAAATGTGCATTGGTGAACCCAGTGATGTGGTTATGTTTAGTGGTGACTGGAGTGAAATATGCATTGGTGAACCCTGTCATGTGGTTATGTTTAGTGGTGTCTGGAGTGAAATGTGCATTGGTGAACCCAGTGATGTGGTTATGTTTAGTGGTGTCTGGAGTGAAATGTGCATTGGTGAACCCAGTGATGTGGTTATGTTTAGTGGTGTCTGGAGTGAAATGTGCATTGGTGAACCCAGTGATGTGGTTATGTTTAGTTGTGTCTGGAGTGAAATGTGCATTGGTGAACCCAGTGATGTGGTAATGTTTAGTTGTGTCTGGAGTGAAATGTGCATTGGTGAACCCAGTGATGTGGTTATGTTTAGTGGTGTCTGGAGTGAAATGTGCATTGGTGAACCCAGTGATGTGGTTAATGGGCATTGGTGACCCAAAAATATGAATGTGCATATGTTAATAAAATGTCCTTGCAAAATATGTTTAGCCAGCATTCCGCTTCACACAAGAGGTAGGAGGTACTTATGTATTGTTGCAATCAACCAAGGGATATGTTTAGTTTACCCTTATGACCAATGTGAGGACACTGAAGGAACAGGCGTTCTACCAGTCTGTTATGGCTTAAATATTGACAAGAGGCTGAAGTCTACATGATGCAGCGCATCGTTTAACAGAACAGTACCAGACGTAGCCCTCCCTGACAATATTGCGATGATCAACAGGATGTGTACGTTGTACATAACCAAATGGTGATTGCCATGATGAACCTATTTTCATGGATTCGGTGAAGAAATGATTCTTATTATCATGACCGCCTCCGTGGTCTAGTGGTAGATCGTCCGCCCGGAGAGAGGAAGGTCGGGGGTCAGATCCCCGGCCGCGTCATACCAAAAGACGTTAAAAGATGTTATTTGTTGTTACCATGTAAGGCGCTCGGCTCGGCATCACTCACACACACACACACACGCACGCACGCACGCACGCACGCACGCACGCACGCACGCACACACATCACTCACACACACGCACGCACGCATACACACGCGCACGCACACACACACACGTCGCAATAAAAGCGCAATAATCTTGGAGGCGACGTTAAACCCCATTTCACTTTACCTCTAATTATTTTGTACTGTAACGATTTTCAAAATATTATACGTACGAAGTTTTGCAATACACATAATTTTTAATGTGATTGCATATATTATAAAATTTGTCCAAAATAACCATTCATGTGAGTTAGACATGAACAGGTTGATAGCATCGTAGATAGCCTCATTGATAGCCTCGTTGATAGCCTCGTTGATAGCATCGTTGGTAGTATCACGATGCATATCGTGATCAAGTATAAAATCCCACGTGGAATAAAACAATGGCACGATGTTACATTGTTTGCCTTCTGTAGCATCCACCCTCAGGGGTGCAGCTTTGGAAGAGGATCTCTCCTTAAATCCATGTCCCACAAAAACGTCTATTGAAAGGTATTATGGAAGGCATATCCATAAGTGGATATTGTAAGCGGACGTTAAAAGATTGTACTTGTTGTTACCCTGTCTGGCCCTTGGCATTAAGGGGCTAAAACAAGGACTGGTCAGCTCGGAGTCAGTATACGGTGTCTGAGTGGGATATTCATGTTAAACTGGCATGGTATCTCAGTGTGCTAGCACTATAAATCGGCATCAGTCCGGACTAGTACAAGCAGCCACACACACACATATACACGTCGCTATATAAGTGCAATAATCTTGGACGCGACGTTAAACCCCATTTCACCTCACTTCTCTGGTACATTTAATCATTAAAAGCAAAAAACAACCAGAATGTTTTTATGAAAACAACAAAACCCTTTCCATAGACATTTCTGTTTACAGCTGAGTCGATTGTACGATTCCGACTGTATCATGAGCACGAATTTCAGATACGTTGGGAATTTGAGTGAGTTAGGTTTAAGGCCGCTTTCGACAGTATTCCAGTTATATCACGGCATGTCAGCTTGAGGTAGGGGAAACCTGATGTGAAGCGGCTCTCAGACGTTTACCACTTTGGTAAAACCAAGGAGTACGGGTATGGTGCTGAGAAACCCAGACACATAGTTGGGACGAACCGGGAATCGGAGCCACGATCATAGGTTTCTGGAGTGGCAAGGAACCCAACTCTGCACAGCGAATTGTGGTGCCCTAGCCTACTGGGCTACCTGTGCTCCCTTGTGAATTTGAAAACTACTTAAATAATTTACCTATAATCATAATCGGTTGGATTAAGAACACCGTAGAGGTGACTCGATGGACTGGTATTCCACAAATCTCATTGACCCGTGAAGATCCGGGGTAGAATAGGTCACCAGCAACCCATGCTTGCTGTAAAAGGCGACTGTGCTTGTGGTAAGGGGCGACTCACGGGATCGGGTGGTCAGGCTTGCTGACTTGGTTGAAGCATGTCATCGATCCCAAATGAGTGGATATCATGATATCAATCACTGCATTGTCTTGTCCAGACTCGGTTATTTACAAAGCGCCGTCATGCAGCTGGAATATTTCTGAGTGCGGCGTAAAACAACCAACAAATCTCATTAAAATGAAATCTTAGTTCTTGCTACTGCTAAACAAAGATCTGAGGGCATCCCATCACAGGTCACGTCAGAACGACCTTCCGCGAACTTTGACCCACCAATGAAATGACTAGCAAGAAGTCGACATCAGCCAATCAGAAAGCAGCTTTCTCGAGCATTACGGGACTGGTTTCAAACTGGCGACATCCATTACAAACTACGCTTTGAACAATATTTGACAAAATTCTCCATTCAAAATCTGGAAAATGAAAGCTGTGATCAGTGGCGTTCGGAATCACAACGAGCCCACTGGGCCAAGGTCAACAATTTCTGATGAAGGTCGCAGCATAAATTGAGCCTTTGCCTTGCTGGTTCTCACCCCAACCTCTGCCGAATGGGAGACCTGTGTTGAAGGTACCACTACCCAGCTTTGTGAAGGGGGCACCTTAGAAAACGTCAATACAGACAGCCCGATCTCGCCTCAGTCACGAACAAGAGGCAGACGTGTATTAATCAATATTTGGACATAGTGTCACATCTGACTGCATATTAGTTTCTGAATCAATGTTTGAATCAACGTCTGAATATGAATGTAGTTCATTGATTGCACATCCGAATATATCAGACATCGCATGTTTTAGTCTGAATTTCGGGCTGATGCATTATCCATGATATGAGGAAACAGACTACACCCGGCTTTTCTCTGAGCTTGACCATCGTGTCAATACTATACAACAAGGGGCCGGAATAGCGGGACGAGAGAGAGAGAGAGAGAGAGAGAGAGAGAGAGAGAGAGAGAGAGAGAGAGAGAGAGAGAGCTCTTGACCTCGTTTCACTCGTACTTGACAGTTCTTTAGGGACCAATTTTCATTTGTGTGTGTGGTGTGGTGTGGTTAGTGTGACGTGTGGTCTGTGGTGTGGTGTGGTGGTGTGTGTGTGTGAGAGAGAGAGAGAGAGCGAGAGAGAGAGAGAGAGAGAGCGAGATTACTATTGGATGTGAAACATATTTTATTACCCCTTTATCCACGCTCTTGACCTCGTTTCGTTACCCATATTCAGTTATAGATTTGTTATCGTGTGTGAGGTCATCGTTACCTCGGTATGTTACACGTGGCATCCGGCTGACACTGTGTCTTCCGCTGCATAACAGGAGGAGCCACCACAGCAAGCAAAACAGGTCGAGCTCGTCACAACCACCGCACAGGGCCAGTCAGTGATTGCCAGCGTCTATACTCAAGGTAAGTGCACATGTATGGCTTCTTGCAGTTTCTCCCGCCAACCATGCAGTAAAGGTTTTTCACTTATAAAGCCCCATATCCCCGAAGCTTTGGGATAAAGTAGGCCCCTAGTACCCTATGCTTGGCGTAAGAGGCGAAATATGAGTGAGTGAGTTGGGTTTAAACCGCTTTGAACAGTATTTCAGTAATATATGAGGCATGCAAATTTGACGCGGAAGGAAAGCCCAAAACGAAGGCATTATAATTAGACTTGCAACACGTTTGTTTGTTTGTTTGTTTGTTTGTTTGTTGTTTAACGCCGCACTCAACAATAATCCAACTATATGACGGCGGTCTGTAAATAATCGAGACTGGATCAAACAATCCAGGGATTGATCAACCAAGTGATTGACATCATGAGCATCGATCTAAGCAACTGGGAACCAACGACATGCATCAACCAAGTCAGCGAGCCTGACCACCCGATCCCCTTAGTCACCTCTCACGACAAGCATACTCACCAAGCATGGGCTGCTGAAGACCTATTGTACCCCAGATCTTCACGGGTATGTGACACGGTGGTGAAACCAGTGAGCGGAGGCGGGTGCTGACAAACCCAGCAATATTATCAGGATGAATCAGGGAGTCTAACCAACGAGCATATGTTTTTGTGCATGACTCTGCACAGCAAACTGCCTCGCTCACTTGTATTCGTTCTAAAATCTCAAGGTTTTGACCCCAAATTTCAGAGTTATGCATAATTATTGATTTTATTTACATGTCGAATATTTTGAAAAACATTCCATAAGTTAAATAATCGAATTTGTGTAAGGTTCTTAAATTTTGATTCAAGGCGCGTTTACCCCCTCTGTAACAACTACGGAGATCTTCCCAAAGAGCGGCAAGGTTGTTTTCGTTGTCTTCGTGTAAGATGCCCCCGATCACCCACGCCCTTTTCTTTAACTTGGCCTTTAGCTCCGATTATAAGTGGTTGGCGTTCCGTATTATCGAACTTGACACTTATCTGGTTTCTTCTTACCAAGTCTGTGAGCTCTCTCGATTACTCTACAGTTCAGCTTAATCATTGGTAAAACACTGCTTAACAACTCCATAGCTCTGAGAGTGTGGGTTTGAATCCCAGATGAGGCTCAACCCAAAAATGTACTAGAATTTGTACTTTACCAAGAAAGTGTTCTCCTAAATATGTTTATATTTTATATATATGACAGTGGCCTGTAAATAATCGAACTTTACACATCAGTGAGTGTTATTATGAGCAACGCCCCATGCCGTCAAGGACGATGGCACACAACCAAATAGACGCCAAGCCAGACCAACCCATCCACTATCTCTCTTCTTGCAACAAGTAGGTCACAAGGGATATATGGTAACTGGAACCCTTACTAGGACCGTTAACATGAAATGTTTGTTTACAGAGTTTCAAGATGTCCTACAAGGTTGAAACAGTTCTGAAGAACCCTGTGTCCACCATCGGCGAAGGTCCCCACTGGGACGACGCCACACAGACGTTGCTGTTCGTCGATATCATGAAGGGAGACGTTCACAGATACGACCCCGCCACTGGCAAAGATGACGTCATCAATCTAGGTGAGCTGACCGTTACCCATCCCGCATTTTTCAAACAAATATAACTCTTTCAGTTCTAGTGTCTTGAGAAAAAGTTAGTTTGCAAAATTCGTGTCAGTTCAGCTTCAGACGAACCAAATCGTCTGCAAAGGCAACATCTCTGCCAGTATTCTGAACATTGGTGTAACAATATCGGCTACTGCTGCAGTTTCCTTCACGATGCGTGCACATGTCGGTAGGGCAGCCCAGCGATTATAGCGTCCGCTCGTCTCGTCGTAGACCCAGGTCCGATTCCCCACATGGGTACAATGTGTGTAGCCTATTTCTGATTTGTTGTTTTCCCCGCCGTGATATTACTGGAATATTGCTTAAAGCGGAGTAAAACAATACACACTCTCACTCACTCCTTCAGGTTGTGTTAAAGCTTTCGCTTGTCACGTCGAAGACCCGGGTTCGATTTCCGACATGGGTACAATGCGTGAAGCCCATTTCTGGTGTCTCCCGCCGCGATATTGCTGGAATATTGCTAAAAGCGGCGTAAAACCATACTCACTCACTCACTCATTTACGTTGTCAATAACGCATGTCCCACGTTCTGCTGAACAACTGTTTTATCAGTGGTGACATGTGAAGGAACATATAAGAACCTCTTTGAACACTTAACTTGACTTTGCATGTGTTTGTGACGAGTGCCACCGGTGGGGCAGGATACGCTCCAGACGATTCGCGAACACCTTGTTTCATCACTATTTGATAGTGATTCATAAACACATGCTCACATTTAGAATCGTACATTTGGATTGTGAATGTTTGAATATGGATTGGGCTTAACGCTTTTATTTAGAATATAACAAGGAAAACACCGTGAAAGAGATTTCAGTGCATGGGACCATCATGATCGCTGACGTCTCGGCCGAAATTTTGTTGATGTATCAATAAGCTTCACATTCTAATAGTAATAGTTTATTTATTTCATTTTATTTTTAATTTATGCAAATATTCGCATTCTAGATATGATAGCCGTTGTGCATTAATGGAACATTTCCTTCGCATGTTTTATTCATTAGATGATCAAGCGGAATGGCCACTTTTCGTTCCAATAGTCTTTGACTACATTCCATGTCATTCCGAGCACTTCCTGGTACGAAGTGGAAATAATCTTTTTCATTCTACATGGGTCCTACTCCACAGACGACGTTGTGGGGTTCGTTGTTCCTCGCAGCAAGGGAGGACTGGTCGTGGGGCTCGGTCTGGCGTTCGCAACATTGGACTGGGAGACGAAGACGGTGACTACACTGGCGGAAACAGACCCTGGAACAAAGAACCACAGGCTAAACGACGGGAAGTGTGATCCTAGAGGGAGGGTGTGGGGAGGTGAGTAGACCCTGGACCACAGGCCAACACGGGAGAAGTATGACCCAGGGGGGATGACATCATGAGATCCTTTAACAACCAGCCACAGGCTACACGACTGATAGTGAGACCCTAGGTGAAGGTGTGTGTTGGTGTGTGAGAGTGAGAAGACCCTGGAACACTCAACCACAGGCTAAACGACGGGAAGTATGACCCCAGGGGGAGAAAATAATTATAATAATCCTATAATTAACAACCACAGACTTCACGACATTGCGGACTTTAGTTGTGTCGGACTTTGGCCTGTAAGCCTAATTCAACAAGTAGATTCTTACATTTGTCTCCCGTGCATGTCATGGTGGGCATAGTATGGGTATGCCATTCCCTCCATGGCGACGTCGCATGTTTCATGTCGCTCCGGTTGTTTCCAGGAACCATGGACAAGGAGTTCGCCCCAAAGGAAGGTAATCTGTATTGCCTGGACACAGATGGCACTCTGAGCAAGCAGGATGAGAACATGACCATTTCTAATGGCATGGCGTGGTCTCCAGACAACAAGACCATGTACTTCAACGACACCACGCCTCGGGAAATCTACGCCTACGACTTCGATATCGAAACAGGCAAACTGTGTACGTATTATAACATCAATACATGGTATATAATGTAGGTACCACGATACTAACTCGGGCAATACATATTATTACCATGACATCGACACAGGACAAACACTATGACATTGAAACAGGGGCATGGCAGAGTCTATACCACATGGATTAGTCAAGGACATGATACATTCAATATCACATGAATTCGTAAGGACATCGCAGTCTATAACAAATGTATTAGTCCGGAACATCACAGTATATAGCACATGGATTAGTCAAGGACATGATACATTCAATATCACATGAATTCGTAAGGACATCGCAGTCTATAACAAATGTATTAGTCCGGAACATCATAGTATATAGCACATGGATTAGTCAAGGACATGATACATTCAATATCACATGAATTCGTAAGGGACATCGCAGTCTATAACAAATGTATTAGTCCGGAACATCACAGTATATAGCACATGGATTAGTCAAGGACATGATACATTCAATATCACATGAATTCGTAAGGGACATCGCAGTCTATAACAAATGTATTAGTCCGGAACATCACAGTATATAGCACATGGATTAGTCAAGGACATGATACATTCAATATCACATGAATTCGTAAGGGACATCGCAGTCTATAACAAATGTATTAGTCCGGAACATCACAGTATATAGCACATGGATTAGTCAAGGACATGATACATTCAATATCACATGAATTCGTAAGGGACATCGCAGTCTATAACAAATGTATTAGTCCGGAACATCACAGTATATAGCACATGGATTAGTCAAGGACATGATACATTCAATATCACATGAATTCGTAAGGGACATCGCAGTCTATAACAAATGTATTAGTCCGGAACATCACAGTATATAGCACATGGATTAGTCAAGGACATGATACATTCAATATCACATGAATTCGTAAGGGACATCGCAGTCTTTAACAAATGTATAAGTCCGGAACATCACAGTATATAGCACATGGATTAGTAAGGGACACCACAGTCTATAACACGTGGATTAGTCATGTACAGTAGATAGCACGTGGACTCTGAGGCTAAATACTATTATCATATATACTTCTCATGTGAGAATAACGAGATCGGATTGGTCCACGTGATCTTGATAAAATACTATATATATTTCTGAGAGGAACAATAAATCCCTTATATCTCGCCACGAAGAAAACAGGCTGCACGTGGATTTCTCAGCGGGAGAATACATCCCTTCTACCCCGTTTCGAAGTAAAAGGCCACACTCTTTGAAAGTCACGTGACATAATACAAATTAGCCTCAGCTCAATCGAACAGCTGTTTTCTATGAATTTGAATTAATTTTATTTCTTTAACAATAGCAGATCACAACATGGAGGTAAGATAAATTCGTTGTAGCAGGATCACTTGGCGTACATGTACCCCTCGTGATCCTGCTACAACTTGTAGTATACCCCTTTAACAGCATGAGGGGCACGGGTGGCCCAGTCGTCTAAGGCGCCGCAATTCGCTGTGCAGAGTTGCGTCCCTTGGGCACGCCAGAAACCTATGATTGTGGGTTCGAATCCCGGTTCGCCCCGATTATGTTTCTAGGTTTGTCAGCACTATACCCGTGCTCGTGGGTTTCACCAAAGTGGTAAACGTCTGAGACCTGCATCACTTCGGGCTTTCCTCCCACATTAAGCTGACACGCCGTGATATAACTGGAATACTGTTAAAAGCGGCGTTAAACCCAACTCACTCACTCACTCACTCACTTTAATAGCATGCAATAATAATTATGGTACAAGAACATATTATGCATTCCAGCAAATCGTCGAGTGCTGGTTAATTACAACGATATCCCCGAACTGAGCGGAAAAGAAGTATTTGGCCCTGATGGCATGACAATTGACACCGAGGGCAATCTATGGGTGGCCTGTTTTAATGCCGGGTGTGTGGCCAAAATTGACTCGAAAACAGGTGGGTAATAAATAATCCAATCTCCTCCCTGACATAACAGGTCTACAGAAAGTGTGTGTTTATCAATAGTACTGTGAGTGGTTAATAGCGGTGGCAGCATCAGATGTGACGCAATATATTTTGAGTGAGTGAGTGAGCATTGTTTTACGCCGCTTTACTCCAATAATATCAAGGCTGGGAGATACCGGAAATATGCAATGCACGTGGGGAAATGAACCTGCGCCCTTGGCGTAACGAGCGAAAACTTTAACCACTCGGCTACCCAACAGCCCCATCACATAGTGAATCATCATCACAAATCCGTGGAACGACGTTGCTACTGGCATACGATGGTGTGCGTGCTCCAGTTCTAATCTTTTTTGTAGACCACTATGAAATAGTTCATATGCCGGTGGCAATTTACGTTAGGTTGACATGTGCTGTTGACGTTCACTCGAAGCCGCCATGACATTCTGTTGACACAACATGTTTAGAGACGAGGCGATGTTGAAATAATTATTGGATTCGTGGCCGTCGTTTATTTGTTGATATACTGCCAACACCGATGGCCACCGAGAAATACTCAATTTACTGAAACGCCCCAGAAATACTTGATATATTATTGACGTAAAAAGGTTAATATCCTCATTCGGGTGCGTGGGTGGCCCAGTCGTCTAAGGCGCTGCAATTCGCTATGCAGAGTTGCGTCCCTTGGGCACGCCAGAAACCTATGATTGTGGATTCGAATCCCGGTTCGCCCCGATTTTGTTTCCAGGTTTGTCAGCACCATACCCGTGTTCGTGGGTTTCACCGGAGTGGTAAACGTCTAAGACCTGAATCACTTCGGGCTTTCCTCCCACATTAAGCTGACACGCCGTGATATAACTGGAATACTGTTAAAAGCGGCGTTAAACCCATATATCCTCATTCATGCTGAGAAACATGTATTGAAAAACGTTTGTTCTTTTAGCTCTGCATGCTAAAACTTGTGTTTGTGTTCTGGTCTGTACCTGTAAATGTCTGTTGTGTTTATATTATTTTAATTATTGTTATAGTCCGGTTCTATCCTTTTTATTTGAATAAATGTCGTAGAGTAACAAACCTCACATCACATCACATCATACCACCTCATCTCACCTCACGTCCCTAGGAACACGGGTGTCCCAGTCGTCTAAGGCGCCGCAATTTGCTGTGTAGCGTTGCGTCGTCCCTTGGGTTCGCCAGAAACCCTTGATCGTGGTTTCGAATCCAGGTATGCCAAATATGCTTCTCGGTCTGTCAGCAAGTGGTTTTGACCAAAGTGGTAAACGTCTGAGCACTTAGCGCATTCCCCCCAAAGTAGGCTGAAAAACCGTGATAGATCTGGAATACCATTCAAAGCTGTGCTAAACCAACTCACTCACTCACCCTAATATCCACACTGTATTTAGCGTGTTTATTTCATTCAAAAGCGGTCAGTAAAAGTCCAAATGTATTATCTCATGTCATTTCAGGAAAATTATTACAGAGAGTTGAAATCCCCAATGCAACCAGAATCACCTCTGTGTGTTGGGGCGGCAAGGACCGAGATGAGCTCTACGTCACCAGTCTAAAAATGCAGCCAAACACGAATTTCACCGTCAGAGACACGCTTGATGGAGCTCTGTTCAGAGTTACCGGCCTTGGGGCACGTGGTGCGCCAGCAACTATTTATCAAGGTTGAACTTGCTAATGGGCCTTTACACAGGATGGCGACCTTTGTGCCTCCAGTGTACGACCATATCATTTGCCAGGTCGTCTTTGGGGGCTCAAAAGAGGCAGAATGGTTGCCTAGGTCGTTCAAAGGTGGTACACAGGAGGTTCAGACATCGCCATGGACGCCATGGTCGCCGTGAAGTTTTGAACATGTTCAAAACAGTCGCACAAAGGTCGCCGAGGAGGCTGGTTGGTCAAAGGTGGCTCAAAGGAGGCAGATGGGGGGCACAAGCATTGCCGTTGTTGCAGAATGAAGGCACAGTGGTCGCCCAATGGTTGCCTGGTAATAGATGCGTTCTGCTGCAAATTTTCCCGTCAATCTGGGCGATGCTTCTGCCTCCCTTGTGCCTCCTTTGGGCGACCAACAGCGTGCATTGAATGATGACTGTGGCGACCGCCGTGCCTCCATTCGGCAACCACGGCAACCCTTGACACACCATGGCAATGCTTCTGCCTTTTTTCTGCCTCCCTTGAGCCCTTGTGCCTCCTCAGCATGCCTATAAATAGAGGGCGTGTACCTGCAGTGTATCATTGTGGTTGCAGACGCTGAACGAATCGAGCAGTTACTGCTGAACAACTGCTGGAGCAGTTACATAGAAACATGATTTTCTGGCGTCCTGGCCAGTTTTTGATCGCTGTAAAGGGGCCTTAAAATTAGATAGAGACTGTGACTCTGTGCGTGCACATAGTGTGCAGTGTGGTATGGCTCGGCCTAATTTTACCTACTTATTGTATATCGTTTTTTCGATACTTTTTTAAGAATAAAATTGTATATTCCTGGACATGATAGATTTGTATTGTCTTCATCGTCGGCGTCACCCATTCCCCTTCTGGCATAACAGAGTTTATGACATTTTTACTTACACAACTCAACATGCTAGCATCATAAGTATACACGAAAACACTTACATGCTGGGCCAGTTTATACAAGGCGCCGCAGACATGTTGGTTGGGGGTTCGAATCCTACATCATAACTGCATGACAAGATTTATGATGCAGGTAAAATTGGTGAAGGTAAAATTGGTGAGATTATAGGTCTAATTGTTGAGATCATAGGTAAAATTGGTGAGATTATAGGTAAAATTATGCACGACCGGACGACAGACAATGGGTAAACAGTTCACATGTACATGCGAATGGTATGGAGAAAATCTAAACTTCAAAATAACAAACAAAAAAGTCAAACATCGTGGATTTTATTACATATGACACTTTACTACATCACACGGTGAGGAATACTTAATATTTTACCTTCGCACAAGATATGTATTGCTCAAGGTGTATTTTTCATAAACAGAAAACATATCTCCACCTTCAAATCGCCATCCCTGTTGCAAATTGAATTCAAATCCTCGCACTTCTTGCAGTAAGGGTTCCACGCATTACGACATAATTAACACTACAATTTTAAGGAGAAATGAAACAGCGCACCAACAAATTTCAGCATAACAACAGACATAACTGGCATTGTTTGTTTGTTTGTTTGTTTGTTTGTTGTTTAACGCGGCACTCAGCAATATTCCATCTATATGACGGCAGTCTGTAAATAATCGAGTCTGGACCAGACAATCCAGTGATTGACATCATGAGCATCGATCCACGCAATTGGGATACGATGACATGCATCAACCAAATCAGCGAGTCTGACCACCCGATCCCGTTAGTCGCCTTTTACGACAAGCATAGTCGTCTTTTACAGCAAGCATAGGTTGCTGGAGACCTACTCTACCTCGGATCTTCACATGTCCATATTGTATTATGAATAAAGTATTGTCATCCATGTCATAGTACAGGTGCTTGACGTTATGTGGTCGGTGGAGCAACCTTGTGCTTATTGGCAGGATTGGTACAGTATTAAAGTGACGCAGTGTGTGACGTCATACGACGAGTGATTGATATTTTCTGAGCCTCACATAGAAAGGTGAGGTGAGGTGAAATTGGGTTTAACGTCGCGTCCAAGATTATTACACTTATATAGCGACGTGCATGCACGTGTATGTGTGTGTGTGGCTGCTTGAACTAGTCCGGACTGATGCCGATTTATAGTGCTAGCTCACTGAGATACAATGCCGCAGTTTAACATGAATACCCCACTCAGACACAGTATACTGACTCCGAGCCGACCAGTCCTTGTCTTAGCCCCTTAATGCCGAGCGCCAGACAGGGTAACAGCAAGTACAATCTTTTAACGTCTTTTTGTATGACGCGGCCCGGGATCGAACCCTGGACCTTCCGCTCGCCGGGCGGACGCTCTACCACTAGACCACGGAGGCGGTCCTCACATAGAAAGTTCAACAGGTTATGCTTCGTTTATGGTCTCGCCTTTTGGAAGATAGTATAACAATTAATAAATGAATAATAAATAATAAATAAATAAAATAAGTGTATTTATATTATAACTATGAAGACACTAAGTGTCTGCAAATTGATATTAAATATTTTACGTACACACAAGGAATAGGAAGGGAAATCTAGCAGTGAAAATGTTTTTGGAAGAGGAAAGTCTTTAAGTGGGATTTGAGTGTTGGCAAGAGCCGAATATCATGTGACAGGGAGTTCCACAGAACTGGAGCAGCGTAACTGAATGAACGGCAGCCGAATGATTTTAGGTGCGATTTCAGTGTTCACGGGAGATCGACATCAGCAGATTTTGACGATATTGCGAGAGACACCCCCGGCATCCCAGAACACGTAGGCCATTACCTTCTAGTAGATGGGACAGTTTGGTGGCGGCGATGTCAGACGTTTTCACTGTTTCGATTGATGTTTGGTCTCAGACTCGAAGTGGTGAACTCTGGTTTCATCCATGGTGTCATGCAAAAAACTTTCTGGCTGAGCTTCAATCAGAGCTAGATTATCACGGGACATGCTGTGCCTGGTGCTTTTATATCAGATGTTAGAAGCTGTTGAACATAACGAGCTGATACTGTCTTCATTGCCAAAGTTTCTGGGATAATGGTATGTAATTTCATGTTTGATTTCATTTTTAGCCACCATCAACATATAGGTGTAAACTTGTCCGGCAGTTTATGTATGAAATCATCAGGCTCCGATTTCTGGAAACTGAAAAGTTTCTTTCGAGAAATCGCGGCCTGGTCCCCGTTCCACAAGGCCATCTTAGCGCTGAGGTGATCGTCACTTGCATTACAATAACACTGGTTTACGATAGTGGGACGGTGTCCAAGAAACTAAAATACAGAAAGTTTGCATCTGGCTAATCTGAACATTCTGAAACTGGCGAATTATATGTACATATCAACACTAATCTGTCGATCTCAGATGGTGTTTGACGTGGCTCGTGATAATAACTCCTGCATATTATTCAGTGACATGCGTCTAAAGTTAATGATCCATGTTGATATAACACACACACACACACACACACACACACACACACACACACACACACACACACACATCGTTATTGATAGTTACAGTTCATTATATCTGATGATCACGCGGAAAGTCACTGGCGCCACCTGGCGGTGAGAAGTGCACGTACATTGGCCGGAGTGAGCGTTGTGATGGTGTTCAGATAAGATTGGACAAGCAGAAGCACAACATGGCGGCGGTAACTCTCTCCCTCGTTCTTCTTGCGCTGGCAACGACAGGTAAATAATCACAAGGATACTATATGCAGGAATTCTTTTTTGTCCTTTTATGTGTGAGAGTGCTCGGGACTTTTAAAATACGAGGCGAGGTGGATGTGGCGAACTGGGGTTTAACGCCGTGTTCAAGATGATTGCACTGAAATATAGTTACATAAATACGGTAGAGGCAATGCTATTGACGATTTCCTCTTATCATATAGCAAATCAGTGCTCTTGCTTGTCTATGCGCGATGCTGTGGTAGATTAAGTCTAGATTTTAAATGAGTATTCAGTTTCGGTAACTGCTTTCTTGCTTCGTTTGTTGTTGTTTTTGGGGGGGGGGGGTTTGTTTGACGCCACACTCAGCAATATTCCAGACATGTTATGACGGTGGTGTAACGTTATTGTGTCAACTAGTATCTATTCCTGAAGGAAACTGTTCCTTTGTTCTATATTCCCCCAGGGAACAGTTTTTGCTAGAAAATGTTTTCCACAATACAATAACACTAGCAATATTTGTTTCGAATGAAACTAATTTCACGTAGAACTCACCATCATTGAAAATTGAAGCACAGCGGTACTTGTAACACATGATGGCATCAGGGCAAGACACACTGTAGATATTAGGAACTGCATAGAAGTCCAAGACTGCATGGAAGTCCTAGACATGGTCGACCCGTGAAGATCCGGGGTAGCATAGATCTTCAGCAACCCATGCTTGCTGTTAAAGGCGACTATGCTTGTCGTAAAGAGGCGACTAATGGGATCGGGTGGTCAGGCTCGCTGACTTGGTTGAAGCATGTCATTGATGCCAATTGCGTGGATCGATGCTCATGATATCAATCACTGGATTGTCTTGTCCAGACTCGATTAATTACAGACCGCCGTCATATAGCTAAAGTATTGCTGGGTGCGGCGGTAAACAACAAACAAACATTACATTAATAATCAATAATTACTTAACAATACCTCAGTGACTAAGTCTGCTACAGGGACAGTTCGTTAAATGAACTACTTTCAAGTGGTGATGATATAGATGGGAATGGCAGGAATGCATTGATAAAAAAAACAGTCATCAGAGCTGTTTGATATCCAACACGTAGGCATTTCTTTCCTTCATATTGTGACAATGAGGGGATTTAAGTAAGTATACCAGGGCGATCCCCAAAACATCGACAAGGAGGGAGGAATAAAGGGTTGACAGTTATCGGCCCAAGCCGCCATGGTTCGAATTTCTGTTTCAAAACCAGACCCAGCACTGGTAACTGCCACGAATCAGGTGACATATTGCCGACTTGTTCATCTTTGACCATTTCCCCTTCAGGGTGCCTGGCGGCAGACGACACACTGCGTTTCATCGTGATCGGCGACAATGGAGGGGCTGACACATTCCCCTACACCACCCCGCTCGAGCTTGGCACGGCCGACCGTATGGCCATGTGGGCCAAGAAGGTGGGCGGCATCCACTTCGTCATGGAACTCGGCGACAACTTCTACGACTACGGCATTAAAGACGTGGAGGACGCGCGGTTTCAAGTAAGACACGGAGATAGAAAAGTGGACGGTTTGGGGGGTTACCGATTTGTACTGCTGCAGTATCTCAATCTGTATATATGATTACGCTTTGTGTGAAATACTATTTTGTAATGTCCTGTACTCTCTAAATAACCGGGGGTACGGGTGGCCTAGTCGTCTAAGGCGCCGCAATTCGCTGTGCAGAGTTGCGTCCCTTGGGCACGCCAGAAACCTATGATTGTGGGTTCGAATCCCGGTTCGCCCCGATTATGTTTCTAGGATTGTCAGCACCATACCCGTGCTCGTGGGTTTCACCAAAGTGGTACACGTCTGAGATCTGCATCACTTCGAGCTTTCCTCCCACATTAAGCTGACACACCGTGATATAACTGGAATACTGTTAAAAGCGGTGTTAAACCCAACTCACTCACTCTAAATAATCGCACTGACTGAAAAATGCTCAAATATTCGACTCGATTATTAAGAATAGAATGAAGCTGTGACCAAAAACAACACTCACTCGCTATCTGTTTCACATAAATGTCTCCAGGAAGAAACTCAAACCACACCAGTAGCGAACCCTCTGACAAATATCGCCAGGGAAATTATTTCACGAAACATCTGTCACGGTCGGAAACGTAATGTGGCGTGTTTGCCATCATGTGTTAAATTCTCTACGTGTTATAAGCCATCTTCCCGAGGCAAGGGAGTGTGGCCTTGACTGTGGCCAGTTAACTCCCTTGTTTTGGGGAGATGGTTAAAAGCGCATCTGTGATATTCTCCGACATTGCATGATTTAGCTGCTGTAAGAACAAAAACAAAACCCATTCACTTATCTGCTTCCTGTTCCCCAAGAACACCTTCGAGGACGTGTACACAGCCCCATCCCTGCAGGTGCCGTGGTACATCGTGGCCGGCAACCACGACCATCGCGGCAACGTCTCCGCCGAGATCATGTACACCAAGATGTCAAATAAATGGTACGTCACGTCAGTGAGTGAGTGAGTTTGGGTTTGCGCCGCGTTTAGCAATATTTCATCAATGTCAGGACGGGGTCCTAGGGGAATCGTACTCAGGTATTCGGCGTGACGAGCGAACGCTTTAACCACTGGGCTACTTTACCGCCCCACATGACGTCAGTGAGTGAGTTGGGGTTTACGCCGGGTTTAGCAATATTTCATCAATATCACGACGGGGTCCTAGGGGAATCGAACTCAGGTGTTCTGCGTGACAACGAACGCTTTAACCACTGGGCTACTTCACCGCCCCACGTCACGTCCGAGTCTATAAAAAGGACTTACAGCGTTGCTTCAATTCTTTAGCAGGTATTTGTCTGAGCTAATCCTTGTCAGTGACAGGGGACTGTGTGAGGGTGGCCGCCGCTTTGAACACTATTTCAGTTATAACAGGGCGTGACCCCGTGATGAGGTAGTGAAGCCCTAGTGATGTAGGACGTTTGCGCCTTTGGTGAAACCAACGACCACGGGTATGTTACTGATAAAGTAGGGATCATAATCAGGTCGAATTTTGGGATTCGAACCCACCATTGTAAGATTCTGGCACGTCACGCATTAGACGACAGGGCAACCCGCTCCCTCTTGGGATTAAAGCTTTTGGCGAACAACATCATGGTTAACTTTCCCCGTGTTTCCCGATGTGACTTTAATATAGTCAATATTGCAAACTGACATAAACCCCTCGCATGTTGTCCCCCACAGGCGGTTCCCCGACTTCTACTACCCCCTGAGCTTCAACATCCCCAACAGCAACGCCACCATCGACTTCGTCATGATCGACACCGTGGTGCTCTGCGGCCAGGCCGACGACGTCATACTTCATCCGGAAGGACCCGAGGACGTCAAGGCCGCTGCCTCTCAGTGGGTCTGGATTGACGAACAGCTGCGTTCCAGCAAGTATGTCACGTGTAGAGGAACATCCTCCGTTAGCCGGAATATGCTATGCCCATTTTCGTATCAAATACCCTGACCTATTCGCTGACGTTGTTTCTATTTTGGGAGTGAAGTCCCAATGTCCATCTATCTTATCAGTAGCTTATCACAGAGTATCTTGGATGAGTGTTATTTGAGTGAATGGTTATATTAAGTGTCTTGTCGTTCCATCAACACGAGGTGAGGTGAGGTGAGGTGAGATGGGCCTAAACCTCATGCTCAAGAACATTGCACTTCAACAGCGAGGTGCAATGTGCGTGGCTGCTTGTACTAGTCCAGACTAAGGCCGGTTTTATAGCGCAATCGCCTTTAGATCCCATGCCCCAGTTTAACATAGACACACCACTCAGACACAGTATACAGACGAGTCTTTGATTTATCCGTTTAATGCCGAGCGCCAGGCGGGGAAAGAAAGTATCGTCTGACCCGTGAAGATCTGGGGTGGAATAGGTCTTCAGCAACCAATTCTTGTCGTAAAAATACATCTATGCATGTCGTAAGAGGCGACTAACGGGATCGGGTGGTCAGGCTCACGGACTTGGTTGATGCATGTCATCAATCCCATTTGCGCGGATCGATGCTCATGATGTCAATCACTGGATTGTCTGGTCCTGACTCGATTATTTACAGACCTCCGTCATATAGCTTGAATATTGCTGAGTGCGGCAGTAAACAACAAACAAACAAACTGCAAACGTCTTTTGATATGACGCGGCCGGGGATCGAACCACCGATCCTCCGCTCTCCGAACAGACGCTCTCTATCAACAAGTCCACAGAGGCGGTCTGACTCAGTACCAGGGCGCTGGGGATGGAGTAGATGGGGTGGGAGTCAGCTGCAGCTTCTGATACTGTAGGCATGTCACTGGGTAAGAGAGTCAGTACAATGACCCGGGCTACAGTGGAGGACTAGATCAAGGACACTGGGGCAAGATAGCAGGTCTGATAGCAAGGACACTGATATCGGAGCTGGAACGCAGGTGTACTATCAAGGACAACTGGAGTGAGATAGCAGGAAGAAGAATGCGGTCTGATAACACTGGGGACCAAATCCAAAGCTGAATTGGTCACAACTATCCAAACTGTGTCTCTTTTTGGAGATTCCGGGGAAGAATTGTTTCCAGTATCCACTCAACACATGCCAGATTTGGGATAACACCTTCTGAACACTCCCTGATTGGACGCAACCCTAAAAGTACTAGAATTTGTACTTTACTAAGAAAGTGGTATCCTACATATAAGATTTGTTACATTTGACCACATGGGTAGGGAACAGGTCTTTAGCAACCAATGCTTGCCGTAAGACGCGACTAACGGGATAGGGTGGTCAGGCTCGCTGACTTGGGAGATGCATGTCATCGATCCCAATTGCGTGGATTGATGCTGATATTGTTTATCACTGGATTGCTTTGTCCCGACTCGATTATTTACTGGCCGCCGCCATATAGCTGTATTATTGCTGAATGCGGCGTTTAACAGCAAAAAACAACAACTGCATGCTGGCCATTACCCGTTTTTCTCTGTTACAGATCCACCTATCTGTTCACTGCTGGTCACTATCCGGTTTTCTCTATGTTACAGATCCACCTATCTGTTCACTGCTGGCCACTACCCGGTTTGCTCTGTTACAGAGCCACCTATCTGTTCACTGCTGGCCACTATCCGGTTTTCTCTGTTACAGATCCACCTGTCTGTTCACTTCTGGCCACTATCCGGTTTTCTCTGTTACAGATCCACCTGTCTGTTCACTGATGGCCACTATCCGGTTTTCTCTGTTACAGAGCCACCTGTCTGTTCACTGATGGCCACTATCCGGTTTTCTGTTACAGAGCCACGTATCTGTTCACTGCTGGCCACTATCCGATTTTCTCTGTTACAGAGCCACCTATCTGTTCACTGCTGGCCACTACCCGTTTTTTCTATGTTACAGAGCCACCTATCTGTTCACTGCTGGCCACTACCCGTTTTCTCTATGTTACAGAGCCACCTATCTGTTCACTGCTAGGCCACTACCCGTTTTCTCTATGTTACAGAGCTACCTATCTGTTCACTGCTGGCCACTACCCGGTTTTCTCGGTTACAGAGCTACCTATCTGTTCACTGCTGGCCACTATCCGATTTTCTCTGTTACAGATACACCTATCTGTTCACTGCTGGCCATTATCCGGGTTTCTCTATGTTACAGAGGGGCGGGCAGGTAGCCTAGTGGTTAAAGCGTTCGCTCGTCACGCCGAAGACCCGGCTTCGATTCCCGACATGGGTACAACGTTTGAAGCCCATTTCTGGTGTCCCCCGCCGTGATATTGCTGGAATATTGCTAAAAGCGGCGTAAAACCATACTGACTCACTCACTATGTTACAGAGCCACCTATCTGTTCACTGCTGGCCATTATCCGATATTCTCTATGTTACAGAGCTACCTATCTCTTTACTGCTGGCCACTACCCGGTTTTGTCCATCGCCGAGCACGGCCCTACCCTGGCGTTGGTGTCAATGCTGCAGCCCCTACTCTACAAGCACCGAGCCAGCGGCCACATGTGTGGGCATGACCACAACCTCCAGGTGTGATGCACTGACTAGGACACATAGAAATAGGCAGTGCCAATACCGGGGCATATATCCTCCATATATTTTTAACAGTATTCAACGCCGCGCAATCTAAGTGAGTCAGTTGGGTTGAGTTGGGTTTAACGCTGCTTTGAACAGTATTCCAAGTAAATTCACGGCGTGTCAGCTTAATGTCTAAGGAGAGCCTAAAGTGATGCAGGTCTCAGACGTTTACCGCTTTGATGAAACCCTTGAGCACGGGTATGGTGCTGACAAACCTAGGCACATAAATGGGATGAACCGGAATTCGAACCCACGATCATAGGTTTCTGGTGTCCCCAAGGGATGCAACTCTGCACCGCGAATTGCTGCGCCTTAGCCGACTAGGCCACTCGTGTCCCCTTTAAATGTAGGGGAGATAATACAGGTTTGAAGTATGACGCTAAAAGGAATAGGGACGTGGCTCAGGAACTGGCTGAACTGTTTGAAGAGCTAACAGTAAAATATTCTTTCACGCCAGTTCCAGACCAAGCGCCTCTCAGTTGCAAAATGAAGCCAGGCATTATTTAACGCCAGTTCCTGACCACGCCCCGCTCTGGTCATAAAGTTTGAAATGTACGCCAGTTGTGAGATAATAAACTCGTTGACTTGGTCCTGACCTGATGTTCCTCCATCGCAGCACCTGCAGCAGACGAAGGACGGTGTGACCTTGGACTTCATCCTGTCTGGGTGTGCCGACAAGATGGACACGAGCGAGGCTCACAAGACCAGCGTTCCCGAGGGAACATCCAAGTTCCACTGGGCCGACCCCACCAGCAAGGGAGGGTTTGTGTACGTGGAGGCGTCAGCGTCCAAGATGGTGTCCACCTACATTACCGCCGAGGGCGACATCCTCTACAGCACTACTACGTACCCTAGGGAGCTGAACTAAATAGTTCGTGAACATGTAAATATCTGGCAGTGGGATAAAACACATTAAACGCAACATTGTCTTGGGCCTTTTTCATTACTTGTTTAATGAAGTTTCGATACGTATTTAGACGTAGAATCTTTTAAAGTATACTCGTATATACTACGTGACATCAGTTATTCGTTTATCCGGATTAACGGGAGTTCATTGGAGATGTGACACATTGTGGGTTGCGGGAAGCCTGGTAATTGGTAGAAAAGCACTGACACATCCTGGAGAAATACTTAAAAGACTGCCATTATTTAATTCTCCATCAATGTGTCAATAACTTACACACCTCGTTCAAAATACTCCAACCATAGCACCCATGAAGATCCGGGTAAGACTAGGTCTTCAGTACCATGTTTGCCATAAAAGGCGACTATGCTTGTCGTAAGAGGCGACTAACGTCACTATGATGCTTATTATGGTAATGGCATAGGTCGATGCTGATGATGTCAATCACTGGATTGTCTGGTCCAACCAGATGATTTACAGATCGCTGTCGTATAGCTGGAATATATATTACTGAGTTTAGACAAAACAAACAAAACTCCAGCGATAGCATGGCAGAAGAAATGGCTTCACATATTGTTCCTGGTGGGGACATCGTATCCAGGCTTCAGCTTCAAGGTGTCGCTTTACCCACAAGGCTACCCCACCCTCCTAAGAATATTAGAAAGATTGCAAATCAGGAGACCCACATGAATATGTTGTGATCTCTATATTATCAACAGTTTGTGATCAATCTTCAACATGAGTCACCTTTCTATAGTAGACGAACAAAACCTGTGCATGAAAATTATGGAACATGCATTAGTCAATGTTCACGATCTCCCAAAGGTTCCCTCAGTGCTGGTATATCAGTGATACATGAGTTCGATTGGGACAGTGCATGTGTTTTTACACCATCACAGTAGTCATAACACAGAGGCTCAAGTTTCATTAAAAATTTAACAAGTTCACACCTAAGTTGACGGAGTCATTCTGTTTTCATGATATTCATACAAACAATGTAACAACCACAGCTGATCTATGACGCCTGGTGCTTGCCTCGTCGGGACCACTTGAGGGTGTAAGATCTCGTCACACACCTTAAGTTGCAATGGATATAAAAACATATCCGGTATATTATTGTTTGTTGTTTAACGCCGCACTGAGCTTTCTATGACGGCGGTCTGTAAATAATCGAGTCTGGACCAGACAATCCAGTGACTGAGATCGATTACATACATCCACCAAGTCAGCGAGCCTGACCACCCGATCTCGTTAGTCGCCTCTTACGACAAGCATAGTCGCCTTTAATGGCAAGCATGGGTTGTTGAAGACCTATTCTACCCAGGATCTTCACGGTCTCCGGTATATTAAACGCCGTCACGTATTGAAATCATGAGCAACTATCCATGTTATCATAATCAACCATCAGCAACATATTTTCACCAGAAAACCCATCCCACATTGTAAATAGTGTTTTAACACTGTTCACTTGGTGAATCTGGTCCTAATGTCCAATCTGCAAACTGTAACCTGAAGTACAGACCAGTTGATAGCTGAACACACAACTCCAAGCTTGGCCTAGAACTGTACACCCACATACAAATTAATGACCCTTGTCACCCTGGCGCATGTAACTCTCCATTGAAAACAAACACTTTGCATCTGATCCGATGTATTTATTTGGGGTAAAATGTCACTGTGATTAAGACAACTAAGACAAATGCATATATGGTATATAATGATGATCGAAAGTCTAGCAATGAATGTTTATTCTGTACTTTTCTGGACACATAATAAATAAAATCAATTGACTCCACAGTTTTTTTTCTTAAGTTTTTTAGGGATAGAGGCATGTTTACATAATGATAATTAACCTTTACTTTCAAATATTTGATACAATGCATTGCAAAATGTATGATGTTCAATGCTACAGTTTCACAGATCTAAATGGTTATACAAGCACTGCCCAGGCATCAAGGAACATCCATAAAACAGCAATGTGTGCAATGGAATTCACATTCTTGGAGTATCTCTCAGATTGACCAGTTGCTCATTGGCAAAGCTTTCCAGTGCCACAATTGCTGAGGTTGCAGAACTTTTTACTCATATACTCAACTTAAATTTGACATGTGACTGATGAATACTGAACTGGAGATGTTAGGTAAGTACATCAGAAATTGTCATGCAACTAAAACATACAAGATTTACAGAATGATCATGTCATATGTCAACTACAGAACCAAACAAATAGGAAAAACATTCATAAAGGTGTGTACATAAACCAGAATGTCAGAATTACACCATTGTATCCCTTATCCTAAATAAGGTGTTAAAGCAATCATGTTTTCTCATTTCTACTTCGTCAGTCATGTTTCAAATTTTAATATTCTGTATTTTATATCCAAAACTGCATGGAAACAAGCCTGAAATGTTCAATCGTGAAGTCACATCTTCTGTCAAAAACTGACATCAGTATGGCATTCAACAGTATCTTCAGCGACAGAACACATTTGCTGGAGTATCACTTCATACCTCAGCCTCGTAATGCACTGGATGTAACCACCACCCTACTCGGTCAAGGTGTCCTGGAACAACCAACAGTCCATCAAGGTCATGATGGAACAGGTCTCGAGAGCGCCACCTGTGCACTGACAACAATGTGCGATGTAGGATATGAGTGGTTGTTTTAGTCACTCATCTCCATGTCGACCTGCTGCTGGTTGGAGTCCAGATCCTTGGATGAAGGTGGAGGATTGGGTGGAGGCGGGGGAGGCGGAGACTCCTCGCCTGCTGAAAGTACCGGAGGTTTGTCCTTGTTTGCATCTTCAGGCTCAGCAGCTTTCGGCTCTTTCTTCTCTTCACTTCCACTGTTGAAGCCCTTCTCTTCCTCATCGTAGTCCCGTTTTACTTTTGTATCCTTATCCTTGTCCTTGTCCTTTTTCTCTCGCTCCTTCTCCTTATCTCGACTTTTTTTACTTTTGCGTTCCTTCTCTCGTTCTTTTTCACGATTACGTTCTCGATCTCTACTTCTGTCCCGGCTCTTATCACGGTCTCTCTTCTTTTCCTTCTTTGTCCTGAAAATAACATACCCAAATCAAGTCAAAAAAGTACAATCACATGAGTAGATCTTATACCACTTTTGATAAACAAAACAGCAATACAATGGCCATGAGCAGTAAGAATGAGCTCCACATGCAGGAATGAATCCCTAGTCGTGATGAACCAATGCGTGTAAGGATCCTGCTTACCTGTGCCTTGACCCACTTCGAGACCGCGAGCGACGTCGAGACGTGGATCTGCTTCGGCGACTTTTCTTGGACTTACGACTGAAACACATATGAAGTAAACTTACTAGCTATAAATTAGCTTGGATTTCCTAGTAATAGAAATAACACTCAAAATAAAGGGGAGGTCAGGTGAACAGGGTTTAAGGTCGTGTTCAAGATTATTGTACTCATAAAGCAATGTACACGCCATTGTTCATGTCTGTACATGTGTGTCTGCCTGAAATAGTTCGGACGTTTGCCAGTTTTATAGTGCCTGCCCACTGTGATACCATGCCACAGTTTAACATGAATACCCCACTCAGACGCAGTATACTGACTCAAAGCTGACCAGTCCTTGTCTTAGCCCTTAATGCCAAGCACTAGGCAGGGTCACAACAAGTACCATCTTTCAACGTCTTCTGGTATGACAAAATCACATACCTTGGTGACCTTGATTTTCGTCTTGGGCTCCTTGAACGTCTGGAACTCTTCTTTGGGCTGCGACTTGACCTCCGCTTGGAGGTCGACCTTTTCTTAGGGGTTAGGCTGCGACTTTTGCTACGTCGCTCACTTGATGATCTGAAACACCAACAATGGTGTCATGGTAACTGACACATTCACTTCAACAGGAGACCAGTGTTAATTAACAGTGGGGTGTACCAATACTGCGGGGAGACAGTATACTGACACAACTGGACATTTCACAATACAAATAAAAAAAGTATGATCCTATCCCAATATAAGACTTCATCAATATCTGGAATTGGTAATTGTGTATGGCTATATTTCAGGTGATGATATTGTTACAGCCCAAGTACATGTAAGTAAAGGCAGCAATGTAATGACAGCAACCACCACACTAAGCAGACCAGTACAGGGTTAGATGAGGACCTCAATACTTAACATTAAGAACAGAGTTGCATGTAGGTCATTATCATAGGCTTGATTAGTGAAATGATTTCATTCCAAACATGATAATCTTGAAATCATGTCAAGTGATGAATACTGATTCTAATTTATGAATCATGGTCACATGAGATGTTAAAACAGAACATTTTCAGGAAGGAGAGTGACATGCAGCTGTCAAGATAGAAAAATGTGAGTTTTAGGCGAGGCGAGGTGAAATTGGGTTTAACGTCGCGTCCAAGATTATTGCACTTATTTAGCGACGTTGTGCAGAGTTTTAGAATGATTAGCGAATGATTAGCATGTGCTGAAGGGTGTTTAGTGTGTATTAGTGAATAAGTACATTGATGCTGCAGGCAGCACTATTCCAGCTATTTGACAGGGGCCTATAAACAAGTCTGGATCAGACAATCTTGCGATTGATATTGTGAGCAACGATCCACGGTCAGGGTACAATGACACACAATCAAACAGGCCTGACCACTCAATCCATTTGCAGGGCTTGATTTAGCTATATCAAACATGCACCAGTGCAACTTATCACTGAAAAAAGCCAACTAATATATATGTGGACATGCACCAAGTGCATATTATTCATTTAGACTAGTTGATGCATCTGTTTCAACTTTGAGAAATTCATAGGACCATATTGCAACCTGGTTTTGTCTGGTGCAACTAGCTTTTCATGTCAACATACACCTGGTGCAAGTTAAATCAAGTTCCTTAAATCGTGCCCTGATTTGGATGCCTCTTAAGACCAGCATAGGTTGCTGGTGACCTATTCTCCCCCGGAATAAAAACAACAACAGTATAACACAGCTAGGAGACACATAGTAATTATTTCATCTCAGTCCATTATTATGCAGAGCTAGGATTTGCCATTGGGTGGTACACAGGGAAACTTAAGTACCAGGTATATACCTTTTTTCTTTTTCTTTTTTTTTTTGGGGGGGGGGACATCTCTCATTGAATGAACACTTTGGGACAGTGCTTGTAGATGGTTTATCCTAAACAAACATTCTAAGCACCAACTACTCTATATTTCAAGATGAATACAACTTAAAAGATGTTACAGACCACACTTTTCTTTCATATAACTTATGTTGTTAATCTGTCATGGCATGACAGTAACTATAATATTGTGATAAAAACGAGGTTCCATAACTTCTTTGGAGTAGTATTTGTTCCTGGATGTAGTAATTTTCTTGTTAGTAAACTAAAGCAGTACATTTATTTTGGAAAATGGCAAACTTGTAGACAGCATGTTGTGGAAGTACATTTCGGTGTAACAAGAATCTGATATTTACCAGGGCTAAGCTACTTCAGGCACTAATATGTACACTGTCCAAACAGTTCAACTACACAAAACATTTCATCAAATCCTATTAGATTACAGTGTGGAGTTTTGTGAAGCTGCTGCAGTGTGACCCAGGACCAGTGGTTGCCTGTGTGTGATCAACCAATGTCACATACATGTCATGTGGCGAGTGACGGGAGGAAAGAAGATATTTTCACGAGTGGCATAGCCATGAGCGAAAATATTCCCCCCCCCCCCCCAACCAATCACGAGATGAGGGAAACATGATATTACACAAGACACATGGAATATCCTATTTATTATATACTTTTTGTGTAGAAAATTAAATTATTTCATTTTAAATGTAAAACCTTGAAATGTTAATTCTCCCTACCTAACAGAGGGACGGTTCACCATCCCTGTTTTTGGAAGCGAAAGAATACACGCTGGTTAAGTAACAAAAATGGCGCTTTGCGAAAGTCTTGATTGACAAGTTAAGTGAGAAATTTACAGTTTATAACCAAACATTTTCAAGAGAATAACAAACAGCATGAAGCAATATTAACACTTGTTAATGTGGAACTAACGCAAAGAGGAAGTCAACAGTTTGTTTACGCACGAGACATTAACAATAAAGGGAGACAATTTAAGGGGAGGTCACTCTTGTATGACAATAGTTCCGTTAAAGTGTTATGTTGACAGCAGTGAAATATCAATTGTTATGTTCACAACAATGAAATTATCACTTTTCTCAACTTCAGAAAAACACTTTCACACTTAAGTATATAATACATCCTTGTAACACCTAGTGATCTTCCTCACTCTGCAGCTAACATGGTCACCTGAGCTATTCGAACCTGGGGAAACACCTACATTATTTCAAAAGGTGCTCATGGGGACTTTCACATACAAAATATTACTGTGCCCTTTAGAGCAACATATTATCAAAACACTAAATATGTTTTCGATCGTATCTTCGGCTTTTGATGTTAATTCAAAGGTAAGTTTTATCAATCTTTGTCAAAATCGGAAGAAAACACATTTTTGCGATTGGAATATGTTAACCTTTTATCGTAACCTCAAGTCTTCAGTTAGCATTCAGTAACGATTGATTTAGAGATACATTCCGAAAATAATGACTGTTGAAATGTGAGGCATGTTTTGATTGGCTAGTTCAATTATAAGGCCCAATTGGCTTTAAGCTTTCATTTTACAGTCTCATATCCCTGTCACATGTGGTAGCCAGCTTGTCATAGCATCTGAGAAACAGAAGCAGACTAAGGGAAGTTTAGTGAATTTTCACCAAAAACAATGTACAATTGATAGTCAGATGGTCCTGGCTACAGATAATAAACAGTCTGCCTGCCAAAGCCATTTAGTTTGGAATCCTAGATGATAGGGCTGGGACGAGTCCAAATTTACTGGAGAAGCCTGTGAGTAAGTGATGGTCATTCAATGTGTTCATAGTATGATAGTTTATTTAATTCAATTGGATTAACATACAATAGTGGTGTAAAGGGGGTTATAAAAGTTGGTATATTTTTACTGACTGACATTCTCATCATGAGTTTGAAACGAAAACGCCATGCTTACGATGTTGAATTCAAACTGCGAGTCCTCGCTCTAGCTGAAATATTTTCTCACGAGTACATAATTCTATATACACCGATTCACAAAATGGCGCTTCGTTGTTGATGGCAACATATAACGATCATTATGAGATTAAAAAAAAACACGAGAAACAGCTTCCCACATTATGAAAGTGGACGACTGGTTTGTTAAATTTTTATTAGAAATAATAATGACTTTTTCAATATAATTACAACGTTTTTCATCTTATATTTTTGAATATCTGCGAGTACCGGCACATGTCTTGCAGTCCGACTTCACAGTGTTTTTTTGCCTTTCAATTCCTGGCTCGGCTTATCTGCGGGTCATATCATTTTCTTTCGTATTTCAATGGTCAAGTTAACACCTCGGCTTATCTACGGGGTTGGCTTATCCGCAGTCATATACGGTACCCAGGTACCGCCCCTCTATTACCCGCCCCAACCCGGGTACCTGCTGTAGGTCATAAGTTGGGCACAAAATGTTAAATTGGGAATTGTTTTACCAGAGCCCCTGCAAAAAGTGTTCAGATATAGTATAAAACAATCTGATTGTGTATACACTGAAGCTGACTGAAGCTTTGTCTTTACTCAAACATATAAAAGTCAGAATGAATGTGCCAATAGTCAGAATGAAATGCGAACATGTGGGACTTGTACTTGTGTAACCATGGAATTTTACTGTTATTGTCATTTAACCATTATCACATGACTAACCATGGGTCCGGGAAGTCCTGCGGGTACCCGGGTCCTACTCAGGATCCACCCTACCCGAGTACCCGAGTTACCCGTCCCAGCCCTACTAGATAAATCTGTGATCAAGTACCAATATGACTGAACTATTTCTGGATACTAACTCCACAAATTGACAATTTCCAAGCAATTCACATGAAAATGAACCACACTAACAGAAGAGTAACTTCTACTAAACTATCTGAATCAATACAGCAACTACACAATGCTGTCATTGATTAGTGGCTGAAAAAAAGACGAATGCATAAATTCAGGAATAGTTACCTCGGTTTGGAGGATTTAGATTCACTGGCAGTCACACTAAATAAAAACAGAAAATATGGATACCTACAGACATCTGATGAATCCTGATGACAATGAGAATTTGTTCATAATATTCAACGTAAAATGCATGAAGCAAAATGGCTACTCTGCTATGTATATCCCAGAGTGAGTGAGTGAGTACAGGGGAGGTACAGCCTGTAACTATGTGTTGACCTGCACCCAGCCAGATGTCAGTGAATGTGGTTTTACTCTACAGTCAGCAATATTCCAGCCATGTCATGGTAGCCTACATATACTTGAGTCATCAGCAGACAAACTAGTGGCCAACAGACGAGCAACAATCCACTCACTGGGGTGCGATGACACCCAATCAGCCAGGTCATGCTTATTACCCAGATCAACAAGTCAAATTTCTTCTCACCTAGCCAACTTTGTAAGTTCAAATGTTTAAGGATGATTAATTTCACACTGCTGTGAACAACATTACAGCTCAAAGATGACTTTTCAAATACATAAATCAAGCATAGGAGTAACGTCTATTGAAATTTATATCCTAGTGTGTAAGACAAGGAGAGGAGGGTCCTCTCTTGCTTTATTGGTGTTGAGTTGTAATCAAGGTCGAGTATCCTCAATTGCAAATACTACTCACATGCAATCATTTCTTAACCTTATTCCTGCTTAAATCATCATAGACAAGAGCCTATGCTAGTTGGCTTGCATAATATCTGCTGTCATGACTGAAATCTGCACATTGAAATCTATGTTGGTTATGCAATTTTGATTGGACTATGCATAGAGACCAGTCAAACAAACTCTGGAATTCCAGCCTAGTTGAGCAAGGGTGGAAACTGGGCTTTTACAGTCAGTTACCAGCCGTGTCTCGGGAAGAAGTGGAAAAAGTAACTGAGCAGCAGAATGCTGGGGATATTTGAGAAGCTCATTTCTATAGTCACCACAATACAATCTCGACTTTACCTCTTGCTGGTCGGTTCAACCTTGATTGGCTTCGAGCTGGGACTAAGAAATACAGAAAACTCCTCTGAACATACAAAGCACACCAAAAGTGTAACACACCTTAATATATGCATGATTTATTCTTATCCTAACTGAGAATCTGTCTCATTTACCATTATTTACTTGCTAAAACATCTTCCTATGAAACCAAAATGATACTTCTAATTACAAGGGAAGATGCTTCAACTAAACAAAACTGTTTTTATAAAATGTTTTTGGAAATGATGCTAATTGCAAACGGTCAATGTACTGTTGGATTATGAAAAATATTCAAAAGAAAAAAAAATAATAGGACGTTTGAGGTATGATCATCAGATAAAATGAAATAAAATAAACCCAATTCACCTAGCTAAAACTTTAAAATGATATGAGTACACATGGATACAAAACATCACTCTGTAAAAAACAAAATGTATGTGCCAAGAGATGTGGCTAAATATCAATGTCGTTTCAGGTTGAACCTAATTCTAGAATAGTTAAACACTTCAAAGATTTCCCTTCAGCGGACAGGGATTTGATTGTTGTTGTAGAACACATTCCTCCATGGTATTAAACAGAAAAAAAACAAATATAAAGTTGAACCGAGGACACTGCTACAGACTATGACAGACATGCAAGAGCCAAAATAAAGGGAGATAACTGACCTTCTCGACCGTCTTGGCGGCGAGTCCCCACCATCACCTTTGTTTGCGGGTATGGAGCACTCTCGCTCCAGCTTAGGAGGGGATGGGGAACGGGACACTGATTTTTTCTTCTCGCGGGACTTGGACTTGGACTTGGACCTGTGCCGACTACGAGATCGACTCTTACGCCGACTCCTATTGTAAAAATTTGGTGCAATGATAAGTTTTGAATATCTGTCAGATGGTTTCACATTACGATCAGCAAAAGTTGCGGAGGTCTTCAGTTCTTGTACTTGAAACAACTGTAGGCACGATTCAACGTGACAGAATTCTACTGCATGTTTGTTAATACCTATATGATCATTTTCCTAAGATGTGTATTAGTTTTGTACAAAACTGATGAAATATGGCCATAAAACATGAAATATGAATGGAAAGGCTATGTTTTTGCCTTACCTTGATCTCGATCTTCTGCTGCTGAAAGCTTTCGGAGGTGTTCGCGATTTCTTTCTGTGAACAAAATGTAAAGTTCTACAGAAATGATACAAATATTATCTATCAATTAACAAATGAAACAGATCATTGGTTTTATAAAACATTTATTCCATCGTCTCGGGTTTGAGCAGTGTTACCATAGTTACGGAGGTAATGGGGACAATTGTAACCTAATGCCGTTACCATAGTTTATTCTCAATATGAGAAATCCATTCACTTGAACAGCTTCTAGTATTAACGCATCTGGAAAGCATGGTGAAAGAGTCATGTTTGACTGATATTAGCTGTATTTCATGTATATCATTGCATGGTCGCTCAATGTGGGAAAATGGTTACCATTTATATAAAACCAATGAGCCCCGTGCTGACGGACCATAAGAGGGCAAGGCGAAATGGGTTTAACGTTTAACACGTGTGCGTGCATGTGTCCTTTTACTACTCTGGACAAATGCTGGTTTTCTGGTACACCCTCATAGGATAATAACCAGAGCAACTTTTGGATTGAAAGCCAGCTACTACAAGCCATTCTGACAATTCTGATTGGAGATTGCATTGCAAGACTATTTGTACTTAAAAATCAACATCAAGGTTAAGGTCACTAAAGTAAACAGTGACTTACCTGGAACGAGATCGCCGTGACCTGCTCTGCTGCTTTGACTTAGATCTAGATCGTGACTTCCTCCTCTCACGTGACCTTGACCTCCGCGATCTGTAGAAAATGAACGAGTTCAAATTTCTTCCATACATGACTTATTTAAATGGCACTTAACGTCAAGGGCAATACATCTCAAATCAGAGCTGAAAGCAAGGAACAGAGGTAATAAATCACATAAGGGCCATTAACTGCATGCAAGTCTACCAAAAATGTGATTAATTTGACGCAACAAACATACATAACATTTTTCATACAGCAAACATGTTAATCCAAACTGTTCAGTGAAATGGGTCCAGATGGTCAAAAGTGAGCAAGTGATTGTTTAATGCCGCATCGGCAATTTTGCAGCAATACGCAGCAGTAATGCCCAAAGAAACATTCCAAAGAGTAATGAACAGAGGGATTTCCTAAATAACAACAGGACACAGGACTTCACTCTACATGCACATTGGACATTTACACAAGGACTCTACACCACAATAAAGGGACACATAAATAATTATAACATCAGGTAGCAATGCAAGGATAATGCCAGGCCCTTATCACACAAATACTGAGCAGGTGAAGAAACAGCTGATCAATAAAGTGTGGCAGCCATGACACAGGCCAAACAACAGGAGCCACAGGTATGTTATGGGTGCACAGTTTATTCATATAACTAGAAGCACAACCAAAAAGAAAATTTGCAAATTCAATCAGTATCATCACATCAATGACAAATGACACTGAAAGAAATCATGCAAATTTTGGCTGGAAAGTGGATTTTTTTCATTTTTCATTCAGGGTCTCTGTGTTGTCCTAATGTGTTTCCACCCTTCATTTATTGGTTTCTGTCATTATTATGTTCCATCAAAACAAGAATCCACCATCAGTAAGACAAAATAGTTGACAATTATAAATTGGCCAGATTATTTATCAATAAAATTTGTGGCTAGGTCTCAGTGAAAGAATGTACCCAGTCAGCAATATTCCAGCTATAACACAGTCTCCTGTAAATACCAAGTCTGGCCTAGACAAGCCAGAGGTTGATAGAATGATACCCAGTCCACATCTTCATACAATGACATATCAGTGTTCAAACACCGTAACCATCCAATGATCCTTCTAGTTACGCGCATGGGCAATTCAGCCCTAGAACGGCAACCAAGAATTGAGAACATTTTCACATGTGTTTTGTTGGTTTAACGCCGCATTCAGAAATACTCCAGCTATATGACGGCAGTCTGTAATTAATCAAGTCTGGACCAGACATTCCAGTGATTGATATCATGAGCATCATTTCAATATGAATTGGATTGACAACATGCATCAACCAAATCTGACAATCCGATCCATTTGGTCACCTCTAACAACAACCACAGGTTGCTGAAGACCAAATTTAACTTGTGTGAATGTATGTGTGTGTGAACAATCATGAATGACAGTTAATGTTTCTGTTGAAGTTGTGTTGTACAGAATGTCATTGTAAACAAATAAACTAAATTCCCTTCATCCACCACATACAACAGAATAAGGCAGCTAGCACTTTTACTCCTACCAAGTCCCTGTATCCCATTAGGGGACTATTCAACTTGACCTGTTTGTACAGCTAAACATTGAGATGAATCCCATCCATCATGTTATCACGAAACAGATTTCAGTTGGCTCATTTATACCTTGTTTTCATATGACTAGCCTACCACCTGAACACTGATCAATATTAGATGAAGCTTTCATTCAGAGAAGGCGGTCTGGCCATTTGGGAGTGAGCGCGGGAATGTCATTAGTCAGCGCCGTCAGCAATATTCCAGATATTACATGGATGTGTGTAAATAACCAAGTTGGTGGAGGAACAACTGTGGACGACAGATCTCACCATTGTATACACGTTACTGGCCTCGAATAGATGGGTACAGAAAAACAATTGACACAAACAGTCCACTTGTTATGGTATAAACCTGTCAGCGCTGCAAACCTGTTGCCATGACAATAATGTGGTCTCGGACATGAGGGTAGCAGGATGCAATAAAGCAATAATCATGGCGATACTCACTGAACCAAATAGAAAACCAAAAAGTAAAATCTCAAAGCACCAAACATATTTGCAAAATCTAATCTTTATGTACAATATATTCCCACAATGTTTCTATTGGTGGCAGATGTAGGTGTGTGAGTGTGGTGTTTCAGCTGATATACTTACACCACAACAGGCGGGGCTATCCCAGACCTACAGCAGAAACCTAGGCTTCAGAACCACAGCTAATACATACACGGCACACACAGGTATTACATGTCAAAATGTTAACAGGAAACCTGGACATGTGCCGACTCCATTTTATTGTTTCATGCTCTGTCAACTTAATGACCTTCCAGTCCAGGACTAGTGAGGGGGTTTGGCTTGTCACCGCTTTCAACATTATTTCAGCAACAGCACGGTCTCAGCTGGACATGGATGGGTGGGGAAGCCTACAGTGATGCAGGTCTGAGACATTTACCACTTTGGTGAAACCCCTGACCATGGTTATGGCAGTCCCGGACTAGACAGTACTGAAACAGATGAACTATTCCTGGAAGATAATATTGGATGACAGCCAGGTTGTGTGTATGGATATTCAATACAAAACCACTTCCTGTTATAACACACATATGAGATCAGGGACTGACTAAAATGGTGGTTCTGGTTCCTTGGTTGGAAAATCAAAATTAAAACATTTTAAAAATGTATCAGTTATTAGTTGAAGAAACTCAATAAGGATGGGGGGTGATCATTGTGCCTGCAATACAGCTACTTGATACACGTAACTGTATGTTATTCAATGCACTGTGTGCAACATAGGGAAAGACACATTACACTGAAGACATCATGATGATAAAGAATCTGAAGACAGTATATCTAGGATGCTGAATGATATACACAGTTATACAGAGAATATAGGCATGGACAGAGGGGCTTGCAAGTACTGGCACAAACAGACCTTGACCTTCACCAGGACAACTTCTGACGATGCATCTACCAGGTCTCAACAGTAACTGGCAATGAATGATACAACCCTGTTTCACAATAAAACTCAAAGTCAATCTTTGATAAACACCAACATTTTATGTGGTAGGATTTGTACCGATACATGCACTGAGAGGTAGCTTGTTGAAGGGCTTTTCTCAAAGTAGGGCACCATCCAGGAGAATGTATACTTAATTTAAAGGTACATAAATTTCTAGCATGTGACCATGACCTTTGACCTTTGACCTCACTGCAAGTGCAAATATAGAATCCCTAGGTCGATGTGGAATAAGTCCATTGTAAGGTGTCAATTACCTCAAAGTGACCTTCACCATTGACATGCAATGGACATTTTATGTTGTAGGTGTAAAACATGTCAGTATAAAGTTTCATGTCTGTAGAGGTAATCATGCCTGAGAAACTGATATAATAAACCGTGTTTAATCAAAGCCTGAATGACGACCTTGAACTTTAACCAAGCTTAACCGAAACCTTTACAAAGCAGGGCTCCATCCTAGGAAAATATATTCCAAGTTTAATATAATAACTGCATCTATTTTTGTGTAACCACAAACTTTCATGTCAGTATATATCTCATGACCTTAACCTTTTCATAACAGGTGCCAAAGAAATGCCCATTTGGAAGAAGTCCATGAAAGAATAACCTCAGATGTCTAACACCAGCAGCGATGGCAGTGGAAACATTCCATCAAAATGTTAAAGCAGTCCCGTTTTATGTCAGTGGATATGACCACTTTTAATACTACAAGTGCAACATGTTTTAAATCATAATCACACCACATTCACATTATTTGACACATGAAGCAGGACATCTCAGACTATCACCTCCTAGATGCGTCACTGTAGGTGTCCCTCCCAAGTTACAAAAGGATCCAGCTGAAGAAGCTGTCAATTCATCTCCCTAAGCATGGACAAACTGAGTTCACAGGGAAGCAGAATCTCTCCCTGTAAAGGTTTAATCAATCTAAAGAAGTTGTGACATAAGTGAGGGTGAGGGAAGATGGCAATGCACCACTGTTATCAATTCAACAATGGAGGGCAACAAGAATGGTTTCCTACATAGCACTCATTTGAGTAAAAGACTTGGTGGGGCATAGAGGTGGTGGGGCATAGAGCTGGTGGGGCATAGAGCTGGTGGGGCATAGAGCTGGTGGGGCATAGAGCTGGTTGGACAGAGCTGGTGGGGCATAGAGCTGGTGGGGCATACAGCTGGTGGGGCATACAGCTGGTGGGGCATAGAGCGGGTGGGGCATACAGCTGGTGGGGCATAGAGCGGGTGGGGCATAGAGCGGGTGGGGCATACAGCTGGTGGGGCATACAGCTGGTGGGGCATACAGCTGGTCGGCATAGAGCTGGTGGGGCATAGAGCTGGTGGGGGATACAGGTGGTAGGGCATAGAGCTGGTGCGGAATAGAGCAGCAATGAGTAGAGCTAGGTACAACCATCCAATACTATACCAACTAGACTTTCCCCCTGCCATGAACATGGAAGTCCATGAATCATTTGTGCAAGCAAGTTTCAAATTTGAGCTTTCACCTTGATTTCGATCGCCTTCTTCGTCTTGTCCTTGATGTTGACCTTGACCTGCGTTTAGGGGTTCTGCTACGTTTCCGTGAACGAGATCTACGGCGAGATCTGGATCTTTTCCGAGATCGTGATCGCCTGGACCTTGATCTCCGTCTCGACCGTGACCTGGATCTGCTGCGACCTTTCGATCTTGACCGAGATCGTGAGCGGCTTCTTCTGTCTCGTCTTCTGTCTGAAATATGACAAAGAAAGCAGAAATAAATCACTTCTTAACATATGGACCCTTCTAATCCTACATCTCACATATATGTAGGACACAGATCTATGGTAGGACTGATCCATGACCGACTCTCAGGTCGGTGGCGGATTCCTGAATGGGGCAGATATTGGTGCATCCTCAGATCTATGGCCGTTTATCATATAATCTCAATAAGCTGCAATTTCTATGACGCTAAACGTTGTATAGATTCATATATAGCGGCAGACTTTTCATTATCGATGTTGTGATTTCTCTGGATTATTATTATCAATTCCCCTTTGGAACACCAGAATCAGTGCAGGGATTGCATATGGTCGCATTTCTTAAAACATTCCCCTAAGTTTCATCGAAGAAATAATTTTCTAAGATGTTCCACATCATCCTTGCATTTGCTGGAGTTGATGAAATCCTGAATAGTTTCCCGCTTCCCCGCTTTGGATTCAGAGCCTTTGTAAGAGGAACTTCTTGGATTTTTGAAAAAAACATTTGAAAATGATCCAGCATTTTCTATGGTGTCCGTTCCAGCATTTTTTAATGATTGCTGTGTCTATCGGTAATAGACGTTAAACTTACATGACATCATCATAGGCAAGAACTCATGATGTCATCTCAAGAATGATGTCATATAATTGAATTGAGTGTCTGTTCACGGATATGATTTTGTTTGTTTGTTTGTTTGTTGTTTAACGCTGCACTCAGCAATATTCCAGCTATATGACGGCGGTCTGAAAAAATAATCGAGTCTGGAACAGACAATCCAGTGATTGACATCATAAGCATTGATCTACGCAATTGGGTTACAATGACATGGATCAACCAAGTCAGTGAGCATGGTGAGCCTGACCACCCGATCCCGTTATGACAAGCATAGTCGCCTTTTACGGCAAGCATGGGTTGCTGAAGACCTATTCTACCCCGGAATCTCACAGATATGACATCATTGCAAACATAACAATAAGAATCTGCCACGGATTTGAGTCCCACCATAGAGCTGAGTCCTACAAATATGTTACTGCACAGGTGCTTCAAGTTCGTTTTAAAGGAGCACTTCATGTGTGTGTTTTTGTTAACGCCGCACTCAGCAATATTCCAGCTATATGACGGCGGTCTGTAAAATAATCGAATCTGGACCAGACAATCCAGTGATTGACATCATGAGCATCGATCTACGCAATTGGTTTACAATGACATGCATCAACCAAGATGGTGAGTATGACCACCCGATCCCGTTAGTCTACTCTTACAAGCCTTACAACTGAAGACCAATTTTAACCCAGGTCTTCACGGGCGACATAGGTCCATGTACGATTAAAATACATATCGTGGTAGATGTTACCATGGTTACCATAGCGCATTTCTAATAGCAGGCCCAAGGTTGTTTTCAAGGAGCACTACATATATGTCACTACACTGGACAAGTATTTCACACTTGAGCTCAGCTTCTATTGACTGTATTAAAGAGGGAGTGAGTGAGTTGGGTTTAACGCATCTTCCAGAGGCAAGAGAGTTAACTGACTATAAAAGTCCCGTTTCCACCCTTGCCGAACTAGGCTGGTATTATGGAGTTACATTTTGGCTGGACTAACAAGTCTATGCATAGTCCAATTAAAATCTCGCAACGAAATTAAAAGACAGGGTGGAAACTGGACTTTTATAGTCAGTTAAGTCTCTTGCCTCGGGAAGATGGGTGTAACGCTGCTATACAGTATTCCAGCTATATTCAGCTTGATGTGGGAGGAAAGCCCAAAGTGATGCACTTTGGTGAAACCCATGAGCACAGGTATGGTGCTGACAAACCTAGAAACATAATCGGGGCAAACCCACAATCATAGGTTTCTGGTGTGCCCAAGGGATGCAACTCTGCAGAGCAAATTGCATCGCCTTAGACTGGGCCATCCATGCCCCCTGTATTATAGAAGTCTGAATGAGGGGCTATCCAAATAGGAAAGTTGGTCAAAGCTCATCAGTATTTTTCCAAACTGTCGTTCTGAAAGCAGGCTAATACTAACTGGTGACCAGTCCAGCATGTTCAGTTGACTATTCAGTTCAGCTAATTCAACAAATTTTATGAGGGACTGTCATACAAAACAATGTCGACAGCAAATTCTTAAAAGTTAGAATCTGGAAACACACTTGCTGGTGTAGAGATGTGCCAGTGTAAAGCTCTATTGCTCTATGACCAATTGAGCAGCAACATCTTGTTCCTGCAGACTCCCCTAGAATAGAGCTGCCGACAACAATTAGGAAGGTGAAGATGTAACAAGTAGTTGGCTCACGTGGCGTCTTACCTCCTGCTGCGGCTGCAATGAGAGACTGAGCTTCCTTCACCTTCTTCATGGCCTCCTCAATCTCACGCTGAGACGCCTCCTGCGACTTTGTCAGCGGCTTCACGATGGCAGACTTGGAATGCATCACCCTACAACACCAAACACAGGTCAAGCAAAGAGACAGATAGTCTAGGCACTTATACATCTACTACATATTGAAATGCAGTCACATCTGGGGTATATCACCCATATTGTGACCAGAACATTTATTATCCTTACAAAAGCCTCAGGACGATAAGCAATTACAACCGTCAACTGGGTGCTGGTGACCTATTCTAACCCAGGTCGCCATGAGGCTGTTGAAGGTAATTTGAGCAAAAGAAAAAATGGCAACCCAAACTGTTTTTTTCTGTTAAGTTGGTCCATATTGGTTTCATAGTCGCAGAAATAAAGGATAACCCATGCATTGGTGGTACTCCAGTCCCTATAGCCTTCATCCAAGAATAAACAATGTGAAAATCATTATGGCTCAGTCAAGACTTGAATTACCTACCATACACCCAGGGTTCATCAGGATATGTCAGGATATGTCAGGATAATGCAAACCACGCAATCAACATGAAAGCAGCTTCCTCCCTGGGTCCCTCTCCCCCAACTAGGCTACTTATTGTTCAGTTCATAGCTGTTTATTGTTTAAATCCACACTCAGCAATATTCCAGCTGTATGACAGCAGGTCTGGACCACCCATTCCTCTGATTCATATTATGAGCAACCATCCATACAGTCTAAGGACCAGCCTAGGGTGCTGGAGAACAATCATCACCAAGGTTACCAGCAGTTACTTACTTAAGAGGCCTCCTCTGGAACATCACGCCATTGTAGGTGAGGGCCGTGGCCACAGAGCGCTGGTCAGTGAACTCCACATAGGCAAACCGGGCAGGCTGGTTCTCATCCCCGGCCATACTCACATACTTCACCTCGCCCACCTGGCCGAAGAAGTTCAACAGCTGCTCTGAGGTCACCTGAATTAACAGAAGGGGAGATAATCAAATGTGACATATTTTTAAATGACTAGATTATTATTTTTCACATGAAATATATGCTATAATCCTAAACTACATACAGTGAAACTGATGAGGTCCTTCATTCTGGTCGAGTGAGTATTGTTCAACGCTGGCTACTGTAAGTACATCTTCCCCAGGCAAGAGAGTAACTGACTTTAAAAGTCCAGTTTCACCCTTCCTGAACTAGGCTGGAATTACTGGGCTCGATCGTAGCGCCACCAGTGGCTATTACCAGTCATGTCCCTTCTAAGCCTCTCCTATGGACCAATCACATTCCACCTCTCGTATCACTTGCGTTTGCTTCACACAAAATGGTGGCGCCCGGTCAGTTAGATCTGATCGACAATCAAGATCTATATTCTGATAAAACGGGTCTTACATCGCGAAATGCATCAAATCACGTGAGCACCTTGATTAGAAACATGAAAACATTTGGAAAATATCTGCAGACAACGAGTTGGCGGTGAACATGCTTTGCAAATCCTGCAATCAACCAAAATCTGTATGACAGTGTACGGACTGGATTTTGATTTCGGTGAGCGATTTTGATTGGCCTATGCATAGACTCGTTAGTCCAGCCAAAATGTAACTCCATAATACTAGCCTAGTTCGGCAAGGGTGGAAACTGGACTTTGATAGTTCGTTAACTCTCTTGCCCTGGGAAGATGCTGTAAGTACTATTCAAGCAATATCACATCATCGCCGTGATCAACGCACATTCACAAATTCAGGGCTTCAGCACCAAATGATGGAAAGCAATAATTATAAGGGAACAATAATCAGGTGATTCATGTTTATGCATAAATGCTTCATACCAGTGAGCAATGTTTGAAATAATTTTGAAACCAAACAAGACAGTCAGGTAGGTGATCCATCTTCAAAGTTACCTGCCCACATTCAGACATTTAAAATATTGAAAAATCATATAAAATAAAGGACAAATCACGCCTTGATTCAGTTGAAATAATGCAAACAATCACTTGAGAAAATACAAAGAATTATTATTAAACTGAATTGTAAGTAGTCAGGCAGGTGAAGGAAAATTTCATGCAGCCCGACCGAAAAGTTACCAGCCACAGGCAGGCGGGCAGGCAATTATTTTGGACACTGCCAGTGAGAGGTATCTCATAGTATCAGTATTTGACTTGTATCAATTCTTCATAACAAAATAAGATGAGTAAAGTTGTCAAATACCGGCAAATTATATCGAGTCATATTGTAGGAACAAAGTTAGTGTTATGTAAACCCAGTCAGCAATATTCAAGCAATATCCCCCAGGGTCAGAATATAAGTAATATGGGCCAGACAAGCAAGTGGTTGATATCATGAACAAGATCTCGTTTGATGACATACAATGAGTCTGACCAGCCACGGTAACCTCCAGACCCTACGGGACCTATTCTTCCTGATCCCCCACAGGGAAGGATAAACGAGTGACAGGTGTACTGACCGTAGTGTCGAGATTGCCGACGTACACTGTCCGGCGTATCTCCTCCACCTTGGTGGGGTCAGTGCAGGCTGGGAGGGAAGGATACTGGGTGAGGCCCAGGGCCGTCAGCCGGGGATCCGTCGTGTTGATCACCTGGTTGATGCCAGTACCAGATATCTGAAATCAGTCAGAAATAAGCATACAAAGTGGACAAAACAGAGGACAAATTTGATCATTGCACACACAGAGCTCCAGATAAGCTTTTGGTGTTATGCTTATTTTACCCATGCATTTTAAAATAATTGGGTATCAGTTATTCTATGTGGGTATTCAAATTTCTGTTACCCACTAGTTTTTACACATGTGGGTATTAAGTTAAATATTTAAAAACACTATTCATCTAGTCCCTGCAAACTGGTGTCGTGTGGGTTCGAGAGCTTTATAGGACTCAAAAATACCACGATACTTCCACAAGAAAGTGTGATGGCAAATGATCATGATGTAACTGTCATCGTGGAGTTTGGCAAGGTTGACGGAATGCAGGTTTATAATTTCAAAATAAGTTGTTGATTTGCTAAACGAATACGCAGGGTTACTTCACAATAATTTGATGATACGCACAAGTTTTATTTTTGTAGCGTATCTGTAATGTTCGTTGCGTATTTGATACGCTTGGGTTTTATTTTACTGCATACTTCTGCATTTCTGATGCTTACTTTACGCAGATACGCAGTTTATCTGGAGCTCTGACACACATAATGATTACATTACTTCATCCAAAATATCAAGTGCCTGCCTGCCATCATGACGCAATTGATTCCTCATCATTAATCAAGTAGCAAACTGTAATCATCTGACACCAGGCACAACATGGACAAACCGCTGCAGGCTGATCATCAGTGACAGGCCTCGCTATCTTTGAAAATGAAGAAAAACTACGAGTATAGACATATTTTATAACATCAGCATATTTCCAGTTGTAATTTACCTGACTGGTGACGTTGCTGGGCCAGGTGGGCTGACCAGGAAACATCCCGGCCACCGCCTGGGGTGTCAGCTGGAGCGCCTTTCCCTCATCTGGGATCTTCCCTGGAAGACAAACACAATGGTCCACATCAAAAACAATGTCAAATCAGAATTATAACAATTTCTACAAACCTTTACTAACATTATGAACATACTCAAATTATCAATTCAGAAGGATCTCTTTAAAGAGTTTAACGAGTGGCCTGTTTCTCATTGCAGTTGAAACATGTAGCTTTTCATTTGACACCGCATCATTGGGATAGTTGTAATCACTGAAACAAGCATGTAGCAAACATTCACTGGTTACACCCGATGTATCCAAGTTGCCTTACAAAGCCATAAAAATCAATGTCCCAACAATTGGGATAACTGTGCCTATAGCAGGAAGGTCATGGAGGGGAGCTTAAAGTGAAAAACGACAGTAGGTCCCTAATGCCCTTGCTTCTGTGTGTGTAATGAATGAATGAATATTGTTTTATGCTGCACCAGCATTTTCACGCTATTCACTGCGAGAACCAGTTAAAATTTTAAACACGTACTTATAAAGAACAACCCTAAAAGTCTGTGTGTAAAACAATGATACTCAATACCACCTTCCACTGAGGACATCAAGATTGATTTGATCTGGAGAGTTGCAAGGTAAGTGGGGAAAAATATGCCAATTTACAGTCCAGCAGATATTCAACACGGTCAAACAGTAAATTTTAGTTTGTAATTGTCAGGTATTGCCATTAATATGTGTATGCTAAGTGTACACAACTGTCTCTCATAGCAATTGAAATATGAATGACTCATCTGTTGTCATCAAGAGGATATAATCATTAAGACAGTTGTGCAGTCCACCTTTTCAAGAATACTCTCTCATCTCTGTCAAATGATTACATTCTACATGTTGTCAGGGCCAATGGAACAAATTGAGAAAAAAGGTAGTTATAATGCTTATCATGGTTATATAATTATTACTGATGCATTTGGGATGAAGGTTGGGATCTTACTATAAGTAAGTGAGTTTGTGTTAAACATCTCGGCTACCTGACCACCCAATCCTGTTAGTCACCTTTTAGGATTGGGTGGTCAGGCTCGCTGACTTGGTTGATGCATGTCACCGGTCCCAATTGTGTGGATCGATGCTCATGATGTCAATCACTGGATTGTCTGGTCCAGACTCGATTATTTACAGACCGCCGTCATATAGCTTGAATATTGCCGAGTGCGGCGTTAAACCAACCAACCAACATAATTACCTCCTGTAACCAATTAAGTGGACGTCAAACCAGTTGTTAATAGATAATGACAGCAAAAGAAACAATTCAGGCTCTTGTTCCTCATAACAATCTTAGCGCTAAAGACGATCGTAACTCTCATATTTCAAAATAGACTTAAAATCATAGCACTACGATTGCTTTGTGAGCAAGGCTTCTGGTCTGTGTACAGTAGCAGTGACACACACTGAAATCATCAATTCCACTGCTCCTAAAACAAGTGTTGGGCACAACATGCACTAGGTACGTATTCTGCCTGGAATCCCTAAAGAGTTGTTACATGATCAGCAACCTTGAGCCAAAGAATATGAATCTAGCTGGACAAAGGAGACATGTAACAGTAATAATCTATCGGTGTCAAGCCGCAGCCCGTTTCTCATTGCAGTTGAAATACATAATACATCAAATATCTTTGAATCAGTCTGAGGAATATTTAAATCACTGAAACAGGCATTTTCTCATAAAATTGTAAAATAATAGCACACTGAAGTGTTCAGGGAGTCATTTTGATTCTTAAACTGTTTCAACAAAGATCAATCCCTTAAATCTTGAGTGTTTGTTGTTTACTGCCGCACTCAGAAATATTCCAGCTATATGACAGCGGTCTGTAAATAATCGAGTCTGGACCAGATAATCCAGTGATTGACATCATGAGAACTGATCCACGCAATTGGGATACGATGACATGCATCAACCAAGTCAGCGAGTCTGACCACCTGATCCTATAGTCACCTCTTACGACAAGCATAGTTGCTTTTTACGGCAAGCATGGGTTCCTGAAGACCTATTCTACGCTGGATCTTCACGGGTCAGGAGACAAGGAATCAGTATTTCTCCTTTACAGTGCTGTCCCACATAAACATTAGTTTGTTTGTTGTTTAACGCCACACTCGGTAATATCCCAATAAACAAGGTGATGCAGAAGTACACAGCTAACTCCTCATGTCTGAAAACTCATACATCCTTATACAATAAACTCAACACTACAAAACATGCCACATAACTTAGAACATAGTAAGAAGCTGACAGTCTCCAGTGTAATTAAAGCTTGCCATTTATCGAATCTCTTTGCATCTCAAGTCTGAGTACCAGGTCACCTATATCACTGCTCACACCTAACAATTTCTTGAAAATGTCCATCTCAACCCCACTATTATCTTATTTGAAATCTTAAGTAATCAAAAACTATCCATCAATTGTGGTTGGCTGGTCACTGAGCATGGACATTGCTTATAAACTGTTCTATCAAAAGTTATGTTGTCAGTTGTAAACATTCAAGCCATATCATGGCAGCCTGTAAATTATCGAGTCTGACAGATGAACCAGTGATTGATATTATGAGCATTTCTATGTTATATAGGGGTACCATCCAACCAACCAAGTCACAGAGCCTGACCACCCCATCCAACTTAGTTGCCATTACTAGCAATAGAGTGTTCAGTACCAGGACCTATTCTAAGTTACCACTGGGCTGTATCAGAAGTAACAGAAGCAATCAGGCACAATGTATACTTTACTGGAGTCTAGTGTGTAAAGAGTGGTGTATCCCAACAACTGTCTCTCATAGCAATTGAAATATGAATGACTCATCTGTTGTCATCAAGAGGATGTAATCATTAAGACAGTTGTAGTTTTCTAGGACACCAAACACAAAGAATCCACAAATTGATTTCATCGTAATATCAACGTCGATAGCTTGACACTTGAGAAATAAATTCATCTCAGTCATGAATTGGCTAATCTTAGCAATTTTAATATATTCAAAAAAAAGGTAGCATTAACAATTATACACAAGTCTTTTGCTTATTGATTATGGTTGGCCTTGACTCAAACATTTACAGAGATATGATATGGCTGGAATATTGCTGACTAGTGATAAACATACACTCACTCACAATATCCACTACCTGAAATAATCAAGTAATCCACAGAAGACATTCCATAATGCATATGACAAAAATTCAAAAATCTCAAAAGAGATGAGTCTTCCATTGCAAATTGATAATCAAAAGTAAAATACAGTACGTAGTGCAGTAAAATATCACCGAACTGTTTAAGTCTTCTTAACATTCTTATCAAGATGAAACAGAAGGCAAAAATGAGAATGCTCTTGATTTAAGAATCTTCTTTTTTAATTCATGATCAACCATCATTCATTTCTCTTGCAATCAATCTTAGACATTTAGTGATTTCCCAACAGTAGTACTTGTAATAAGTTTTTCAAACAGATACTTAGCCACAAGCATCAAGATGAGTCTGAAGAGCAACACAGTTTGACTCCCTATAACCATGAATTCACCCAGATACATTTAACATTACTATGAAAATATTTAGCTCAACATCAATGTTATCAGTTATCAGAATGTCAGACCTGTTTCTCATAGCAATTGAAATACACAATGGCTCACGGACATCACCGAGAAAATTGTAATCATTGAAACAGGCTGACACAATTTGAGTGAGTGAGCGAGTTTGATTTTACGCTGCTTTTACTTTTAGCAATATGCCAGCAATATCACGGCAGGAGACACCAGAATTGGGCTTCACACATTGTACCCATGTTGGGAATCGAAACCAGGTCTTTGGCGTGACGAGCGAATGCTTTAACCACTAGGCTATCCGACCGACCCTGACACAATTTGAAGTAAAACCATTTTTATTTATTCATTAACAGTTAAAACGTTCCAGAACAGACACTTACCATCCATGACTGGCACGACAATGAGTGCTCTGTCGATGAAGACAGTGTTTGTAAGATGTAAAGCCACGCCCACGTGGGTTGTTTCATCATACTCAACATAGCAAACTCGGGCAGACACTTGTACATCAGAACTGAAAAAAAGAAATAAAGATATATTCCAAAACGCCATTTAAAAAGCAGAGAAACATTGTCAGTTAAGTTTGTGCTAGAATAAATTGTGCTTGTTTTGTTTAACACCATACTAAGCAATATTCCAGCAATATGACAGCAGTCTGGACCAGACAATCCAGTGATTGACATCATAAGCATCGATCTGAACAATAGGGCTACAATGACATGCATCAACAAAGACAGCAAGTTTGACCACCAATTTTTGCTAGTCGCCTCTTACAACAAGTAGGGTTGGTGAAGACCAATTCTAACCCTGATCTTTATGGGGAACAACAAATTGTGATAAACATGATAAACAGATAAACAGATGCATTAAAGGATGGTTCCATGGTACGTGAATTGATATGAAGCGAACATATCATTCCACACAGATAATGATTACATTACTTCATCCAAAATATCAAGTGCCTGCCTGCCATCATGACGCAATTGATTCCTCATCATTAATCAAGTAGCAAACTGTAATCATCTGACACGCAGGCACAACATGGACAAACCGCTGCAGGCTGATCATCAGTAACAGGCCTGGCTATCTACGAAATGAAGAGCGCTGCCTCTTACAACCATGGGTTGCTGAAGGCCAATTCTAATCCTGATCATCATTGAGGGATGAGGGGGTAATAAACTGTGATAAACAGATAGTTTTTGTTTTGTTTTTTGTTGAACGTCGCACTTGCAATATTCTGTCTGTAAAGAATTAAAATCTGGACCTGACAATCCACTAATTGGCATCATGAGCATCGATCCACGCAATTGGGATACAATGACTCTTATGACAAGCATGGGTTGCTGAATACCTATTCTAACCCAGATCTTCAGGGGTGTAAACAGATACTGCATTACATGATGGTTCCCTTGATCATGTTTATATGCAAATTGCAACAGTCACATTCTTATGCATGGTAGTAATATTACAGCATCTAGACAGACTGGTCATCGAATCAAGGATTCTTGCCACTTCTCGAAGGATCGAGGTGGTTAGGTGCCATCAATTTTCAGTTTACAACAATGTCAATAGTGATGTCAATTTAACGATTGTTAAACAATCTAAAGTGAACTATATGAAAAATCCAAATTGCAAGATACGTATTTTCTGTTTCATTGATAAAATTAGGTCGGTTACATTTTCAAATTTGAAATTCATCAATTTCAACTTGAATGATTAATTCTTGTTATTCACTTCTGTGCATTTGCATTGTGGGTCAATCAAATATATTGAAAAGCTGAATTTCGTCTGATTCAATAATTGTTCAACTTACTCTGGGGGATACATTTTCAACTCGCGGATCCTACCGATGAATCCGAACAAAGTTTTCATTTGATCTTTTGTCGCAGTCGGCGCGACATTCGTCACCTGAATAACTTTCGTGTCGAATTTGTCCGACATTTTGAGAGATCGGTGATGGTGTATACACACCACTAACTATAAATGCACAGTTGTTTCAACGAATTCAGCAATTTGGGACACGAAAATGTCTTATTGCGTCCAACCCGCGTTTCGGGTTGGCACACCACGCGTTTCGTCAGGGAAATGTTCGTAGTGCTGTACGCGAGAAAGCGCTTTACGGCATACTGAACGACGAACAACTAATGTTGTAAAACATCCGTGAAGACGTCAGACGGAGGTAAATCAGCACGATCACCTGAGTGCAGTTCACAGCCAGAAAGTGATGGAAAAGTAATGTATGAAACATTAACTTTCTAGATGTTTGGACGATGAGTCACCATCCTCATCTTCGTGTTGACTGTGAAGTGCCATGTATTGATGAGTCACCAATCAAAATATGTTTCGTTTTGCTGACACAATTGCCACGCGGGTATGGCGCATGGAAACTAATCCACTTCACCTCACCTGTGGAAGAATGCATGAAATTTGCTGCGTTCATGCGAACTTATTATTCGTGTTCCAGATTGGCGTTTATCAAGCTGACGAAATGAACATCTCGTGAGAGCGAGTGAGTCGGGTTTAACGCCGCTTTTAACAGTATTCCAGTTATATCACGGCGCGTCAGCATGATGTGGGAGGAAAGCCCGAAGTGGTGCAGGTCTCTGACGTTTACCACTTCGGTGAGACCCACAAGCACGTGAATGGTGCTGACATATTTGGATTCATAATCAGGAGTGAACCAGGATTCGAACCCACAATCGCGGGTTTCGGCGTGCACATAGACGCCCAGTCTGTACCTATTTTGAGACAATGACATGAGTGAGTGTGTCGTACTGATTTTTACCAATTCACATACGTATGTTAAAATGCTTTCACGCAAGCACTAATACAGAGAGGGGGCGGTCGTGTAGCCTGGTGGTTAAAGCGTTCGCTCGTCACGCCGAAGTCCCGGGGTCGATTCCCGACATGGGTACAATGTGTGAAGCCCATTTCTGGTGTCCCCCGCCGTCATATTGCTGGATTATTGCTAAAAGCGGCGTGTGTGTGTGTGTGTGTGTGTGTGTGTGTGTGTGTGTGTGTGTGTGGCTGCTTGTACTTTGCTTTTCCGGACTGATGCTGATTTTATAGTGCTAGCCCACTGAGATACCATGCCGCAGTTTAACATGAATACCCCACTCAGAGTATACTGACTTCAAGCCGACCAGGCATCTTTTAATGTCTTTTGGTATGACGCGGCATGGGATCGCTCTCCGGGCGGGTGGTCTAGCTACCACTAGATCACGGAGGCGGTCTGATTACGTCGTAATAGTTGTATGCGTAATTAGGTTGATACTATTACGCGGACATTGAATGTAGACGTTATACAGACATTTTTTGTTAACGTAGTATGAAAGTACGACACAACAGTTGAGGTGAGGTGAAATGGTGTTTAACGTCGCGTCCAAGATTATTGCACTTATATAGCGACGTGCATGCACGTGTGGGTTTCAGTGTATGTGTGTGTGTGGCTGCTTGTACTAGTCCGGACTGATGCTGATTAATAGTGCGAGCTCACTGAGATACCATGCCGCAGTTTAACATGAATACCCCACTCAGACACAGTATACTGACTCCGAGCCGACCTGTCCATGTTTTAGCCCCTTAATGCCTAGCGCCAGACATGGTTACATCAAGTACCATATTTTAACGTCTTTTGGCATGAATCGGCCGGGGATCGAACCCCGGACCTTCCGCTCACGGGCGGACGCTCTACCACTAGACCACGCAGGTGGTCTAATACAGACACCATTGCCGTCATAGATGCATGCGTAATTTAGTGGACATGATCATGCGGACATTGATTGTTGACATAAAACAGACATTTTATGTCGACGTTATATGAACGGACGACACAATACTTGAGAGTATGGTTACACGACGCATTTAGCAATAGTCAAGCACTGTAACGAGCGAATGCCTTAATCACACGTCTACCACACCGCTCCTGCCAAAAAATAAGAACTTCACGCTGTACTCAGTTACACTTTTTTGTTGCGCATAGAGCATATTGCAAACAATTGCAAACAACCCATAACTTATTCAATTTCTACTGGACTTGGTCTGTCATGAAGAAACGAAAACATTTACTCACTATTATCTACTTACCTCATGTCGGAATTATAGTCTCTACTTTATAGACATTTCATACATACAGTAAACAGCGACTTATTCGACATCATTCCGATAATATATTTTAGAACGGTGATTATTTAGTCTCATATGTACACAATCGAGAGATGTTTCAGTACTGTTTTATTAATAAAGCTAGTGTTAAGGAATATGTTACAAGGTTGTTGAACGCGTGCCATCATAGTTACCTCCCTGTAATTTTATTTACCACATTCAATTCGATCAACATTTCAAACTGATATAATATGCAACACCCAGAAATACCATAACCACTATTAGTTGTCGCAATTCACTTGTATATTTTATTAATATCAGCTGATCCAATATCTGAAATAATGCATTTGCGACAACAACTTTACAACACGTACCCACAAGTTCACTTCCGGCATCTTTACCTGCACTAAACCTGAGAATTTGGAATTGTCTAGGGTAAAAAACCACTTATTACATTTATTAGTTGCGTTGGCAGTTTTGTATTTTGTAATTGCTTGTTGTGTTAGTATATGTCTGTGATGTCTCTAATAGCGTTGATGGACAAGACAGTGAAACTGACCTAGTCACATGGTCAAGTATGTACACCATGAGTAAGCCTTGGCATCGTACATTGTCTATTGGACACCTATCAGTTGCATTTAGACAGAGTTTTATCAATCAATTCCGTTCGTAGACAAGTTACCCCTAATTAATTTAAAGATACAAATTAACCAATACTAGAGACAAATATTGTTCCACACAGGATCCTTATATATTGCGAGAGTGATTTTGATTGAACAAAAAGAAAAGGAAAAACTTCGAAAACCTCATTTAATAACTACAGTGTTATAAATACTATACTCATAGAAAGCCAAAGAAACACCTTATCACAGTTCTCCATGTGAATGAACCAGACAACTTGTCAACAGTCTGTATGGAATAGTTCTTTGGCATCTGTATTTTCTCGTGATCATGTCTTGCTTACACTGTTGAACACTGGTGTAATAGTATTCTGAACGAGTTGCACCCGACTCGCCTAAAAAAATCTGACCCGACTCGCCTAAAAAATATATATAATATTTTGGTAGGCGTTTGGCAAATATAACTTAGTCTAGGCCTAATGATCACAATTACCAGTATATTCATACACAAGTATGGAAATAATATATGAAAAAAACAATGTATCATCCATAGAATTTGTCTTCTGTCATGTTTACATCTGCACTTCATGTTGAGTCAGTGAGTCAGAGCCCAGTTGCTATTGGGACCGAGACTACAACACTAACATTTAGGTACATTATGTGTATGAAATGCATTACTATGTATTTCTGATAGTTACATACTTATTCTAAAATACAAAAACCGACCGTAGTTTGCTCCAAAAAAAATCTTTTTAGGCGAGTTGGGTGTATCCCTTCTGAACACTAGAATTGCCTTGTCTGTAGGTCAGATAGTTCTGAGCAAACCTTACAGTAACTTTGCCAGCATTTGTTCATGAATTCCAGTATTTGCCTGGTTCTTCAAGCATTGTTCACACAAGTATCTTGTGTTTGTTTCCCATTTTCAGGATTGCTCTTGACATTCTAGCCAGTGGAGTAGTGATCTGTGTGAAACTGTTACATTTATGATTTGGTCAGAGTTATTAGAATAATAATGAATCATGGTTTCAGTTTGTTCCTGTTAACTGGTAATTGCCAGTTTTTCACTGGTAAAATTAGGCTTGGACCGGTAATTCCTGTGACTGCCAGTCACTGTGGACTGGCAAAAAGGTATCTTGTAATCTTTGTCGTTGAACAGAACATTCGTCGATAGTAAAAAAATTATACTTTGAAATGAAGTCAGCTTGTCTGTTATCATCAGGGTTTCCCGTTGTCTATTCTAAGAACAATTAACTAATATTTCACTTTGTTCGAGGTTAAATATCTATTTGAAGTGACTTAGTCTTGAATCAAAGTGAAATATTCAGAAAAAAAAGAGAAAATTGTGATCAAACTTTGTGTGGATGATGTGTAGGTCAAAAGAAGTTACTTGTGAAATGACGTCACTGAATTTATCCGCCATAAAAGTAAACTGCATTGAAATTGATGTTGAAAGAATTAAAGCCAGGTTATTTTCATACAGTATGTATTTGTTCAAAGTTGGGACTGACTAAATTGGGTGGGACTAGTAATTTATATAGTTGTCAGTCCATTGGGACTGGCAGTTTAAAAGCCAGTAGGAACACTGCGGTTTGTCAGCACAATACCTGTGCTTGCTAGTTTCACTAAAAGGATAAATGCCTATGACATGCATCACTTTTGGCTTTCCGCACAAATTACACTGACACGCTGTGATAAAACTGAAATCCTGTTCAAAGCAGCATTATACCCAACCCAGTCTCTTACTGCAGTAGCATATACAGGTTAAATTCATTAAACCATGGCTCCTTTGTTTTTGACCAGGTTGACCATTTATTAACGAACTGAATTGTTGTTTAAACACCACTTGGCACTTCTACCTTAATGATAAAACAGTTTCACGAAGAAAAATCTATCGCCAGCAGGATTTGAAACATCAAAGTCCAAACCTAAGGCTAGTGACTGTCCTCTGAAATGGCGACATGGTATTTACTTACATTCAAGACTAATACTTTATGAAACAGTGAACAGTGAAATGTGTGTTTTATGCAGTATGTTTTACAATATTCTAATCATTGTACAAAGTTTTGATTTGGTAGCTTTACGTTCAAAGGAACAAACAGAAAAGAAATTACTCTTCACTTGATCAGGGCTATGTTTTCTTGTAATAGGCCCATCAGCACTGGCAATTATTAATATTGTGTAAGTTTTGTTGATTGATAAATGTAGGGTTCCATATGAATTGTATTCATCCCAAGGGAAAGAAGAAAGAAAGATTCCGGGAAAACTTTCACATGCATCACACAGGGCTGACTCACATAATGTTCTCACAGCTAAGCATAGAGTTATTGAATATCTTTCTGGTATATATGTCCAGTTATCCGAATATATGTCCAGTTATCAAAACAATGTTATTTAACTTAAGCATTTTATGGGTAGTAGGATTCTTTGAATGAATGTTGGCCTTGGTTTAAGTAGGTTAGGGCACTCGGACCTTGGAGTCTAATTGTTTGAAAATCATGCTGAGGACACTGCCAAACCATTTCAATGGTTGGACAGTGACAGACACCATATCAGAGTGCTCTAACCTACACCTGAAGCCATGGTCCACCACCGAGTTCATGCTCAGGTTCTTCACTGGAACTTAAGCACCCAGTCATCAGTGAACTCAAGATCTTAACTGAAACAGTCAGCTATGATGAAGAAGATGATGGTGATAAACTGTTCTGTTGACTTCATGGACCATAGGACCTGTGGAGATCTGAGTTAAAATAGGTCTTCAGCAACCTATGCTTGCCGTAAAAGGTGACTATCCTTGTCGTGACAGGCGACTAACAGGATTGGGTGGTCAGGCCCGCTGGCTTGGTTGATGCATGTCATCGTATCCCAATTGTGTGGATTGATGCTCATGATGTCAATCACTGGATTGTCTGTTCCAGACTCGATTATTTACAGATGGATGTCAAATAGCTGGAACAATGCTGAGTGCCGCATTAAATAACAAACAAACAAATCATGGACCGAAGAGGAGAGAATATTACAGTGTCATGAGGGATGGGGAATCACAGAAAGTTCCTTGGTATTTGCCACAACAGAATGTCAGCTAATCAAAAGTATGAAGTCATGTTAAAATTTACATGAAAAGTATTGCATGAAAAGTATCTGTCACAAGTTGAGGCATGGCAGTAATTATCATGCTCTTGTTATCTTGGCATTTAAAGGTTACCTGCTTGGCATTAAAAGGTGAACACTTTAGAAAAGTATAGGTGATTGTTTCCAATTGATTAAGTTCTGGCAACCATGTTGTCAATGTTTCAAAATGTCAGCGTTTGTGTTTATCAAAATAGTCATTTGATTAACTAGGTTTATCTCTTTTTGGTTTTGGGTGATCAAACCTTTGTTTGATTCAGAGACAACCTGGATAACTATCCCCTAAAAACCAAAACTTTTTTATGCTTACAGGACTTAAATCACGTTATTTGACTCAAGTAAGAAATATTTTCTTAAAGCACAATGCTGACATTATGTCCTGTAAGTCATGTAATGGGAGTTAGAATCCCAAGGCCCTGTGATTGGAGTAGATCGATCCATGACGCAAGTTGGTTAGTCGCACAGAAAGCTATGGGTTGTTCAGTCATCAATATAGACATGACTTCATATATGAAATGGTATGACACAACAAGATTGTTCCTATGTCTGCAGGTTGTCACAAACATCTTTAAGAATGGCAGACGTCAAGAAGTTGGTGTATTCCATCCTGAAGTTTCTGGAGGACCAGAAGACGGCAGGGTCGCTGAGTGACGATGCCGTGGAAAGTGTGGAGGGTACGTGTACCAGACTTCTCACCTACATAAGGCCGCCTCCATGGTCTTGTGGTAGAGCGTCCGCCCGGAGAGTGGAAGGTCCGGGGTTCGATTCCCGGCCACGTCATACCAAAAGATGTTAAAAGATGATACTTCTTGTTACCCTGTCTGGCGCTCAGCATTAAGGGGCTAAAACAAGGACTGGTCGGCTCGGAGTCAGTATACTGTGTCTGAGTGGGGTATTCATGTTAAACTGCGGCATGGTATCTCAGTGAGCTAGCACTATAAATCGGCATCAGTCCGGACTAGTACAAGCAGCCACGCAAACATGTGCATGCACGTCGCTATGTAAGTGCAATAATCTTGGACGCAACGTTAAACCCAATTCCACCTCACCCACCTCACCTCAGCAAGCCTCCTGCAGGGATTCTGTTCCACAAAGTTCACAGCTTTGGGCTTCCCAACCATATAAAGGAGAGATTCTGTGAGATAACTGAAATACTGTCCAAAGCGGCGCCATGGCTAAGACCTTCCCATCCTAACCCCTCACTTGGAATTCCAGGTGAGAATTGGTTCCCCATGGTTGTTGTAAGAGGCGACTTTATGGATTACGTGGTCAGGCTCGGTGAATTGGTTGATTGTGTGTCATGGTTCCCTGACGACATGGATCGTTGCTCCCAATGTCAGGATTTCTGGTCCAGACTGGATTATGTACATGCTGCCAGCTGGAATATTGCTAAGCTGGGCGTAAGAAAGAAGCACACACATAAACATATTGTTGATCAGCAGAACATCGCGTTATAATGGTGCTTTTGTTTACACAGTTGCCATCCAGTGTCTTGAGTCCGCCTACACCCTAAACACGCGCAGTCAGGACATGGCCGCCAAATACAGCGTGAGCAAAAACCTCCTAGACATCTTCAACTCCCAGCTCAATTGCGAGGTAAGTCACAATGTTTCATAGTATTTGACTCTCAGACGACATAGGCCACTTGTTTGTTGTCAATCAGTGCCTCAGTGAGCTGGCTATGTAGGAAAGGCAGTCACCATGCTTCTTATGAGAGACACTGGAGAGAAGGATCACAGTAGCTGTTGAATAGTGAGAAAAGTTTCCTGTAACGAAAATGACATATGTTTGTCTGTCAAATTCCAGAAGGGTACATTCATATTCTCACTTAGATTTGTTCACCATAATCTGTATTGGTATTACATTATTGTGAACCTGGGTTACAATAGGCAGAGCTCCAGATAAGCTGTGTATCTGCGTAAAATACGCATCAGAAATGCAGAAATACGCAGTAAAATAAAATTTTGAAATTATAAACGGGCATTTCGTCAACCTTGCTAAACTCCATGATGACAGTTACATCATGATCATTTGCCATCACACTTTCTTGTGGAAGTATCATGGTATATCTGAGTCCTATAAAGCTCTCGAACCCACACAACACCAGTTTGCAGGGACTAGATGAATAGTGTTTTTAACTTATTAACTTAAATACCCACATGTGTAAAAAATAGTGGGTTACAGAAATTTGAATACCGAAATAGAATTATTGATACCCAATGATTTTAAATTGCATGGGTAAAATACCCACAACACCAAAAGCTTATCTGGAGCTCTGAATAGGTCTTCAGCAACCCATGCTTGCTGTAACAGGCGATAGTGCTTGTCGTAAGATGCGACTGACGGAATCAGGTGGTCAGAGTGTTGACATGGTTGATGCATGTTATCATATCCCAATTGCATGGATTGATGCTCATGATATCACTGGATTGTCTGGTTCAGACGCGATAATTTACAGACCCACGTCATATAGCTGGAATATTGTTGATGCGTTAAACAACAAACAAATTGTGGACCTAGTTTGGACAGAATTGGTCCTCAGCACCCCATTGTTGGTCATAAAAGCCAAATTAATGGGGTGGAGTGGTCGATGACATGAAGACTACGTGCAATCGTGCCCCCAGTGGGTATGGTTGTTGCTCATGGTCTTGACACTGGTCAAGACGTGACTGTTAACAGAGCTCCAGATAACTTTTTGAGCAATTGAGTTTTTTACTCTAGGGTTTCTATTTTAATTGGGTTATTACATTTTTCATTGGGTAACCAATATTTTTTCACTCATCTATTCATAACTATATCAACTATATCAGTGCCGTAGCCAGCCTGGGGGGCAGTTGCCCCCCCCTGGATTTTTCACAGAAAACATTTTTCCTTGTGAAAATTAACTTGAATAAAAAATGAATAATCTTATTTGCCCCCCCCTGTCAAAAAAAGTTAACTGCGGCCTTGTATATTGTGTTTTTCCCCAAAAGAGTGACCATTTTAAGATTTTAAAAAATGAAATAAGTTTTTAGATGTATATAACCATGATAACTTTTCTAAATATATAGGCTTGACTCGGAAAGTAAATCAGCTTGTAATTGTGTTTTGGAAATTAGCTCCTTTGTACGCATGCTGAAAAAACTTCATTGGGTATTTACGCGTGCTGTTTTTATAATTTGAGGTTTTCATTTAATGCATGCGTTTCTGTATGGAAGTTTATTGAAAGTAATTGGGTTTTGAATATTTTTGTGGGGTATTTTACGCAAAGATGCTGCTTATCTGTAGCTCTGTTGTTAACAGGCTTCCATGATATGGCCATCTTCCCGAGGCAAGAGAGTTAACTGACTTTAAAAGTCCAGTTTCCATCCTTGCCGAACTAGGCTGGAATTACTGGGCACGATCGTAGTGCCACCAGTGGCTTTTACCAGTTAGGTTCCCTCTAAGCCTCTCCTATGGACCAATCAGATTCCACCTCTCATATCACTTGCGTTTGCTTCACACAAAATGGTGGCGCCGAGTCAGGACGATCTGATCGATAATCAAGATCTATATTGTGATAAAAGGGGTCTTACATCGCGAAATGCATCAAATCATGTGAGCACCTTGATTAAAAAAATGAAAAGATTTGGAAAATATCTGCTGACGAGTTGGCGGTGCACATGCTTTGCAAATCCTGCAATCGACCAAAATTTGCACTACAGTTTACGAACCGGATTTCGATTTCGGTGCGCGATTTTGATTTACCTATGCATAGACTCGTTAGTCCAGCCAAAATGTAACTCCAGCCTAGTTCGTCAAGGATGGAAACTGGACTTTTATAGTCAGTTAACTCTCTTGCCTCGGGAAGATGTGATATGGCTGGACCATTGCTAACTGCAGCTTAAAACAACATTCACTCTCTCATTCACTGTACTAGGATTACATAATAGTGATGTTTATTCCCTATTTGATTCCAGCCTGACTCAGATTTTGCTAGCATGTCTTTGCATGAACCGACTCCACAGGAGAAGGAAGAGGCAGAGAGATTGAAAAACAAAGGTAAGTAGCTCTGTGTAATACACCCTTCATTGTCCAGTGTGTCACATCCCCATTTCGTCAGGACAACCACGCTGGACCATTCACTACAACAGATTCTAAACAGGCCTTGTTCTTATGACATGATGCTAAATATAGCAGTCCAGTCAAATCACACACATTGGCGAGAAATATTCTGTGCTGAGTTAATGATACGAGAGATTTGATGGTGATGTCTTTTTCGAATGGAAGCTTAGCAGATGGGTCCACAATCTCATTAAAATCAGACCTCAGTTCTTGCTACCACTAAACAAAGATCTGAGGACATCCCATTACGGGTCACGTCAGAACGACCTTTCATCCGACCAATCAGAGCATCGCTTACCAGATTATGAACGTGACAGTCGGAATGTGATTTCTGATCATGCAGCCTCGAAAACTTTAACTCCTAACGATAGTTACGGGTTTAACGACTGTATCCATACAATCTAGCCCACCTATTAGCCATTCCTGAATGTTCTTGTGTTCAGGTTTCAAATTTGTAATCGACAATTTGTCAAAATATGTTTCGAAGCGTAGTTGCCAATTTGAAATTAGTGCCGTAAAGCTGCCTTCTGATTGGTCATTCCATTGGTCGGACAAAGTTCGCTCTAAGTCGGTCCGACGTGACCCGTAATGGGATGTCCTCAGATCATTGTTTAGCGGTAGCGAGAACTAAGATCTGATTTTAATGAGATTGATGGGTCCAGGGTATGTATTGTCATAGAAAAGAGATACCGTAGTACCATATAGATAATTTAGTGGATGCTGTTACAGTGACAGTGACAGATTTGAGAACAAAGAATGTACCCACCAGCAGAGGTAACTGATGTTGAAAAAAATCTCATCCCCCCTCCCCCACTACAAAAAACAATAAGCAAACAACACTGTCCCTGTGCAACAGTGTCATGGTAACAAATTATATGCCATTGTCTTGTGCTGCTTCTGACCGCCTCCGTGGTCTAGTGGTAGAGTGTCCGCCCGGAGAGCAGAAGGTCCGGGGTTCGATCCCCGATTGCGTCATACCCAAAGATGTTAAAAGATGGTACTTGTTGTTACCCTGTCTGACGCTCGGCATTTAGGGGCTAAACAAGGACTGGTCGGCTCGGAGTCAGTATACTGTGTCTGAGTGGGGTATTCATGTTAAACTGCGGCATGGTATCTCAGTGAGCTAAGACTATAAATCGGCATCAGTCCGGACTAGTACAAGCAGCCACACAAACACACACTAACATGCACGTCGCTATATAAGTGCAATAATCTTGGACACAAAGTTAAACCCAATTTCACCTCACCTACACTGACAGTGACAGATTTGAGAACAAAGAATGGACCCACCAGCAGAGGTAATTGATGTTGAAAAAACTCTCATCCCCCTCCCCCACTACAAAAGACAATAAGCAAACAACACGGTCCCTGTGCAACAGTGTCATGGAAACAAATTATATGCCATTGTCTTTTGCTGCTTCTGTTGTGAATTTACACTAAGTACTTCTCTTAATTAGTTTAAGGGAATTAGTATAAGGATATATTTCTCATGTGCCTATAATTTAGTACCTCATTAACAATCAAGTACTGTCAAATACTGTTGTTGAAATGTAAATTAGTTTCTTTTGGGGGAACAAAAAGTAGTGTTGAGTCTCTCCCTGGTTTCAGGTAATGACTTCATGAAAACGGACAAGTTCTCGGACGCACTGGAGTGCTACTCAAAGGCTATCAAGATTGACTGCAAAAATGCTGTATATTTTTGTAACAGGTAATTCATCGGGGAAACTTCCTTGTGTGTAGAATTACTGGATCAGATGATGAGGCTCGGTGACTTGTGTATCATTGTACCCAAACAACATAGTTTGTTGCTGGTTTGACTGGTGGGACTTGATTATTTAGAGACTGACTAGTCATGGTTTCGCTAATTTCTTCCTGTCTCAACATGCTCAACGTTGATCATTTTTTGGTTACCATGGTTACAGCCATTTGAATTTAACCGACTGGAGCCAAAAACACAAATAGAAAATAAATTTTAAATTTATTTCTACTTGCCCTGGCTGTTCTATCTTTGAGAGAGTAGAAAAATAGAATAGATACAACTTACAACTACAATAGTCAAAAACCTGTTTACGTTTTTGGCTATGATACATCTAGTCTATGTATTAGATGTAGTCTCCGGCCATTGCAAGCAGACCCGTGAAGATCCGGGGTAGAATAGGTCTTCAGCAACCCATGCTTGCCTTAAAAGGCGACTATGCTTATAGTAAAAGGCAACTAACGGGATCGGATGGTCAGGCTTGCTGACTTGGTTGATGCATGTCATCGATCCCAATTGCGTGGATCGATGCTCATGATGTCAATCACTGGAATGTCTGATCCAGACTCGATTAATTACAGACCGCCGTCATATAGCTGGAATATTGCTGAGTGCGGCATAAAACAACCAACCAACCAACCAACCAACCATTGCAAGCAGCATACAAGGAGAAGAAGCCTAATCTGACAGAAGTAGCATACATGATACTTTAAGACATCTTGTACCTGAAGCAGGATTACAATACTTGGCCCTGAAAGTACATGGTAGTGGTACATTCTGGGTTAGAATTGTCCCAGCAACCTATGGTGGTCATAAGAGACCTGGTACCTTGGTTGATCGTTTTTCAAACAAACAAACAATGTTAGTTTTTATTCCAGGTGTATGACAGTTATTTGTGTTGTGTTTTCCAGAGCCGCAGCATACAGTAAACTTGACAAACACCAGCTGGCTATAGAGGACTGCAACCGGGCTCTCAACATAGACCCAGGATACAGCAAGGCCTATGGAAGACTAGGGTAGCTATATGTTGATGATAATACGTAACGCCTGGGACACACTAGGCAGCCAAATATTGATGAGCACTAAGGATCGTCACTCATTAGCTGAACAAGTCCGAGAAGTTACGTTCTGTATCCAAACAAGTGAGATGAGTTGGTGTAGCTTCATCCTTTTATCATGGTGCTTGTAGCCATTTACTTCCAAATTCATATACACTGGAAGCAGAAATTAGGACAGAGGCTAGGGTTTTGAATTTCTAGAAGCTGGATTTTAGTCTCCATATCACCTGAAACTTGTTCCATCAATGTGTTTATGTGATGTATGCAGAATCGCCTACACAGCCCTCAACGACCACGAAGGAGCGCGTGAATGCTACCGGAAGGCCCTAGAGTTGGATCCTGACAATCAGAGCTACCAGAATAACCTGGAGATTGCAGAGACCAAGCTCAAGGAGGCCGCTGTCGGAGTAAGTTGTGTTCCAGTAGGAACCATTAGTGACATTTGCGTTTTCTTTAAAGTTATGCCATCTCTGTCACTCCAAATTTGTCAGTCATCTTCATAAGCCCAACAACGATTACAAAAGGGTTTAGCCCTTGGGGACTCATGTACATGTCAGTCTGTGATTACTGCAGCTGTACAGGTCAGTCTGTGGTAACTGCAGCTGTTCAGGTCAGTCTGTGATTACTGCAGCTGTACAGGTCAGTCTCTGATTACTGCAGCTGTACAGGTCAGCCTGTGATTACTGCAGCTGTACATGTCAATATGATTACTGCAGTTGTACATGTCAGTCTGTGATTACTGCAGCTGTACAGGTCAGCCTGTGATTACTGCAGCTGTACATGTCAGCCTGTGATAACTGCAGCTGTACAGGTCAGCCTGTAATTACTGCAGCTGTACAGGTCAGCCTGTGATTACTGCAGCTTTACAGGTCGGTCTGTGGTTACTGCAGCTGTTCATGCACAGGTCAGTCTGTGGTTACTGCAGCTGTACAGGTCTGTCTATTATTACTGCAGCTGTACAGATCTGCCTGTGATTACTGCAGCTGTACAGGTCAGCCATTGATAACTGCAGCTGTACAGGTCAGCCTGTGATAACTGCCAGCTGTACATGTGTTCTGTGATTACTGCATCTGTACAGGTCAGCCTGTGATTACTGCAGCTGTACAGGTTATCTGTGATTACTGCAGCTGTACAGATCAGCCTGTGATTTCTGCAGCTGTACAGGTTAGCCTGTGATTACAGCAGCTGTACAGGTAAGCCTGTGATTACTGCAGCTGTACAGGTCAGAATGTGATTACTGCAGCTGTACAGGTTATCTGTGATTACTGCAGCTGTACAGGTCAGCCTGTGATTACAGCAGCTGTACAGGTCAGCCTGTGGTTACTGCAGCTGTACAGGTAAGCCTGTGATTACTGCAGCTGTACAGGTCGGCCTGTGATTACAGCAGTTGTACAGGTCAGCCTGTGATTACAGCAGTGGTACAGGTCAGCCTGTGATTACTGTAGCTGTACAGGTCAGCCTGTGATTACTGCAGCTGTACAGGTTATCTGTAATGTTTCAGAGTGGATTTGGAGCTGGCCCTGCAGGTGGTCTAGGCATGGATCTCGGGAGTATGCTTAACAACCCCTCTCTAGTCAATATGGTGAGTACACACCGTTTTATTGTTTCAGTTTGGCAGACATGTGGCCTTATAACCCTGGTTAGGTGTGTACACAATGTTTATTAATGTTCAGCTCTGATCCATAATGCAGTCTTACTTCAACTGTCATAACTCCCATACTTTAATATAGACTTCCTCAGCATTAAGAATAGTTTGTGGAACATCGACCATATATCAGAATTACCATCTCTGCACCTGTATCTAAAAAGGTAATGGCACCACAGGGGGCACGGGTGGCCCAGTTGTCTATGGCGACACGATTCGCTGTGCAGAGTTGCGTCCCTTGGGCCCCCAGAAACCTATGATTGTGGGTTCGATTCCCGGTTAGCCGCGATTATGTTTCTAGGTTTGTCAGCACCATACCCGTGCTCGTGGGTTTCACAGAAGTGGTAAACGTCTGAGACCTGCATCACTTCGGGCTTTCCTCCCACATTAAGCTGACATGCCGCGATATAACTGGAATACTGTTAAAAATGGTGTTAAACCCAACTCACTCACTCACTAAAGGCACCACAGCATGGTTAGACATTTGTTTTTAGGTTCTAGTGAGGTGGTGTACAGGCGGAGGTGTCTGTAGAGCACATGGATGCTAGTCAGGGTTTAACCTTGACTTACAAAAGTGGGGATCCGGGGGACCCCCAATAATTAATTGTAAGGGTCCCTGCAGGCAATATGAGGGTCCTGTAAAGTAATGTAATGGTGTACTGCACTGTATGTTTAGATAATTACTATAGAGCCTGGACTGAATCATTGATCATGTGGATCAATGGTCATGACTGATGATTAATGCGTCCATTCTTGGCATTTGTGCATTGCTTATAACCCTGATGCTTGTCATGTATGCTGTATACTGAACTGTTGTTGTGGTGTTGCAGGCAGCGTCGCTGATGTCCAATCCACAGATGCAGCAGATGTATGTACCACCTTTGTAACCTCTCTCCACCAGCATCTATGTAATCTTACCACTGTAACCATGTCATACGTCAGACGCCACTTTTGTTTGAGTTGGCTTTTTAAGCCTCTATCATTACTATTCAGCAGACATTATCTCAATAATTTCAGTAATTTGAAATTGGGGGTGGAGGGGTTAGTGTCATCTGTGGTGAAGAGTAACATCACCTAGTCGAGTCTAGTTTAAATCCCAATCTCACTAAAATCAGATCTTAGTTTTCGCTGCCGCTAAACAAAAATCTGAGGACATCCCATTATGGGTCACGTCAGAACGACCTGGGAACATCTACGGTCTTTAGAACAGGACCATGACAGTCGCGGCAAAGGCTGTGAGGGTCCGCCAAGAACAAGTACATACAAGTAACAAGTTATACAGGCCGGGCATTTATCTTGGCTGTTCCTGTCTTCTTCAATATGTATCGTAGGTGTTATTACCAAGGAGGTAGTTCACGCACAAAAAAAAATGTAATATATTTTCAAAAATATGTCTCCACAGTATGGCGATGATAAGAGAATGATGTGTCTGGGACAGTTAAACATCACGTCGTGTAGGTCGCTATGCACATGATTACAGTGTGACCCAGTTGCTTGGGTGGTGACCATGGTGATGCTGGGATGTGTTTGGGTAATTTGTTTTTAGAAGCTGGAAACCTTGTTCAAGCACTTTTTCACACAGGATCAAAGTAGGGAGGAGAAATACATAGTTAGAGATAGGATAAGTATATAAATATACAAAGTAATGTAAGATTGACAGTACTATATCTGGTATACAAAGACGCTGTGTTCCTTCACCCCCCTGGGGATGTATTCTGTCTTGTTCTGCACAGGATGGCCGGGATGTTGTCAGGGGGTGGAGCCGGCCCAGCACGTGACCCTGGGATGGGAGGTCCAGGTCAAGCACCAGGTCAAGCACCAGGTCAAGCACCAGGTCCAGCTCCAGGTCAAGCACCAGAACAGGGTCTGTCATCTTTACTACAGGCGTGAGTACTCTGCCATGTTAACGTGCAACCTATGACGGATGTTCAGTCCAGTGTCCCTGCTATTGTAGGATTTTGTACCACCTTCTTATCCCAGCTACAGAAACAGGTCACCAGTGTGTTTTTCAATGTGGTGGAATCTTGTCATACTTAGAGTGCCAGCGACAGGAACACATTATTTGCGATTTTGTTTTGTGGAAAGTATTTAAATGTCCAAATACAACTAACATTGTATTAGTTGTTAAGTTTGTGAAATGACCTTTGACCTTTGAAACAACCTCTATATAATTGAAAGAACAATTAAGTCTGTGATTTGCCTCTTATTTTTCTTTCTTTTTTTTAAATTCACATTAGGTGCCATGATTTTACGACCAACCCTACATGTTGTGTTTGTAGCTCACTTAAGTCATTGTTGCGTCGAAGCTGACATTTTGAAAATGCACCCTTTTGGTAATAAAGGCAATAAGAGCAGTCTAATTATGAAGACAGATAAGCTGAATGTATATGAACATTTGACTTGTGGGTTTCACCAAATTTGTAAACGTCTAAGACCTGAATCAGTTCAGGCCTCCCTCCGAGGTCAAGCTGACGTTAAAGCGTTCGCTCATCACGTCGAAGACCCGGGTTCGAATCCCGACATGGGTACAATGTGTGAAGCCCATTTCTGGTGTCCCCCGCCATGATATTGCTGGAATATTGCTAAAAGCGGCGTAAAACCAAACTCACTCACTCACATCAAGCTGACATGCCGTGATATAACTGGAATACTGTTCAAAGCAGCATTAAACCTCACTCACTCACTCACTCACTCACTCACTCACTCACTCACTCAACCCGTGAAGATTCTGGGGTAGAATAGGTCTTCAGCAATCCATGCGTGCCGTAAAAGGTGACTATGCTTGTCGTAAAAGGCGACAAATGGGATCGGGTGGTCAGACTCGCTGACTTGGCTGATGCATGTCATCGATCCCAATTGCGTGGATCGATGCTCATGATTAAATCACTGGATTGTCTGGTCCAGACTCGATTATTTACAGACCGCCGTCATATAGCTGGAATATTGCTGAGTGCGGCAGTAAACAACAAACCACTCACTCACTCACTCACTCACTCACTCACTCACTCACTCACTCACTCACTCACTCACTCACTGTCTATACCGCCAACTAGGATTCCATCAGGATCTCAAGTCACAATGCCACAAGTGATGCAGTGTGTTAGTGAAGTTGGAGTTGTACTCTACTTCCCCGGTGTGACACGTGTCTTGTTTATGTAGGGGCCAGGCACTAGCGTCACAGATGCAGCAGCAGAATCCCGAGTTGGTGGCCCAGCTCCGAGCTCAGATGAACCAGCAGCAGCAGCCATCACAGAACACATTCTCAGAAGGTCAGTCAGGGGTCACCTGATGGCGCCGCTCAACTGGCAACTCATTGTTGGCTTACCCCCATAAAGTGTTTGTTTTTTGGATTGGATGTTAACATGAAGGGTCATGGATGAGTGAGAGTCACTCTTCGTTCGAGCTACTGCATGTTGATTGAGGTTTTGAAACGTTCCTGTAGGGGTAAAAGCTTGTGTGAACAATAGGACCAGTTCAATTAAATATATAAGGAAAAAGTTGATGTTGTCATTATGACTCTAGACCCGTGAAGATCCAGGGTAAGAACTGGTCTTCAGCAACCAAAAGTTGCCATAAAAGGTGACTGTGTTTGTCGTAAGAGGCGACTAACGCAATCTCATTAAAAACAGATCTTAGTTCTCGCAACAGCTAAACAAAGATCTGAGGACATCCAATTACAGGTCACATCAGACCGACCTTGCGCGAACTTTGACCGGCAAATCAGAAGGCAGCTTTCTCATGCTTTGCGGCACTAATTTCAAATTGGCGACTAGGCTTTGAAACATATTTTGACAAATTCTCGATTACAAATTTTTAACCTGAACAAAAGAACATTATGGAATGGCTAATAGATGGTCTAGATTGTATGGGACCGCCTCCGTGGTCCATAGGTAGAGCGTCCGCCCGGAGAGTGGAAGGTCCAGGGTTCGATCCCCGGCCGCATCATACCAAAAGACGTTAAAAGATGGTACTTGTTGTTACCCCGTCTGGCGCTCGGCATTAAGGGTCTAAAACAAGGACTGGTCGGCTCGGAGTCAGTATACTGTGTCTGAGTGGGGTATTCATGTTAAACTGCGGTATGGTAACTCAGTGAGCTAGCACTATAAATTGGCATCAGTCCGGACTAGTACAAGCAGCCATGCACACACACACGTGCATGCACGTCGCTATATAAGTGCAATAATCTTGGACACAACGTAAACCCAATTTCACCTCACCTAGATTGTATGGATTCAGTCGTTAAACCTGTAACTATCGTTCGGAATACCCCATGTTAAAGTTTTCGAGGTTGCATGATAAGAAATCACATTCCGACTGTTACTTTCATAATCTGGTAAGCGATGCTCTGATTGGTCAGATGAAAGGTCGTTCTGACGTGACCCTTAATGGGATGTCCTCAGATCTTTGTTTAGCGGTAGCGAGAACTGAGGTCTGATTTCAATGAGATTGCAACTAACGGGACCGGGTGGTAAGGCTCGCTGACTTGGTTGATGCATGTCATTGTGTTGCAATTGCATGGATCGATGCTCATGATGTCAATCACTGGATTGTCTGGTCCTCGATTATTTACAGACCTTCATCGTATAGCTGGAATATTGCTGAGTGCGGCGTTAAACAACAAACAACAACAACTTCCATCTTAGCCTCATGGTATGTTTTTCCTGTTTGCAGATCCCTCAAATCCAAAATGACGTCATTTCCGTGTCCCATGTTGGTTGCAAGAGTTGAATACAGAGATCGTCATCCATCACATCACTCAACCATCAATTATCATGTCCATAGGCTGTGTGTGCGATACGACCAGTTATACAGCCAGTCCCCCCCAACAGTCACACTGCAATCCACCGTACACCCCCCACTGCAGGAGCTGGCCAATGTACCCTGCTTTTGTAATGGTCAACATGATGATATCCTAGGTTGCGTGTAATATGAATGGAAACGATGCCATCTCTATGGCTGCCTTTAATTATGTATGTAATGTCAAGGATTGATGTGAACATTTGGATGCGCTTTTATCTGGCATAAAAAAATAAAAGAACTGGTTCTCAGGCAATGACTTTTGAAAATTGCGGGCGGGAAGTGTTTTGTTTGTTTTTTTGTTTTGTTTTTTGTTGTTGGTTTTTTTTTTTTTTTTTTTGCTTGTTCAAACCAGCATGTAACCAAATGAACAGTTGTGTACTATCAACCTGGGACAAGGCCTCCCTACATAAACAAGCATACAAACGCCTATTGCCGCCATTACGATAAGCAGTGTGCATGTAAAGGGAAGTAACTGCGTGCTATGTTGGATTGCTTTGTTTTTAAGTATTAGGATTTTTTTGATTTTTTTTTCCAAAATGGAAATAAACACAAAACATGCGGCAAACTTTATGATGATGCGGGCAGTGCCTGAGAACCAAGACTATTATATTTTTTTTTTAGCCTTTGCAAGATACATATACTATGGCGATTTGATTGTAAATAGCATTTAGTTTCATAACTCGTTTGTTGTTTTACAAGCCATGTTCTGCCCTGGTTTGCTTTCTAAGTCTTGTTTTGATAATAGCGTTGATCCCTGTGAAATACCCAGCAGTAAGTTGCCTTGGTTACGACGAAACAAGGATTATGATGTTTGAGGCTGAAACGATCCACTTGACCACCAAGGTTGTAATCTCAGTGATACGAAAGACAATACTTATCATTGAGTATCGATGCAACTCTTGTTACGTATCATTTTCAGTACATAATGTAGTACTGATCTGTATGTTACCTTTATAATATGAAGCCCATTCTTCAGTTTAAAAAACATTAAACCACATCAAAAAGTAAGGAAATGTCGGTACGTGTTACCTCTGTTATATCAAAATTAGAATAGATTTGTGCAATATTACTCTGAAACATTGTAATTTGTATGATGTTGTTATCGTACCATACGTATCTATGGTGACCGGAGTGCGTCGTCTCAGCCCAACTGATGTTTGTCACACTAGTCCAGCTATCAATAGAATCCTCACCTAGGATGTAGGTGAACCAGCTGTTGCCATGGCGACGTGCTTATACGGATACATTGTATGTATCACCTTGTGGTATATGTATATTTGTGAATAAAACATTGATAATTACCAGATATTATTGGTGTAGGTAGTTATGACTGTCCGCATGTGTTATTTAATTTATGATTACACAACAGTGATATTTTTTAATTGCTAAAACTACATGTATTGGCGAAGTTAGAAATTAGTAATACTGGGTATTTTGTTCAACTTCTATCTTACTTTTAATTACATGTGAAAGTTGCAAGGAAATAGCTGTTCCCAGGAAGTTGATTATGTCAGACAGACCGTTCCTGCTTGAGATGACAGGTACTGCATCTGGGCCCCGTTCCGCAGAACGATCTTAGTGGTATGACGATCGTAACTCCCATGCTGTAACTTAGACTCAGAATAGTGAGTGAGTTGGGTTTGACACCGCTTTTAACAGTATTCCAGTCATATCACGGTGTGTCAGCTAAATGTGGAGGAAAGCCCGAAGTGATGCAGGTGAAACCCACAAGCACGGTTATGGTGCTGACAAACCTAGAAACATAGTCGGGTCGAACCGGGATTCGAACCCACAATCATAGGTTTCTGGCGTGCCCAAGGGACGCAACTCTGCCATCGCGGCGTCATAGACGACTGGGCCCCCCCGTGCCCCGACCTAGACCAAGGTCCTGAACAGTCAGTGGCCATAGGTGTAACTTCATTGCTTTCTTGTCTTAGAAGTTCAATCAAATTCTACATCAAGATATAATATATTTTTTGTGAAGGTTACATGATATGATGTTTTTTGTTGGACAAGAGTCCAGTCTGACGTTTGTGAGCTTATTAATGACACATTTTGACATTCATACATTTTTCACGAGACTCTAATCTTGAAGTGACGTTAACACAGACTGACAACTTCCACGTTCCTGGGGAAATCCCTGGAAATTCCCAAGCATGAATAAATACAGACGATTGTTTTGTGTATTTAGACACTTTTATCTTGAACTTGGCGTTTAGTGTCTGTATGTGTAACTGTCATTGGCTTTCTTCTCTTAGCAGTTCAATCAAATCCTACATCAAGATGTACAGTTGTACATAGCTACATCACTCATGTCAGTTGTTCTGTGCAACTATCATCACCATCTCTTGACACACACTTGTTACGGGGCAGTCGGGTAGCCTAGTGGTTAAAGTGTCTGTCATGCCAAAGACCCGGGTTTGATTCCCGACATGGGTACAATGTGTGAAGCCGGTTTCTGGTGTCCCCCGCGGTTATATTGCTGGAATGTTGCTAAAAGCGGTGTAGAACCTCACTCACTCACTAACTCACACACTTGTTAAACATCTGCATCTGAAACCCATCCTGAATGATGTTGTGACTGGTTAAGGTTGCCACTATATGTACACAGCAAAAGGCCAAGAAATATTCAGGATATTTGAAGAAATAAAATAGAGTACCCAGAACAATTTTGCATGTTTTCGTGCAATAGAAAAAAATGACTAAGATATTGGCTGCATGCAATGACTTGCAGAACCTCTCTGTACATAAGCTGTTCCTTACAATCTACCATAGGGATACAGGTAGGACTAGTCACGATTATAGACCAAGTTTTGTGTATTCATACCATGTGTATGTAAATTAGCTGTGTATGGGTTCTTTTGGAAGATGTATTCTACCTCATCAGTCTATTACAGCTGAGTACATGAAAGTATTAGAGTCGAGTTGGTCAGTCCAGAGCAGGGAACTACAATGTATCACCAAAAACTGGCTTCCCTGTCACAATCCTTTACAGACCATTGTGATGTCATCGGTTACCATGATGTCACAATCAAATGACATCACTAGTCTCTGTGCCACTGAAGCTGCTCAGGGCCCGCTTGCACAAAGCGATCTTAGCGCTAAGACTATCGTAAGCCTATGTTAAAGTATAGGAGTTACGATCATGTTAGCGCTAAGATCGCTTTGTGCAAGTGGGCCCAGCTGTACATTTTACACACACAAACTGCTTGTTACTGTTTACAAGTTGAAAATGTTGAAAGATGGATTTTGGATGATACTCGTAACAAGAATCTTACCCTTGTGTCTTTTGATATCAAATATATCAACACTTACCGATAAAAGTTTGATATTGTGAAAGGAGTTTTTGTTTTACAGGAAATCCTGAGCTAAGAGGATCCCAATACAATGCAGGACTGATGGCCAATACCATTTGCCAAAGGAGCAATTTGTACATCTTCTTGAGGCAAGGATGTTAACTGACTATAAAAGTCCAGTTTCCACCCTTGCTGAACTATGCTGCAATTTCGTGGCTCGATTATAGCACCACTAGTGGCGAGTTATGTCCCTTCTATGTCCCTCATATTAACTAATCAGAATCCACCTCCTCTTTTCACTTGCATTTGCTTCAAACAAAATGACAGCACCTAGTCAAGTCAATCAAGATCTATGTTGTAATAAAACAGAGCTTACCCTGCGAAGTGCATCAGATCATTTGAGCACCTTGATTAGGAACATGGAAAGATTTGTAAAATATCTGTCAATGTCCAGTTGACTGTATACATGCTTTGCAAATCCTGCCATCACCAAACATCTGTACGATGAAATCCATGTTTACGAACCGGATATCTAGTCTGTTGCACGATTTTGAATGGACTATGCGCAAAGATTCGTTAGTCCAGTCAAAATGTAACTTCGGAATTCCAGCTTGCTCAGCAAGGATGGAAATTGGACTTATATAGTCCCTTGCCTCGGGAAGATGCAATTTACATGAATAAGAAATAACTATTTTTCCCAGTATTGATGTTACTTGTTAGCAGTATTCAAGATCCATTGTCATTAAACGGTCCACAAACACTCATCTTCTGTCAGTGCTAGGAGGAAGTATCTGTGAAGTCACTTGGAAGCTTAAACAGGGTCCTAATTGTACCCTGCTTCCTGGTAAGACTTGGGTTATCTACCCCCGCAAGCACAACCTGCACAGGATATTCCATCGATGTGTCGGTACAGGCTGTATCCCTGGGTGAGATTTATCATCTCATTTGTGCATGGTCAATACGGATTATACATGTGTAGACCAACATGTGCTATACAAGTTCTATCCTCAGTTTGATGTTAAACTGGAATTGTTTTAGACAGATTTCTTTATACATGAAACAAGTTGGATATATATATTTGATGTCTGGTAATAGTGCCTTCTTTGTTAGCTCACCTGTCCAGAGGACTGGACCAAGTTGATGCAGGGCACATTTTCCATTGTTTGTCGTCATTCTCAATTTGTTTTAAAACTTGAATAGCTGTAGGTTTATCAGTGTCAAACCATGTCTCTTGTAGGCTGGACTGTACTTTTTCACTATTCTTTTGACATGTTACTGCTTCAGATTTTCAGCAACTGCCCCAAATGTTTGTCATGCAATGTTCACTCGACAGAAACCTATGATTATGGGTTCGAATCCTGGTTCGCCCCAATTATGTTTCTAGGTTTGTCAGCACCATACCTGTGCTCGTGGGTTTCACTGAAGTGGTAAACGTCTGAGACCTGCATCACTTGTGGCTTTCCTCCCACATCAAGCTGACATGACGTGATATAACTGGAATACTGTTCAAAACGGTGTAAACCCAACTCACTCAAATTGTTGTGAGAGAGAAGCATTCTGATACCACACAGAATGATATCAGAATGGTAGAACCAACAAACAACGAATTTATGGATGACAAAATTGAGGAAAAATTAAAATAAGACTGATTTTCCTGAACCAGAATATTTGAATTTGAGAATAGAAACATTACTGAGGACATGAATTATGCCGTGTGTGTGTGAGTGAGTGTGTGTGTGTCAGTGTGGGTGTGTGTCTCAGTGTGTGTGTGTGTGTGTGTGTGTGTGTGTCTGTTTGTGTGTGTGAGTGAGTGTGTGTGTGTGTCAGTGTGTGTGTGTCTGTTTGTGTGTCAGTGTGTGTGTGTGTGAGTGAGTGTGTGTCTGTGTGTGTGTGAGTGAGTGAGTGAGAGAGAGAGAGAGAGAGAGACCAGGCAAGGTAAGCTACAGGCTCTAACAAAACCATGTTCCACTGTGATCAGCATTTGTCTATTTGATACAAAGAAAGCCTTGCTTGCCAATGCCTGGGCATATCAGTACATACCAATGAGTACATATTTAATTTCACTAAATATTAATACATATTACAGAGTTCAATGTAAAGTATTTTAGTCATCTAAACCAGAAACCTCTCAACCACATGTTGTGTAAAACTTGAGGGGCCAGGAGGCCCAGGGTCCTGCAGCACTGCAGAGTTGCATCCCTTAGTTGCAGCTGATAATTGCTCCCAATCACAGTCAGTGTCAGCACTGCAGAGTTGCATCCCTTAGTTGCAGCTGATAATTGCTCCCAATCACAGTCAGTGTCAGCACTGCAGAGTTGCATCCCTTAGTTGCAGCTGATAATTGCTCCCAATCACAGTCAGTGTCAGCACTGCAGAGTTGCATCCCTTAGTTGCAGCTGATAATTGCTCCCAATCACAGTCAGTGTCAGCACTGCAGAGTTGCATCCCTTAGTTGCAGCTGATAATTGCTGCCAATCACAGTCAGTGTCAGCACTGCAGAGTTGCATCCCTTAGTTGCAGCTGATAATTGCTGCCAATCACAGTCAGTGTCAGCACTGCAGAGTTGCATCCCTTAGTTGCAGCTGATAATTGCTGCCAATCACAGTCAGTGTCAGCACTGCAGAGTTGCATCCCTTAGTTGCAGCTGATAATTGCTGCCAATCACAGTCAGTGTCAGCACTGCAGAGTTGCATCCCTTAGTTGCAGCTGATAATTGCTGCCAATCACAGTCAGTGTCAGCACTGCAGAGTTGCATCCCTTAGTTGCAGCTGATAATTGCTGCCAATCACAGTCAGTGTCAGCACTGCAGAGTTGCATCCCTTAGTTGCAGCTGATAATTGCTCCCAATCACAGTCAGTGTCAGCACTGCAGAGTTGCATCCCTTAGTTGCAGCTGATAATTGCTGCCAATCACAGTCAGTGTCAGCACTGTGGACCCAAAGGACCCAAAGGACCCATTTGGGCTCATATTTACAATGAAATAAGTATCTGGTTTTACAGATGTAGCTGACAAAATAATACCACCGCTATCCCCCACCAACACCCCCACTCCCACCCACACGCACCCCTGTCTTTTCATCCACCTTGTATGCTTGATGTTACTGTCAATCCACTAAAAGCCTTCCCTATCAAATATTAATCTTGCAAACCTGTACTCCCATACTTTAACACTGGCTTACGATAGTCGTAGCACTAATATCGCTTTGTGGAACGTTGCCCTGAATGGTAACTAAGATTACAGTACTAAACAAACTTATGATTATCAGTTTATATCATAAATATTGCAGTTGGGAATCTATTGTGCCACAGAAATAGCCTGAAGGCTAGATCAATGTTCCATGGTTTACTGTCTATCTAGTGCCGATATCGATACCGCCAGTAAACAGCAAGTGTGTAATAATTGACATGATGTCGGAAAAAGCAAATTTGAAAATAACATAATTAGGATACATATTATTTTGGAAATACTAATTATCAGTGGAGGTTTGGTTTTCCTTCAAACAGAATATGGATTATAAACATTATTTCTCCACAGCCCTTGGTCAGTGGCCCATGAAGTATATGTGCCTATATTATTGAGCAATATTGGTCCTGTATTTTCTCAAACAAGATATTTTCGACTGGTAATGGATTATGTATTTGAATCAATCTGAAGAAACATGTATTCTTTCTTTACTTATTTTTTTCTTATAAAATTTGCTATAGTCCTTTCCCAATTATATTATTAGTATATATATGATCAACATGAACAATTCGGATAAATAATTTGACAATCACATAACCACTTGCTATTCAAGGTTATTTAAATATATTGGCAGGGCTAAGGTGAAACATGGCAGAACAAGAACTTCCTGTACAGAGTTATGTCCCTTACCTCCAAGACCTCACCACACACCACACCCATAGGTTGTGTGCTTGAAAGCCCAGTGATGATGGAGTGGCTTCTCCCACATGTCCATGCTCGGATATGACATACTGCTCAAGCCACTACTTCCAAGTCATGAATACACAATGCCATTTAGAAAGTGGTCAAATGTAACAAATGTTATATATATATGTTATATATACTTCCTTAGTAAAGTACAGATTCTCGTAATTTTTGGGGGGGTTGAGTCCCGACCGGGATTCGAACCCACACTGCCAGAGTGAGGCACCTAATCGCCAGCACACAAAGTCAGCGATCTAACCCACTCAGCCACCGAGGCTTCCACAAATATGAAAGCCCTACAACTGGTAGTCTAGATCACATACTTTGAGTACCCCTCTGACTAGTGTAAAATCATTTTTGTGAAAGCCTCACTCTGGCAAGTGTGGGTTCGAATCCCGGTCGGGATTCAACCCCCCAAAAAGTACGAGAATCTGTACTTTACTAAGAAAGTGTTATCCCAAATATAACATTTGTTACTTCAAAGTCACTCTTCAAGACACACCGGCCATATCATGGTCCACATTTTTAAGACTGTAATAAGCCAGTTATTATGGCTTGATTGAAGATGTTGATTATAAAATTGTAGTCTTAGAACGAGGTTAACTTTCCAGTATCTTTGATTTTTTATGTTTTGATGTGTTAATCATATTTATGAAGTCTCTAAGTTGGCTATCATTTTGAAACATTTTAACACCGACTCACTTTCACTAAATGTTAGGCTACATGTGATGAATCATGAAGAACTTTCATTTTTAGCTCACTGGGCTGAAAGTGAAGTGTGTTTTTGTCGTGGCCTGTTTGTCACGGGTTGTCTAATGTAAACATCTCAGAAACCACTGGAGCAATTAAGCATGAACTTCCCAATAAGTTTATTTGATCAAATCTGTTTTTCAACATGACAGCCATATTTGAAAACCTAATTCTGGCCAGTGTTCAGCCATTTTGTTCTAGATGTCATGAAATTTGGGGTGTGTGTAGTTAGCATTTGGGCTCAAGACATGTTCAGTTTTTCAACATTATTGGACCTTTGCTCTTTGAACCGTGCACCTAAATTCTCTCAAAGTGTATTTTTGGTTTGGTAAACATCATCTCTGCAAGTACCAGATTGAGGAAGCCAAAACATTGATGTTTCTTCTCTAGATTATGTGGAATTGATAATGCCATATTTTCTTTCGGAAGTATTTTGTGGAAAGTAAATGTAACTGTAAAATAGTTATCTTATTCTTGCAGATTTAGAAACTTTTTTGAAATTTTGATACTTGTTCCCTATTTCTTAATATTTTTGGCCTCAGTATTTGTACAAAATATGGGGCGGTCGGGTAGCCTAATGGTTTAAGCGTTCGCTTGTCACACCGAAGACCCGGGTTCGATTCCCGACATGGGTACAATGTGTGAAGCCCATTTCTTGTGTACCCCGCCGTGATTTTGCTGGAATATTGCTAAAAGCGGCGTAAAACCATACTCACTCACTCACTTATGCAGAATATATTGAATAGCAATGCCAACAGCAACTTTTGTTAAAGAGCCGTCATTGTTAACATTTCCTACTGTTGACTACACATCTATGTGAGCTGCAGTGCCATGGCACCATTTGATTTACCGATACATTGTATTTATATGATTAAATTTAATTCATTATTTGATTGTTCATCCGATCAGCCAACTTGAAGCTACATACTTGAAACTTGGAAGATTGTTGGCCTTTTTAGTGTAAAAAGTGCCACATACATTGACCTCTCTGTGCATTACCGTGCTTCATGCTCACTTTGTTTTAATGTTGCGGACATGAACCGTCCATTGCAACATTACATTTCATTCTCCACAACATCTGATTCAGGACATGAGGGGGCAGCGGTGTAGCCAAGTGGTTGAGGTGTTCGCACCCCACACTGAAGACGTGGTTCTAGTCCCCACATGAAACTCACACTTGGTGTCCCAGCAGTCTTTGTTTCACAGCCAAAGTGGCATAAACATATTCTGGAATTTAGTAACATTTTTGGTGTTAGTGAGGATCTTAACACTGCAATATTTCAAGTAGTGTCACAAGAGGCCGGTCAAACCTGTGGCAGATAGCATGAGCACCACAATCCATGGTGCAAGGGCAGGACGCCTCACAATCAGGCAGGTCACAAACCTTGTTTAAGTTGCAGGGGAGTTTTTCTAGCCCTGAAACCTCACACAGGTTTCTTAGCTAAGCACTTGGAATGTTATCCCTAGTGTTGACTGTACATCAGCATTGTTATCTAATTGATAATTTGCCAAACCATGGATAAATATTGAGTATTTACAGTATACGACAATCACTTGTAGAAAGTCTGTTGACAGCATCAACTTTGACATCTGCAGACATTTGGAAAATGATGTTAATATACTGATGGAAACAAATAAGGGTACACATTAAAGCAGAAGAGTGAGTGAGTATGGTTTTACGCCGCTTTTAGCATTATTGCAGCAATATCACGGCGGGTCAAGCAGAAGAATATTGTTGCATCAATGTGACTTCTTCGTACGCACAAACATTTCTCAAAAACCTCATTCAGGATACATGCAAGATGTCCCATCTAATAAATGAAAGCCTTATGTTCCCTTATTTTCTGCCATCAGTATAGTTCCCACTTGGGCATCAGCTGCCTGAAGAGTGACCCTTTGGGCAGATATAGTATTTGTCAGCAGGGCAGTGTGAATGAATCAGGTTTGTTGTTGGGGATTTCATCACAAAGGGTTGGGCATTGTTTGTCTTTTTTGTTGTTGCAAGTTTTGTATTTTTTGGTTTTTGCTCTTATTTTCATGAACAGAACTACGAAGGTGCTCAGATAACCTTCAACACATGTACTTGTTCATACCAATAAACAAGGAATAATCTGGACTGTGTTGTGTCTTTGCATGGTGGCCTATAGGATCACAATATACTTGTTAAGAATTAGTCATCTTCCAATCTCATTAGAATCAAATCTTAGTTCTCGCTATCTCTAAACGAAGATCCGAGGAGATCCCATAACGGGTCACGTCAGAACAACCTTTCATCCAACCATTCAGAGCTTCGCTTACCAGCGAGAACTCAGATCTGATTTGAATGAGATTGGTCATCTTACAAAGGCAAAGGAGTTAACTGACTATTAAAGTCCCGTTTCCACCCTAGAAGAAATCAGTTAACCTCTTGCCCTGGGAAGAGGAGAATCAGTGGGGCCTGTCAGGTTTGAATCCCACCGTCATCAAGTTTACGGTCCTTGGTTACATCCATGATTGTGGGAAACATCCTACTTCAAAGTTGACTTTCTGACTGTCACAGTGTCTGTTGTAACGTGAGTGTGATTTTGTATGGGATTGTACATCATAAGTCACTTGTATCAACGGGTTTCATTTGACCTGCTGTGACACCAAAACAGAGTTAGAATATCATCCAAGTCAGTGTACAACCCAACTTTCATCACCATTTTGATCCTCAAATTTATAACTTGGTTATTTTGAACACCAGACATCAAAACTATCCCTCAGATATCTCAGAATAAACGAAAACCAAATGTTGATCAGATTTTACAATTTACAGAATTCAAAATCACACAACGAAATTGAAACCCAGTTCGTAAACTGTCGTGCAGATTTCAGTCGACTGCAGGATTTGTAAAACATGTGCAATGCCAACTCAGCGTCAACAGATATTTTCCAAATCTTTTCACGTTTTGCACTTCGGGTTGTAAAATACGTTTTATCACAATATGGATATTAATTATCGATCAGATCTTCTTGACTGGGCGCAGCCAATTTGTTTTAAGTAAATGCAAGTGATACGAGAGATTGAATCTGATTGGTCCATAGGAAAGGCATTGAAGGGACATAACCCGTAATAGGCACTGGTATACAATCCGATACGATTGGCCCCAGGAATTCTAGCCTAGTTCAGCAAGGTCGGAAACTGGTCTTTTATAGTCAATTAACTGTCTTACCTCGGGAAGATGAGTCTTGTTTGTTTACATAGCCTTTCAGAGTTGTGACGTTGTTTACTGCTTGAAACATGGCGGCCCTACACATAGTTGAACACACAACAATGAAAATGATTATAGGATTACTTTACTTTCATTTTTCCATACAGAATTTTTTTTGTATTATCTTAACAATGTACATGACAAAAGCAAAACAACCAAACATATTTTGGGACGTCCAGAAAATAGTCTGTTGTTAACACACGTCTTCCCATGTAAGACAAGACATTCATACACCTCATGAAAACATCACGCATATATATAGGTTTCATCACCTTACATGGGAGACTGTTTTAACAGCAAGAGTATCTTTTGAAAGAATCAAACTATATCTGGCTGTTTGTGCTGATTCATGCATGGGTGCCCCGTACAAGGCCCGACAGACTCCTTGACAAGTCACACAGATTGTCCAACCTCCCTGGGTGTTCTAACTTCAATAATGGTTTGATGGTCAAAGATCAATGATAAAACAGCCTAAACTTCAATGTTTTCTTGATTCTAGATCCCCAAATAGTTGATGTGAAAAGTTTCTATCCTCCGCAGTCTGTTAACTGGATTTTGGCGCCTGTAAAGATTCTGCTAAAAATAGCTTTCCAATACTCTGTGAAGAGAACTCTGATATCTGTTTGGTGTAGTTGTCGATCTGCCCCGCCACCAGGAGGCAGTCAAGTCGGGGTGGCGGCTGGAGCGGCTTGAACAGCTTTGACAGGTCCTCCTCGGGCAGCGCCGCCTCACCTCGGGCCTGACGGACTTGGTTCTCTTGTGTCTGTGAAAATGAGAGAGCAGGTGATGTCACAGCATTATCACTGTGATATGTGAGGTGAGAGGAGGTGAAATTGGGTTTAACGTCATGTCCAAGATTATTGCACTTATATAGCGACATGCATGCACGTGTGTACGTGTGTGTTTGTTGCTGCTTGTGCTAGTCCAGACTGATGTCGATTTATAGTGCTAGCCCACTGAGATACCATGCTGCAGGTTAACATGAATACCCCACTCCGACACAGTATACTGACTCCGAGCTGACCAGTCCCTTTTTTAGCCCCTTAATGCCGAGCACCAGACAGGGTAACAACAAGTACCATCTTTAAACGTCTTTTTGTATGACGCGGCCGGGGATCAAACCCCGGACCTTCCGCTCTCTGGGTGGACGCTCTACCACAAGACCACGGAGGCGGATACTGTGATATGTAGGCCATTGCAAACCAGACATATCATCGGTTCACTGCATGATTAATTGTCAGGGTATAATAACACACCTTTATGACTCATCCTCATGAGTTTTCCTACAGCAACCTCTTCTTCAATAAGACATCAAATAAATTAAAACATTTCCACTGTAATACCACAATTGAGCAAGATCAACGAACCCCATGATTTCTCCGACCTCTCTACAAATCTCCGCCATATAAATCATGCTTACCCTTTTGAGAATGTGAGCCTGCTTTGCTTGTGTCTGTCTGAACTGCTGCCGCTGGAAGTTCAGGTACTTGTTCGTATCCATGGCAACATCATCCACACACTCCATCAACTGCCGAAGATTCTTTTCTAACATGGAGCTACAAGGGACAAGGTTTTTCTTTAAGTTATGGTCTATATCAGTAGTGTTTTCATCAACTATGTACAAGTTCCTGAATCTGATTATGCTCAGCACTAAAACTTGTAAAATCTGTAAACTTGATAATGCATGTGTTGTAGGAAGGTCAAGGTGGCCTTATTGTCCTTGGAGCCCGCTAAACTGGCTGATATTGGCTACATATATGAAACAACGAGGAAGGCATAACACTACAACATGTTTTGTTTGTTGTTTAACACCGCACTCAGTAATATTCCAGCCATATGACGACGGTCTGTAAAGAATCGAGTCTGGACCAGAAAATCCAGTGACTGACATTATGAGCATCGATCATCAACTCAATTGGGATACGATGGCATGCATCATCAACCAAGTCAGCGAGCTTGACCACCCAATCCTGTTAGACGCCTCTTATGACAAGCATAGTCGCCTTTTACAACAACCTATTCTACCCCGGATCTTCACGGGTCTTCTACACCATGTACAGATCTTATTTTATAGGACACTATAGGCGTAGACTCGGTGGATACCCATATGCTCTACCAACAACTTTAGATCTTCCCGATTTCCCGGACCTATTCAGTGCTGCACCCACCTGGTGGCCAGATCGAGGAAGGCAAACTCCTGGCTCTTCATCTTCTTGTCGTCCAGTTCGCACAGCAGGGCATTCACCAGGTGGGAGTTCTTCATCACCACGGGGATTTCCTCGAACATCTTCTCAAAGCTCATGTTGTGGCTGGTGATGCCCTCTGGGGTAAAGTCCCCCTTGGCATAAAACTCCATCATCTCTGGCGTCAAGCGGTACGCCTTCAGCGATAGGAAGCCCTGGGTCGTCTTCAGGGGGTCTGCACAGGAAATTACATGGTAATACTTCTTCCAGATGATCAGATTGGTGAGGTGTAATGGGATTTAACGTCGCGTCCAAGATTATTGCACTTATACATGTGTGTGTGTGCTTGTACTCGTCCAGACTGATGCCGATTTATAGTGCTAGCCCACTAAGATACCCCACTCAGACACAGTATAAAGACTCCAACTGACGTCTTTTTTATGACGCTTCCATGGATCGAACCCCTGACTTTAAACTCTCCTGACAGACACTCTACCACTAGACTATGAATAGGTTTTCTTGTTGACAGAAATATTACAAACAGGAATACTCATTATGAGAAATCCTCAGTGTTACCGACCTACCTTCATGCATTTGAAAAAATGTAATGCCCAATCAGACTACACTGATCTAACCACATAAAAGCACAGTTGAAATCTTTACACTATCTGTCCCTTGAATTTGCTTCTCGTGCCAAGGTATAAAATGTTATTAAACAATATTATTTATCAAAACTGAAATTACACCTATATTTGGTTAAACACTGAATGTTGTTTGTTTGTTGTTAAATGCCAGAATGTCAAACCTGTTTCTCATAGCAATTGAAATACACAATGGCTCACGGACATCACCGAGAAAGTTTTAATCATTGAAACAGGCCGACACAATTTTAATTTATTTCAATTTTATTCATTTTCCAAGTCAAGTTTGTTTGCTTTTGGTTTCATACAGCACTCCACAATATGTCAGGTATGGTGGCGGTCTGTAAATAATCAAGTCAGGCTCAGACAGTCCAGCTATTGACATCATGAGCATCGATCTACTCAATTGGGATATGATGACATGCATCAACCAAGTCAGTGAGTCTGATCCTGTTGTCGCCTGTTTAACGCCGCACTCAGCAATATTCCAGCTATATGACGACGGGCTGCAAATAATCAAGTCCTAACCAGACAATCGAGTGATTGACATCACAAGCATCGATTCACGCAATTGGGATACGATGACATGCATCAACCAAGTCAGCGAGCCTGACCACCCGATCCTGTTAGTCACCTCTAACGGCAAGCATAGTCGCCTTTAACAGCATGGGTTGCTGAAGACCTATTCTACCCCGGACCTTCATGGGTCCAATAACCATCAATACATATGACAGTGTGAATGTTTATGACAGCACATACCGTAGATAAGTACCACTGACTCCTCAATGGAGTGCTGGTAGTTGAACTGGGAGTCCAGGAGAGGGCGGTTGATGAAAGAACCGAAGTACGTGCTCTGATACCAGCCAACATGAAGATGGTCAATGTTGACGTGACGAAGGTTCCTCATCATCTCCATCTGATACTGGACTGAAAGTGTCACAATTGGTGTTAGTCTTTACAAGTAACACACTCACATCACTAATAGCCAGGTACCATAGACACAGAAGGAAGTGTATCTGAGGGAAACACAAGCAGTGTTTAGGCACGACATGCTAAATGGTCACATAATGAAACAAAACAAATCAACGATATTTGAGGGATGTGGTGCATATACAACTTCATTTAAATCAATGTGACCATATTCAGAAAGGAGCGATTGAGTCCTCTTTTACAGAAACATCACGACATGGAGACACCAGAAATGGGCTCCATACAATGTGAATACTTTTGCAATCAAACAAAGGCCTTCTACACAACGAGCAAACACTTTAACTACGATGCTACCCCATCGCCCATATCAGGGTAAGATAAAGCCACCAGTCATAAGACTAGTCCAAATATATCTGCCAATGGTTTGTTACGTTATGTGAACATGATAGTCCAACAGTCTGAAAAGATTTGTTTGTTTGTTGTTTAACGCCGCACTCAGCAATATTACAACTATATGTCAGCAGTCCGTAAATGATTTAGTCTGGGCCCCGTTCCACAAAGCCATCTTAGCGCTAAGGTGATCTTAACTCCCATACTTTAGCACTGGCTTATGATAGTTGTAGCGCTAAGATCGCTTTGTGGAACGGTGCTCTGGACCAGACAATCCAGTGATTGACACCATGAGCATCAATCCACACAATTAGGATACAATGACATGCATCAACCAAGTCAGCGAGCCTGACCCTCTGATCCTGTTAGTCGCCTCTTACGACAAGCATAGTCACCTCTTACAGCAAACATGGTAAGAGCTGCACATAACTCCTTCTACCTTCATCAAAGTCTTCCTCCTCATTGTGTCTGGGGAAGGGGAAGCAGTTTGTGATCTCCAGCCTGTTCTCCACCACCAGCCCCAGCAGCACCCCCTGCACCAGGTCCGTGCCCCCCGCTCCCTCCTCCTGGCAGTGCTTGATGATCTTCAGCACAACCTGCAACCAAACTCTCACTCTACAGGGCATGCTCACTTTCTAGATCTGAGATAGGAACCTCTTCAGAAATGTAAATCACAAGCAACCTCAAATAGTTCTAACTTGCACATACATAAGTACCATTATCCCTAAAAGTCCCAAGGATCTGTTTGAAAGAAGAGATTTAAATAGGGTAGGAATACATACTCACAGTTGGTAACACTCACTGTACAGTTAACTACGGTTTTAACGAACTCAATGGGACCACTATTTTTAATTCGTTTTAACCATAGTTCATTAAAAGCATATATATATAGCCTATATACAGCAAAAGGACAGGACCTAAAAACAGTTTGTTACATCCGTCAGTTCATTACAAGGAAGTTTGTTATAAACAAAGTCTACTGTATTAGTGTTGCGATCAAAATACAACAAAATTAATATTATCTGACATTAAGAGGCACACGCTCTTGTTGAGGCAGGGCAACATGCAGCTGAACAATTTGGGCCATAGCTGACCATGTTGACTGACAACACAGCGCTTCCTTGTAAACAAAGTTAGTGTCAAGATTGAGTATATATTAAATAGGAAAATTAGTCACTCAAAATTCCCCTTGTATGTGATTGCTCTCAAATCATGCTTGTTTTGCACTTTGAAATACAGGAAATGTAACAACTTAGTGACAGATCAGTAGTATTTTTTGAGGAGATGAAGACTACAACTGCTCATACATTCAACAGCAGTCTACCAGTACCACCTATTCCGATATTCAATAGTTCCTGCCTTAATGTCAAATCTTGCAGTTTGATTTTCTTATGATGTAATTTACAAGCAATTACTTGTTTGGTTGGGTTTATACAAACTAGGACCTGATACCAAAACGAATCAGAAGAATTTTGATTTTGGTAGGTGGTTACTCTCAAATTCCAACATGCTGTATCAGTGTATGAGCCAGAGAAAAAATGTTAATGAAACATGAGACTAAGGCTGTTGATCAATGAAGACATTACCGTGGACTGGACAAATTGCTACACTCTGACATGACGAGTCAGACAGAACAGAGTAGCAAAAAATCCTACAGTATGGTTCATTAGTTTCCATGGTTGATCATAATAATGTAGCCATGTAACTTCCTCCGGTACACCAGCTGCATATGTATGTCTAATCACTTCCTTCTGACAGGCTAAAGAAAAATCAAACCATGGATGATTCCACATTATCATTGACTGAATGTATAAAGTGATGTTTCGTAGCAGCCAGAATACTCACAAGGCCATCAATCTGTACATATTTTACCGGTGACGGCAACGTGCTCGCTCTGACGGTCGCCATTTTGACTGAGTGACTGCGCGAGCGCTTATCAGTAGATTTGACTGTCATTTCGTTTATGTTGCGCAAAACTCTTTCCGTTCTATGAACAGCCGTTTGTGCAATGGATTTCTTTGCGATACTTTCTTCGTTCATTTGTAACGTGCATTTCTTGCGTTTAGTGGTATTATCAACCAGGGTCGGAACCTCAAAACTATACACAACTTGTAATTTCTAACTTACAAGAAGAAAAGCACTTTATGAATATGATATATGCTGTAATATATCAGCCTATCTTTAGAATTCAGTACCACAATAGGTCTAGGCACAATAATTGTGGTCTGTTAGATAATGGTAGCATGATGAAAGTTTAAGATCACTCGAAAAAGTGAAAACGTATCTATAGTCCAGGTGTGCAGCTGCCCACGTAGCAGGTACGTAAACTCATCAACAGGTTTTTCTATAAAAAAAACAAAAAACTTTACTTTTCGTTGTTGTTTTGGGGAGCCTAAATCATGCAGTGCATAAACAGTCTGTTCAATGCCTAAGGCCATTTCATTGTTAAAAGTGTATTGATATTTTCCTATGACAATGGCTCAAGACTTGACATATTACTGCGTAGTTCCAAGCAGCGTCTGTATATTAATTATTACTTTGTCAATCGATAGTCTGAGTCGATACACGACACACCTTAATTAAACCAGTTAGGTAACGCTATCATAGTTAGGGCCATGTTGACCTTTAATTTTGACTATTAAAAAGATGGTCTCTGATTCCATATAGTGGTTCAAGATCTGGGTGCCGTTGTACAAAACAACCTTAGCGCTATGATCGTCGTAAGTCTCTGTTAAGGTATGGGAGTTACGATCACCTAAGCGCTAAGATCGCTTTGTACAACAGCACCCTGGTCAACTTGTAGATACAAGTGGAACATCTTGCATGAACGTATAAACATTCCAAGAAAGTTTGCAATTTGATGTTTTAGTAAGATATCATTGACCGAGTATTTGAATTTATGGACGGTTTTGTCACAATCATAATTCTGTGTTGAATCTGTAGCTCTACCAGAAATGTCTTAAATAAAGGGAGACAATGTTGAGGCAGGTGACATAGACAGAGCCAAGTTTTATGATCAGCCTGAACCCAGTTTGGAACTGTATTGTGTGGTTTGTAAGTAAGACTGCCAAAGATTTTGTTTTTCGTTGTTACCAAATTTGTATCGATAAAACTTTATCATAAATTAATCGTCGTTTCATGTTTAAATGTTATTGACAGTTATTTATTTGACTGAAGTCGTTGTTGATACCGGAAGTGCGAAGAGTGAATGAAACAAAATGTCTGCCCCCTAGAAGCAACACATGTACTGACAACAACATATCAACGGAATATCACAAGGTACTTGCTTTGTTCTGGAAGTTAATAGCTCTTTAAAAAATCCTTTCACAACCCACAAGTCGGAAGTCGGTATATCTTTACGAATCAGCTGGTTGTGAGTTTAATCCCAGATTTATCCTTGGTGTGGTGCTTATGTAATTTTATTTACGTATGTTGCAAGTTGTCTTCACTAAGCCAGATGTTTCAGATAGGCCTAAATCTATTTCATGCCCCAACGCACGTGCACATATTTGATTTTTTTACTGTTATTTTTCTGCCATTGTAATTTCAGACTTCTTAAAAGATGAAGGTTAAAAGAGGAAAGCATGCACGTCGTATTCTGACGTTCTACAAGGGGAACTTCGGATTTGAACCGCCCTACAAGATTCTGGTTGATGGCACATTTTGTAAAGCGGCTCTCTCTTTCAAAGTTAACATAGCGGAACAGGTTCCAAAGTATTTTGAATCTGAAGTGAAACTCATCACATCAGCATGTGTAATGGCTGAATGTGAATTGTTTGGTAGGTTGTAAGTTGTATGTCAGTCCAGATTTTAGTTTTACTGCAAGTAATGTTTGTTTGTTGTTTAACCAGCACACAGCAATATAACAGCTATATGATCATGTAGATTACGGAATGAGACGAGTGTGACATATGGCATCAGGATCACTCGTTTGTGTGTCCGTACATAACAAAACACCATTCCTACAGGAACTGAACCTTTCCTTTCAGTTTTGTAATGTGTTAGGCATGATAAGGTAAATTTGCACGAAGTTTAACAGCGTGGACGTGGCTCAGTCAGTTAGCTGTTGGGCTAACAATCCAAAGTCTGTGAGTTCGCATTCAACAGACTCTCACAAAAACTGGTTGTTTGTCTTTGAGAGATTGTTGTTGTGGCTCTCTATTCTAAAGAAGCTCCCAGATTTAAATATGATGTTTGAATATGTACTTTTTATACTTGGTAAATTCAAACATCATGTTTTCTTCCTTTTCTGTCAAAGCATATTCCTGTGAATTGATATAGATGTCAGTAGAGAAAACTATTGCAATGCGGACTGTATAATGACTTGTCTGTCGCAGCAGTATAAGTATCAGGGCTGTGAAATCTCCGCGGAAATGCAGAAAATCATGGTTTTTTTAAAACAGTAGTCCTCGGGGAAAAATCATCTTCCTCGTAAAAATATGATCAAAGATTTAAAAGAAACACTCCAAAAAATATTATCGTGTTCTTTTATTATTATTCATGGCACAATACTATTATCGTTGGATCATAGGTTTCCGGACATCATACGTTTCTATCATGAATACTTGCACTATAACGCAGGTGTGTTGTCACACAGAAATTGTAAATACTCAGATGATGGCTTGTTTTAAGATAATGTTGTCTTTTATAAGTGAATGAGATGTTTTACGTTATTTTAGTATGTGTCTGTGTTGCAGGGAGCGTCCTGTATGGACCCCTCAAGGTGTTGCGCCAGTACGAAGTCGCCAAGTGCGGCCATAAGAAGCCTGTCTCAGCTTCTCATTGTCTCAAGTCCCTCATCAGGAAGCGGAACAAACTCAAGTACATGCTTGCTACTCAGGTACAGTTGGTTGGTTAGTTTGCACTCAGCAATATTCCAGCTGTATGACGGCGGTCTGTAAAAAATCAAGTCTGGACCTGACAATCCAGTGATTGATATCATGAGCATTGATCCACGCAATTGGGATCGATGACATGCATCTACCAAGTCAGCGAGCCTGACCACCCGATCCTGTTAGTCGCCTTTTACGACAAGCATAGTCGCCTTTTACGGCAAGCATGGGTTGCTGAAGACCTATTCTACCCCAGAATCTTCACGGGTACCCCTGTTAGAGCTGACATTGATGCTTGGTGCTTGTGATGAGTGACCTTGCTTTCAGGCCACTGAGATGTAGCTGAGATACTGCTGACTGGTGCAAAACACCATTTACTCATTAATTATTCGAGATTCTATATGCTGAACAAATACACTTATATTGTATCTGACCCATGAAGATCCGGGGTTGAATATGTCTTCAGCAACCCTGCTTTCAACTATGTTGTAGGAGGCGACTTATCGGACTGGGTGGTAAGGCTCGCTGACTTGGTTGTTGCTTGTCATTGTATCCCAATTGCATAGATTGATGCTCATGATGTCAAGCACCAGATTGTCTGGTCCAGACACGACTATTTACAGACCACCACCATATAGCTCGAATATTGCTGAGTGCAGCGTGAAGCAACAAAGAAACACTGTATCCATGTATATACACACAGGTACTTGAGGCACTGTTTCTAAAAGGCTCTATTACTTTTTTTATTGTATTTTCCTCTATACTAGGACCCAGATTTGACAGAGCTGTCACGGACAAAGCCGGGCATCCCACTGCTGTACATTGCTCACAACACCGTCACTATAGAAGCTCCATCAGAGGCCTCCAAGGAAAAGGCTGCCAATGTCATAGCTGAAAAACTTGGCCCAACAGAATATGAACACAATGTGTTAACAAAGTTAAAACTTGAAGAGTTTGGGGAACAGGAGAAGAAGAAAAAGAAGAAGAAGATGAAGGGACCGAATCCCTTGTCTTGTAAATCTAAGAAACTTAAAGCTGGTCTTCATACGCCAATAAAAGAAAAGAAACTTCGAAGAAAAAGGAAGCGTGTTAAAGTTGCTGAACATATCAGGGAACACTTCAAGCAGCAAATCCTGACCTCTTGACCTCCTGACCTTATTTCACAGACATTGCAGAGTGGAACTCCTGACTCGGTGAACAGCTGATTGGTGGTTATATCTTCTTGCCAAATACATACCCCAAACCCGTGAAGATCCCGGATAGAATAGGTCTTCAGCAACCCATGCTTGTCATAAAAGGCGACTATGCTGTCGTAAGAGGCGACTGACTGGATCGGGTGGTCAGGCTCGCTGACTTGGTTGATGCATGTAATTTTATCCAAATTGCGTGGATCGGTGCTCATGATGTCAGTCACTGGATTGTCTGGTCCAGACTCAATTATTTACAGACTGCCGTCATATTCCTGGAATACTATGCAATGCAATGTTAAACAACAAGCAAGCAAACACAACATACATAAACATATATCATGTTCTATAAGAATTGTATTGTTTTTCATGAAGATTTCCCCATTGATTCAAATGACTGAAATACACACAGATATTCAAATGTTCCAAATCTCCGTCGCTGTGATACAGACTAATGATAAGGACAGTTCAAGTACATCTTCCCGAGGCAAGGGAGTTAACTGAAATCAAAGTCCAGTATCCACCCCTGACGAACTTGGCTGGAATTTCGTGGCTCGATCGTAGCACCACCATTCGACCTCTCATATCACTTGCATTTGCTTAAAAAAAAAATGGCAGTGCCCAGTAAAGACAATCTATTTTGTAATAAAACATGTTTTACTGCGCAACGTGCATCAAATCACTTGAGCACCTTCATTAAAAACCTGAAAATATTTAGAAAATATCTGTCAACACACCAAATTGACGGTACACATGCTTTGCAAATCCTGCTATCAACCAAAATCTGCACACAAGTCAGCATGTTTATGAACGTGATGTCAATTTGTTATGCTATTTTGATTGGACTATGCGTAGACTTGTTAGTCCAGCAAAAATAGAAATTCCAGGCCAGGCCAGGCAAGGCTGGAAACTGGACTTTTTTTCATCAGTAAACTCCCTTACCTCGGTAAGATAGTAACTGGGTGAGGTTCCATTTGTCTTCATGTGTGACCCATTCAAGATAAAAAAAGACTGCAACACTGTCATTATGTGTGAAGTTGAAGATGATCTGTGACAGAGACGTATTCAGAGCATTTATTCTGTGTTACTTGTTACAAAATAAAACAATTTGTACAACCATATTGAAGTCCATATGTGTTTTGAGAGCAATTTTTTCAGGTTTTGGAAGATAATTGAGCTTAAAGCACCTTGGAATATGAACAAAGGGTGCTGACAGTATGTGAGTGCATACTGACAGGACACCCACATATAGTCATGATGGTGTAGTTTTGTCCTAGAGATGCAAACATTGAACTTCCAGCCAGACACAAGACTACTTTGATAAGGGGCGGTCGGGTTGCCTTGTGGTTAAAGCGTTCGCTCGTCACGCCGAAGACCTTGGTTCGATTCCCGACATGGGTACAATGTGTGAAGCCCATTTCCGGTGTCCCCCGCCGTGATATTGCCGGAATATTGCTAAAAGCGGCGTAACACCATACTTGCTTACTACTGTGATATACATTTCACAACCCTTTTAAGAGTGATATTTAGCTCCTTTGCACACAGTTATGATTTGGTTCGTCGTACATCCGTCAGTAAACCTTTTCATATACATTTCATCTCTGAAACCACGAAGTGATCCCAGCTATAATGTCCCTAAAAGGTACTCCATGAATTCTGATCATATTCTTATCATGGTTGTCAAGGCAGCCATATTGAAATGTCATTTATGCAGGTCCAGCCTTTCTATAGTATATGTATCATTATGATATTTTATAGTATTTTGATTTTTTACCATGCTATTGCATTTGACCTTCACATATCCCTAGTTAACTTGATTTTCTGTATGTTCAGCTCCCTCTCATACATCCGTGTGTTTATGAAGCTGGAATGTTTCCCAGCACCCACAGCAATGTAAATAAGTATTACACATCTTAGCCAGATTTGGTTCATACAATTTGGTATGTCAGTGGAATGTTGTTTCAGAAAATGGTATGGAAAATTGCAGATAATGCATTTTGGGGAATATTCACAAGCCTGTTTAGCTAGTTTAACTGCATGTCCACAATCTCTGAAACATCTGGAAGATTATGTTTAGGTGATGTGTATGTGTTTTAACAGCTGTGTCTTAAAATTTGTGAACAGAACTCACCCCTGTATATTCCTGGTTTGAGTCGGCCCACAGCTACCTATGCTTGTCCCAGGAGGCGATTTAATGGGCCCGTGAAGATTCCGGGGTAGAATAGGTCTTCAGCAACCCATGCGTGCCGTAAAAGGTGACTATGCTTGTCGTAAGAGCGACAAACGGGATCGGGTGGTCAGGCTCGCGAACTTGGTTGATGCATGTCATCGATCCAAATTGAGTGGATCGATGCACATGATATTAATCACTGGATTGTCTGATTATTTACAGACCGCCGTCATATAGCTGGAATACTGCTGAGTGCGGCGTTAAACAGCAAACCAACCAACCAACGATTTAATGGATGGGGTGGTCAGGCTCGTGGACTTACTTAGTTGATGGCATTCCTTCCAACCCATCCTGGACCGTTGCTCATTATGTCAATTATTGGTGTATCTGGTCTTTCTGTTACGGGCATGGGGCGGTGGGATAGCCTTGTGATTCAAGCGTTCGCTCGTCAATACCCGGGTTCGATTCCCCTCATAGGTACAATGTGTGAAGCCCATTTCTGGTGTCTGGCGCCGTGGAATATTGCTAAAATCGGCGAAAAGCCCAATTCATTCACTTTAGGACAGCACCATAGGACACATTGAGATTCTCCTGACCCTAGTCATTCCAACAACCCACAGTTCGAGTCTGATCATTGCAAACATGTTTTTATTATGTGACTCCCCCCTATAGTGTTGCTGCGCACGCACGCACGCACTCATCATCATCGCCATCGTCACACACGCGCAATCATCATCATCATCACACCAACACCCACGTCTGCACACCATCACAGATCAGGTGGGCTACATCCGGGATGTTTCTGTCACCCCCACCTGGAGGCGGTGTCTAAATATAGACCGGGACACCCCGCATATAACCCAGTATATTGACGAAGCTAACACGCCTTTTACCTGGAATCTCAATTGCCCCGTAATACAAATAAAACCCAGGAAAAAGATAACTTTAGAACAGGCCAAATTTGTGACAAAACGACGGGGTAGCGTCCAGTGACAACACTGTATGAACTCCGTGTACACAACCTATCAGTATTCTGCTCTGTGAGTTGGGGATCGGCCATCACTCAATGACTTCAAACACCGCACTATCGCCCCCTCCAGTGTTGTCGGGGGTACCCTTGACACGAGGGGGCACCCTTCTACCGGCCGGCCGCAGCGTCATGAACTTGCTCGGTAAGAAGTTACTTTCTTTTGGGTGATTGTTGGGATTTTATAGACTAGATGTGATTAATTTGTACATGAAGATAACGTTCAGTTGGTGTGTGTATGTACATTTCTTGGTTCACGTGACACACATACCTATTATCTTAAACCGCTCTAGATCGACACACAAATATGTGCACTTAAAACGTTCATATCAGCCTATACATACAAACGCAGTTTGGGGAAGGTATTAGAAATGGTGAAACCACCAACGGACAAAAACATGTTCATTCTCCACAGCATATTATACACGTCACGAACTACCATTATGGGTGCCGTACATCGGATACTTGATTTGGTATGGTATTTAAAGGAGGCATGGCTCCGGCGAATTGTCATTCCCAGCAAGTTTGATGTAAGTCGTTCAAAACAATCCATTGTCATTCCGCTACCTCAAAACGTATGTATAGTCTATATATCCGTCAAACTGATAATGATTACCCCAATCATTGAGACATTGTCTCAATTTCACACAGGTCAATAACTGGAGGGTCTAGGCGTAGGCTGGACATGGGCTCCACGAAGCATGATCCCCCCTTTAATTAGCGTGTACACTCATGTCCGAGATGACAGATCATTTGGTGAAGCACGTGTCACATTGAGGGCGAGGGATGTCGCCAGTCTACCTGTTCTCCATCACAAGCGCTGTATCGTGGTTTTAATGAGCAGCCAGGTTTCCAGGTGAGCTATCACGGGTATGCTGTAAGGGGATCAGTAACCAGGTGAACCAATTACCACACCTGACCTGCCCTCCTTCTCACACCTGCAGACACAAAAGACACCTCAAGGCTATCGGGACCTGTGTCTTTAAGCGAAATAAAGGCACACATTAACAATAGCCTTCGTCATTAACGTCTTTTTGTTGCTAAACCATGCTGGCAGCGTAGACGAATCACTATAAGCCCGAGTTATCACTTTCAGTTTTCTTTCAATGTCCATCCCTGGTCAATATACTGCATAGCGTCCATTATGCAAGCCCTTAACTCAAGAGATGACTCCACTGACGTGTATGGAAGCGTATTTGTGCCACAGTCTAAATATTTTTTTTATCATCCACGTAGACCATACGTAGATACTTTCATCTATGTCAATTATACTTACCACATCTACGTAGATGATACTTTAATCTACGTAAATTATACTTATTACATCTACGTAGATGATACTTTAATCTACGTAAATTATACTTATTACATCTACGTAGATGATACTTTCATCAAAGTAAATTATACTTATTACATCTACGTAGATGGTACTTTAATCTACGTAAATTATACTTATTACATCTACGTAGATGATACTTTAATCTACGTAAATTATACTTATTACATCTACGTAGATGATACTTTAATCTACGTAAACGATAGTTATTAAATCTACTTAGATGATACTTTCATCTATGTTAATTATACTTATTACATCTACGTAGATTATACTTTAATCTACGTAAATTATACTTATTACATCTACGTAGATGATACCTTTTTTAGACTGTGGCACTAATACGCTTCCATAGACGCATTATGTCACATTAGGTATATATTCATACTATAATAACCTATGCGTAATGTTTGATATCATAACGACAGCGCTGATATAAGCCATGTATCACCTAGCTGAGATTTGTTTGGGCTGGGTATCGATTAACACAGCACAATAAGCGAGCAGGTCGTCTATTCGTGTTCGGATTACCGACTGAAATACACACCGGTTATATATGCACCCTGTCTGGGTGCTGACGGCGTCATAGCAAGCCATTCAGTCCGTCACGTTTTCATGAAAGTAAATATTGTTTTTGTGTCACATGCTTAGCTGATAATATTTATCCTCTCCTTTCATTGGTTAAAAGTTTTACTCCACTTAACACTACAAAGCGTCTTTTATGGGGAACAAAGAAATAACTAATTTCGCGATAATGTCAGTTGAAACACAATGTCACCGTGATCTAACCATCACGTGCTTATATCTAAAATTTGATAGTGGACAAAAATAGGTCGTCACACTCGATATGCATAGTGTTTCTATTGTACAGAATATAAAACCTATCTTATCGAGAGTGTTCATTTAACCTTGGTGGTGATATCTAGTCATACGATACGTTATGAATGGTCAACGTGAATGACGAATAAAACCTGCTGCTGACCAACAGAGGGCTAATGTTCTTTTAGGCGTGTTAGGGTTAACGCTGTAATCTGGTCATTCATGTGGTCAGATCCCAAACACCGGTACTTGGACACGGAATGGACACCAGTAAACGTGAGTGTGTAGCTTGTCAGTCCCGACTTCTAGCGTGTAGTTATCATGGATTCATACTGCGAGTCAGACATTGACTTTGTCCTTGTAACAATTTCCTCACAAAACGCCTTTCACGTGAGTGTTCTACTGGCAGTTCAAAACTACATTCTTTAGCGAAATCAAATAGAACCATCGCTTGATGAAAAATTGAAATGTTCTAATTACATGTCAAATTGTCAGATTGTATACCCCTGTTATTGTAATCTGACCCTATTGTTCGTGCTGACGCCATTCCCCATAGTCCAAGCATCTATATAGAACAGATGTAAACAATGGTAGACTTATGCAAATGTGGCTGAATTCCATCCTAGTAGTGTTCAGCGACGCTCGTTAACAGTAGCACGTATGTTTAGGAGTCCGGACTTTCAATCAGGTACTTAGGTACTAAGTATATATATTATTATATATATATATTATATTTTATTATTTTATATTTTATATTTACTTAGTACCTGATTGAAAGTCCGGACTCCTAAACATACGTGCTAATACATACATACATACATACATACATACATACATACATACATACATACATACATACATACATACATACATACATACATACATATATATATAATACAAAAGTCCAAAGATGAGCTGTATAATTTACTCAACCGGTTTCACGCATGTGATTTTCAAGAGATTTTCACTATATTATATTTTATTATATATATATAGGTAAACTGTACGCGAATGGGATCAATCGATTTCTCATTCAAACGTGACCTTTACCGTGTCGTGTTGTCCTGCGACCGACCCCAGATACTCCATGCCATGCCAAGTGTTTTATTAAATCGTGCAAACTCAAAAAGGACACAGACTTTGCTTTATCAATTATACTGCTTACGTAATACCTCCAACATTGTGGAAGGCCGGTGTCGGGAGCCGTCATGTAGTATGGACGACCCTTCATTACCATATGCATGCATGTTTCAACCCGAGAGGCACAGCTGGTGTTGTGTGTTGTCACTGTCTGAACACGGTCATGCTATGTGTGTCTCATGGCTCAACAAGTGATTATATTTCATTTCAGTTAATTTGTTCACTGTAAGCTATTGTTGGTTTCTTTTGTTTGTTTGTTTGTTTGTTTGTTGTTTAACGCCGCACTCAGCAATATTTCAACTATACGACGGTGGTCTGTAAATAATCTAGTCTGGACCAGACAATCCAATGACTGACATGATGAGCATCGATCAACGCAGTTGGGGTACGATGACATGCATGAAACAAGTCAGCGAGCCTGACCACCCGATCCCATTAGTCGCCTCTTACGACAAGCATAGTCGCCTGTTACGATGGGTTGCTGAAGACCTATTCTCTACCCGGATCTTCACGGATCTATTCTTGATTTCTGTTTTATAAGATGCGATACCATAAATCATCGACGCTAAAAGCTATGTTAGCTCTCTGACTGCCATTCCTTCCTCTTTAACCCAGAATAGGAATTCGTAATTGGTGATGCCTCGATGTGCGAATTTTTAACTTATTATTAAAGCTCAAGTGAATTATCTTTAAGGCATATATAACTTGAATTTGTAAATACATGATCAAGGGGAGATAACCATCGAAGCGTATCATTTCATTGGAGGTTTGATAATCTTGTTCAAGGCGTAAACATGTATTGTATCATTGTAGACCCTCTGTGAACATTCACCTTTAGCATATGCCCGTGTTCATAGCTATACACGATCTACGTCCTAAACATGTCGATGAGTAATCAGTGTTTAGCCACTACCAAGTCAATCATGAATGATCCTCTGTCAGAGTGTAAACGCATTAGTGTGAGAGTGAGTTGGGTTTAACGTCTCTTTGAACAGTATTCCGGTTATATGACGGCATGTCAGCTTAATGTGGGAGGAAAGCCCGAAGTGATGCAGGTCTCAGACGTTTACCACTTTGGTGAAACGTACGGGTAAGGGGTATGGTGCTGACAAACCTAGAAATATAATCGCGGCTAACCTGGATTCGAACCCACAATCATAGGTTTCTGGCTGGCCAAAGGACTCTCTGCACAGTGAATGCGGCGCCTTAGACGGCAGGGCCACCCTTCCCAACTATTAAGCATTATCTTAAATTAGATTTTATTTTTATTTTTTGTTCGAAATTTTGGGCATTATGTTAGGCAATGGTCATTCGTGTATATGATGTGTCTTAACAGACGGGGATGTAATACATTCTGTTTGGTTGTGTCAGAATGCCATCATTCTTAACTTCAGCTCTTACAAACGGGAGGGGAACTGACCACGTCCACATCACACGGTTGCTAGGCGACACACGTGTCTCGGAATGGCAGAGGGCGCTGCGGAAACTACTGATGACGTATATCCAACATGATGTCATGAAACAGGCTGTGACGTTCCTCTCCGACAACGTACGTGTGTAGTATAGGGCATGGTGTCAGTGCCAGTCAATGCTCTGATTTGTTTGTTACTGTATGTCCAAGGCCGTAGTTAACTTTTTTTGACAGGGGAGGGGTGGGGGGTGGGGGGTCAAATAAGATTATTCATTTCTTATTCAAGTTAACTTTCACACACACCCCTGCCCCACCCCCACCCCCCACACACCCCTTCGGCACTGATGTCCCTCTACATCTTTCTGAGGAAAGAGTGTCCACTAACCTATATTAAAGAAAAAAATAACGGTCAAGGTCACTTTTCAGACCAAGAAATAGTCTGTAGATTGTCAAAATAGAGAAAATTCGACGACGACATTGTCATAGTGTGGCAGACGCAGTCTTGAACAATCTTCTGCAGACCGTAAGATTAGTATGTCGGAATGGCCACTATGTAAGAGGCAAATAGTTGGTACCCACGAAGGCAAGATGCCATGCTCAGCGTCCATGCTGATCTCGACTACGGTAAGGAAGAGTTGAAGGTCATTCCACAATGATTATCTACACGGGAAAGGGCATTGTACAAAGACTAACTTAGTCAGAGTCATATACATATATGTAAGTACATATTAGTGTATTGCTTGACATTGCGGGAAAATACCTTTCAAACACTAAAGCCACACATTTTGCGAGGGAAACTTTCAAGGAAATTAGGGTATATAACGATATAACCTTATTGGAATTACATGTACCGGGACGATACAATCACTGCCCATTTTATACACTGTCTGCTACGGATTTCGTAATAGTAACTTGTCATTTGCGCTACCTCGAGAAGTAAACAACTGAAAACTTGTCCAGTAGCCCTTTCATTATTCACGTGTCTTCAAATGCAGATCCACTCCGCCATAGAAGCGATCCGCTCGCCGCATTTGTTCCCAGGCTTTCCCTGCCTATACGTCCACGTCGACAGGAAGCCGGTCGTCTTTGACATTGACCTCTGGAAGACCATCCTCATCGCCATCAACTTCGAGCTCACGGAACCGGAAGGCAACCGCCATCTTGATTTAATCGAGGTCAAGGTCACTGATAAAGTTACTTTACCATCTCTCATAGGGTTTCATCAACTGCTGAAGAATATTTTAGGTGAGTTTTGCTCCGATTGGATTTCATTTTTGTTTAATATTGTATATAGTTTCAAGTTTCCAAATTAAATTAAATCTGGTATAAATGTCTGTAACATTAAAAGGAAATCTGTCTCAGGACAATGAAGTGTTCTTGAAAGTGCGATTCAAGTTTGTAAATAACTTTTAACTAAACAGCTGTGTGTATATAATATAACATTTAAGGATACTATTATTTAACATGATGAATGTACCAATTTAACGCTCATCATCACGATAATTACAACACAGAGGTAGACTTGGCCAAGGACTGTGGACATAGTGTTTACCTGTTGACTGTTACAGAGCTGAGCTGGGACATCCTCCGCCTGATACTTTACCTGGAAGAGGAAGAAGCTTTTACGTTTCTGTGCACAGTGAGTAGTGAACGTACACCTGTCTCAGATAACGCTTTCTGTGTGTGATAGACAGGTGTACACCAGTTTCTGTGCACAGTGGGTAGTGAACGTACACCTGTCTCAGTTAACGCTTTCTGTGTGTGATAGACAGGTGTACACCAGTTTCTGTGCACAGTGAGTAGTGGACGTACACCTGTCTCAGTTAACGCTTTCTGTGTGTGATAGACAGGTGTACACCAGTTTCTGTGCACAGTGAGTAGAGGACGTACACCTGTCTCAGTTAACGCTTTCTGTGTGTGATAGACAGGTGTACACCAGTTTCTGTGCACACAGTGGGTAGTGAACGTACACCTGTCTCAGTTAACGCTTTCTGTGTGTGATAGACAGGTGTACACCAGTTTCTGTGCACAGTGAGTAGAGGACGTACACCTGTCTCAGTTAACGCTTTCTGTGTGTGATAGACAGGTGTACACCAGTTTCTTTGCACACAGTGGGTAGTGAATGTCTCAGCAAACGGCTCGATTCCTCAGAATAGTTGAAGCCCTCTTGGTGCTCCCATTTTCCCGAGGCAAGGGAGTGAACTGACTTTAAAAGTCCAGTTTCCACCCTTGCCGAACTGGGCTGGAATTTTTCGTGGCTCGATTATAGCGCCACCAGTGGCTAGTATGATCAATCAGATTCCACCTCTCATATCTCTTGCATTTGCTTCAAAAAAATGGAGCTGCCCAGTCAAGACGATCTCATCGATAATAAAGATCTTTATGGTAATAAAACGGGTTCTACCTCACTAAGTGCATCAAATCACTTGAGCTCCTTGATTAAGAATAAGATTTAGAAAAAATCTGTTGACGCCCAGTTGACAGTACACATGTTCTGCAAATCTTGCAATCGAACGAATTCGGCACGACAGTTGCTTGTTGTTTATGAACCGGATGTCGATTTCGTTACAGGATTTTGATTGGACTATGCATAGACTAGTTAGTCCAGCCAAAATATAACTCCTAGTTCGGCAAGGGTGGAAACTGGACTTTTTAAGTCACTTAACTCCCTTGCCTCGGGGAGATGTGGTACCCCCCACGATGTTCGGATTCAATAACGCTCTAGGCCACATACAGCACACTCACTTTAGACATACTACAATTATTGACAGCACGTACAGCCCAGAAATGGACAACGAGCAGCGATTTGATCAAATAATACACACGATGTGTCTTGTTATCTTTGTACATGTGTACCTGGTATTTTTCTTTGAACCTTGGTACAATGTGAGGGGGCACGGGTGGCCCAGTCGTCTAAGGCGACGCGATTCGCAGTGCAGAGTTGCGTCCCTTTGGCACGCCAGAAACCTATGATTGTGGGTTCGAATCCCAGTTCGCCTCGATTATGTTTCCAGGTTTGTCAGCACCATACCCGTGCTCGTAGGTTTCCCCGAAGTGGTAAACGTCTGAGACCTGTATCACTTCGGGCTTTCCTCCCACATTAAGCTGACACGTCGCGATATAACTGGAATACTGTTGAAAGGGGCGTTAAACCCAACTCACTCACTGGTACAATGTGTGAAGCCCATTTTCCGGTGTCCCCTGGCGTGATATTGCTGGAATATTGCGGCGAAAAAACATACTCACTCACTCTTCTGTTGAACCAGCTGCAGGATGTGCTGCGATCCCCAAGCCGGATCAGCAACCCCACCCTTGTAGACGCACTGTACCAGAGACAGACTTCCGCCATGGAGGCACTCGGCTTCTACCAGAGGAGGGGGGAGGGGCGTGGCTCCAGGAGGATGGTGGTGTGGGAGAACACGGAGTCGGAGCAAGTTCTGTATGCCGAGGTTGTGCTGTTCGGCCTCTTCCACCACGGGAAAGGCTTGGAGACTTATATATGAGGATGGATGCGAGGCCGTTGATGTACGGTTCCAGTGAAAGAAGGAGAGAGTGTTGGTCTCTAGTCAGTTACCTTGGTCACCGTATAGCCGCCACTGAAGCAGGGACACAGATTGTGAATGTGTCGTTCTTACAAAGGGTAACCTGATGACCAGTATTATGAGGCCAGACTATTTCTAGATTTACGGGGTTTTTTTGCGAAAATTCCAGGTCGTAAAGTTTCAGATTAATTTATTTTATTTTTTTTAAATTGTATCTGAAAATGTTGCTTTTGTTTGCAGTTTTCGACCAGTCGTCAATTTTGCAGTTTGGCGTATAGTATGTGTTTTTGGTGAGAAACGGAACAAGATCATTTTCGGAATATACAAAATAGTGCTTTTACAGTTTTTTTTTGTTTTTTTTTCACTTTCGTTTTCTAAAGTGTCGCCTTATTTTTCTCTCTCAAAGAATCCTGTGCAAATGAGACTGAGTTTGGTAGTGTGGATCACGGAAAGTCAACATTGCGAGTTGTGTGTGCAATAACTTCAGATCAACGTTATTGATGGCAATATTTCATAAACTAATAAAAAAGCCTATGTACAGTGCTTGTTCACAATGGTCTATGTACCCACCCATAGTGCAGGAGGTTTTGTGCCTTACTCCCACTGCATGTATTGGTTCCGGGCTGTAAGGTATTCCCAAGATCCCAATAAACAACGTTGTCTGACATCAGACTGGTTCTCTGGGTATGCTGCGCTGGCGCTACACTGAGCATATTGACACTTGCACGCGCAGCTAAGTCAGATTTCTATGTTCTCTTTGAGATCATCTTGTATTTGTCCTTATTTCATTTCATTGAAAACACATAATACCCTGCTTCGATAACTTGGGTATATTAGCATACATCGCATGTCTGTAATTCACTTTAAACAGATGTTTTTTGTCAATGTCTTAACATGTGTAATGTTTTCGGGTGACTGTTACATTTCGAGAATAAAGTCCTTGATAACTTCATTTGATTTGTTTTCTTAACTGCAATGAATTGACAAACATTAACAATATTATATTACCACAGTATTTTACCTCTCCTAACCATCACCAAAGTGACAAACGTCACAGCGGACATTAGAAACTCATCTTACAAGTGAGTGAGTGAGTGAGTGAGTATGGTTTTACGCCGCTTTGAGCAATATCACGGCGGGGGACACCAGAAATGGGCTTCACACATTGTACCCATATCGGGAATCGAACCCGGGTCATCGGCGTGACGAGTGAACGCTTTAACCACCAGACTACCCGACCACCCCCTCACATCTTACGAAGTAGAATATTGTGTTCCGGTGTTTCAGCACCCAAACGTATTCATGGCTTTGCCACACTGTTAGGAAGTGACTCTGGCGACACTGAACTGGGACGTCATATATTATGACGTGTTACTATTATGACGTCAACATGTTGTGTCGTCATTGTATTGTATGGTTGTCAAGGCCACCATATAAGCACATAAAGTCACGCTTTGCGCAATGCATCAGACAGATGGATGGCGGTAGAGGTGAGTAGGGAACATCAATCAGCAAAGAAACTATTAGCACTTTGGTAATTATCCGTGCAATTTACCAAAACTATATCCATGCCATTTTTTGTGAGATGTGCACGAGCTCCCTCCTTCGTAACGCCCGTGAAGATTCCGGGGTAGAATAGGTCTTCAGCAACCCATGCTTGCCGTAAAAGGCGACAATGCTTGTCGAAAAAGGCGACTAACGGGGTCGGGTGGTCAGGCTCGCTGACTTGGTTGATGCATGTCATCGATCCCAATTGCGTGGATCGATGCTCATGATATTAATCACTGGATTGTCTGGTCCAGACTTGATTATTTACAGACCGCCGCCATAAAGCTGGAATATTGCTGAGTGCGGCGTAAAACAACCAACCAACCAACCTTCGTAACGCCAAACGCCATTTTTATCCGTTTCGCTAAATTTACAGGAGATTTGGGGGCAAGAACTACTACTACTACTACTACTACTACTACTACTACTACTACTACTACCAAACTTCATGAAAAATACTACGTGTTTGTTAAAATGTCACTGATGCATGAGATTACCGCACGCTATCATTCGAGTAATGTTTTGTTTGTGTTAATTTGTTTGATGCAACTAATATAGCAGCCCGCGACAACAATAGGCCGATAAAGCTCAAACTATGCAGGAAAATTGAGTTCGCTCACACTTGTTTAGTTAAATATAATTAAATAAACATTGTTCAGCAACATTGAAAAATAAATTGTTTAATAGGCATTACTTTGAAGTTGACGGATGGCAAAGAAGACACAATTATTTGTGAGTAACAACTCATTTATTTACTGTAAACGTTTACTGCCGACGTTTCGGTATAGATCCTTATACCGTTGTCAAGCAGGGCTAAATCATGAACATGGACAGATTATATATATAGTATTTAGGTGGAGGATTAACAGTAACATGTATGCAATTGTTGTTACTTTGTGTTACTTTGAGTTGTTACCGTGCCTACTTTGTCATAGAAATATTACTCGAAAATAGAACCATAATGGCGTGCGGCAAGCTCATCAGTGACATCCATCAGGGCTACATTTCAACAAACAAGTATCGAAGCATTTTTTATTACCTTCTGAAACAATAAATGACATTTACTTACGATAGCATTTGTTTCAAGTTGTTCGTGTGAGGCGGCCAACCAACTCCGAAACTGTGTGCGGGTGTATATAGGTGGTACGCATATTGTAAGTTGTTCGCAATCTTAGTAATTTGTTCCAGTCTATTTTAAGCAGACATGGCAGACATGGCAGACATGGTATCTATCAACCTGCCTTTACCCGTAAACCCATATTTTAATAACTGTCGGCAACATTCAACCATAATATCAGATATTGTATCAGTAATTACCCACTTCAGATACTCGTAAAGGGCGACAACTCGAAGCCGAACGGCAAAAGGCGACAGTGAGCGAGATCCGGCCCGTGAAGGTGCTTTATTCCAAGGATGATAGGCAGCCCCAGTCAACGTCCATGGGACCCCGGCCGGCGATGACGCAACTAGACCCATCTCTGTCGTACAGGAGACCAATTCCTCGTCCTGACGCCCAGTCCGATTTCTGGGCTCAAAACCTTAAACCAGCACCCGATGTAAGAGCTGAACAGCTGCAGGCGGAATTTTTGTCCACATCCCGACCAGATCTACACCAAGGACAACCCGTGGCGCCCTATCAGAGACGTGGGTACCCGGTAGACATGCCAGCAGGTCCAACAGGCTACGAATACCAGGATTATAACAGGCAAGTCCCGCCGATGTATGGTCAAATGGGTCGGCCAATGGGATCTAACTATCAAGCTTATCAAGGACAAAATCAGCCGTTCGCACCAGCATATCAGCAATATGATCGTCCTTATTATTCAGTTCAGCGTTATGAGAATGAATACATGAACCCTCGTCTGTGGAGTGGTCCTCCTGCTGCTAACCCTACGACATTCACGCAGGATATCCAAACGCCATTGTATAACACAAGCCATGACTACTTTCACTCAGGAAGAACGACGCTTCCCCCTAGAATGCAACAAGGAGGGGCATATCGTGGTTATACCACCCCTCCAGCCTACAATATGCGCACCGCTCAAGGTAACATGGCTGGATATCAAGACCAGAGCTATAGTCCTCAAAGCTACATGATAAATCAGGCTGTCCGAACCATCCCAGAAAGGCCTTCTACCGCCACGACGAAAGGTACAGATTCTTCGAGCGGATCTGCGGAAATGCTTCGTCTATACGACATTTCAAAACTCCCGCCGGAGATGCAGAGTCAAGTATATCCGCAAATTGAGGCAGGGAACCTATCAACACAACGCCCGAACACAGGGACAGGCCAGGTCCTTCTCAGCGGGGCTGATGATGGAAAACACAAACCAATAGTAGTCGCTTCTACCAGGCAGGAACTCAGTAAGACGCTGGATGAAGTACGACAACATTCAATGAAGAACGCAGACCCCCCGAGCGCTAAAATAGAAGACCCTTCTGTTGAGACAGACGAGGAGTCTGCGGAGGAAGAGCTGTCCGAGTGTTCTGAGGAATTGGATCATGCTGCGGTCTTATTACAGGAGGCGATAATGGACGCCGGCATCGTTGAGATAGATGGAGTGTTAATCAATAGAAACAGCCATCAAGTACCTCAAGACAATGACCCGGACGGTAAAGATCAACACGCTATAGAGAGTCATGCCGGTGAAGAGGGTGAACGGGTTGAGAAGGCGAATGAGATCCAGCTGGAGGCACAGGAAATTAATGTGTCATCACGAGCTTCAGTTGATTCATTGACCAGTAGCTATCAACACGACTCTAACGAAGGCACGGGTTCTGGCGCTAGAGGGACCGACGTCTGTCTTACCAAAAGTACCGATGACACCGCTGCGGTTACGACGCAGAACATCCTTGTCGAACCTTCAGAGAGCAGTCGCCATGATGCACAAAGCTTGATGTCCTGCACAGAGCAAGAGAACATCATAGAGAGCCTCATCCTGTGCTGTACGGACTTCGACCAGAGTACAGAACCAAAACAGCCTGATGTTGACACCCGGTGCCGTCAACCAGAACCGTCCTCAGCTAAACATACCTTGGATCAAGAAATTGCCGAGTTCATGGGGAACACTACCTGGCAGCTATATACTGAAGGACAGGATGGCGGGAGGGACGGTCCTGCAAGAGGAGGGGCGGGTTTGTTTCCAGGTTGGTTTGGTAGCAAGGAGGAGAGCAGGTTGACGACCTTCATTGATGGGGACATCCAGGACGCAAGGCAGACATATGGTTCGATGGGCAATGAGATTCTGCATCCTTGCCCTACTTTTGAAGAAGATGGGTCTGCACTGTGGTACCCGTACTGTGAGACGGATGCAGGATATGTGGATTACGTGAACAATAACCTGTTGCCTTTTGGACCTCACACCGGACAGTATGTGTCTGGTCCCGATGCGACATTCCCAGCCACGGAATGGGGCAGATCTCTCGGTAGCAGCCACCCTGTACAAGACACTGCTTCTTTAAGGAGGCATGATGTGAATGAATACAGTGTGTATTCGATGTGTAAGTCAGGTCAAGCTGCGGATTTGCCATTATTTAACAGTTGGGACATTGGAGACGCTGGTGCAAGAACTGTAGATAGTCAAGTGGACGATTCTGGGCGTAACACGGTTATACAGGGCATCAACCAATATACAAACATGGTGGCCATAATGCCTTGTCCCACCACGGAGATGGGACAAGCCGAAGGTTTTCCTGGCATATGCTTTGCTGATTATATGTCCGAGTCGACGCAGGATGTTGTTGCTGCTGTGAACAGTTCCGACCCAACCCAGTCGGAGACGAACTTAGCCTATATGTGGCAACTAGCTGAAAGTTTCGAGACGCCATCCATAAGTTGCAAGGAAGTGAAAGGGGAGACAATCCAAGGTACTAGCGATTGTGGTGACGTATTTGTCAATGGAAATATGAACAGTGAACAAACTGCAAAATCAGGTGTTAATATGGACCGTGCAGGAAATAGTGATGAACTCAAAACGGACCAATCAGGGCTAAGTAGTGGCACACCTTGTAAAGATATCGGCACACCAATGGAGGATTCTGAAAACCAAGATGGCGGGGGTCACACGTCAACGCCACGGTCAAACTCGACCTGTGAGGTCAGCAGAACATCTAGTCCTGATGAAGGTAGTCGATGCGTGGAGTCCAACGTTAGTCGGTCACCACTGTGTCCTGACCGCCAGACAGTCCCAGCCTTCATGTCATCACCGGTCGACCAACATCCTTCAGCAGGGGAAGCCCTGGACGAACTGAACAGCTACCTGGAGTCCATCCTACAGGAAGAAGGTTCCAGGACGGAAAACCAATAACCATGGGAATAGGAAGTGAACAATGGAAAAGTTAGAAGCCGATATAGATAGGATTATAGCACTTCTCTCGGTGTCTGTGGAAAACATCACATTTTAACCTTTTTATTTAATCAAGTTTTAATGTGAAATCGTCTAAAAACTGGCCAACCGATTTTGTTTTATGCATGAATATGTTCACTCGGCTAAATAACAACTATATTCACCTTTCTTAAAATCTCAGGGAAGTCCACCTCAGTGTCTGTAATCATTTCGTTTCCGGTGCTCAATTCCAAACTTTAGGTTGGATGTCCTAAACTATTGATCTGTTGTCACCTGACAAGTAACTTAATGTCCGTGTGTTGACGAACTTTGATATATATTTATCCGTTACTTCCACTACCATCTACATTTTTTCCACGCGACTGATCAGGTTGTGAATGTTGTTTTACGTAATCAACAATACTACAGCTATAGCATTGCGCATGCTAGCATGAGCAATGATCCACGGCGTCGGGTTCAATCAGAAAGCTTACCATTACGACAGTATTTCCATTGTTGTAGGTTCCTATGAGTGAGTTTGAGTGAGTCAGTGACTGAGTGAGTTGGGTCATCTCAATGGTGGAAGAAAGCCCGAGGGTCTCAGACGTTTACAACCCACCCACGTGAAACCCACGGGCACTGGCACGATGTTTTGTTTGTTTGTTTGTTTAACGCCACACTCAGCAATATTCCAGCTATATGACGGCGGTCTGTTAATTGTCAGATCTGGACCAGACAATCCAGTTATTGACATCATGAGCATCGATCTACGCAATTGAGATACGTGACATGCATCAACTAAGTCCGCGAGCCTGACTACACGATCCCGTTAGTCGCCTCTTACGACAAGCATAGTAACCGAGAACTGGTATTCGAACCCACGATCATAGGTTCCTGGCGTGCCCAAGGGACACAACTCTGATCCGCAAATCGCTGCGCATTGGACTACCCGTGTCCCCTTTGAGAACCAAAGAGCAGGGCAGAGATGATCATAGATTTGACGACAAGACTCGGGTAATGTCTAAATACATTAATAAAACCGTGTACCTTGTTACTAGCAAACTATAAAAAGGCATACAATGTCATTGTTTTAATCAGAACTCCGGATTGGCGTGAGGCAGCGTAAAGACTATATTCATTCGAAAATACTCAATAACAGCGTTACCATACTCTGTGCAATCGATAACCATAAGGGGGCGGTCGGGTAGCCTAGTGGTTAAAGCGTTCGATCGTCACGCCGAGGACCCGGGTTCGATTCCCGACATGGGTACAATGTGTGAAGCCCATTTCTGGTGTCCCCCGCCGTGATATTGCTGGAATATTGCTAAGGGCGGCGTAAAACCATACTCACTCACTCACTCACGATAACCATATGATCCGGGGGAAGGAAATAAGAGAAAACTGTATAATCGGAAATATTTTATTGAAAAAATATGACTGATAATGCAATATACAAGAGCCTTTTTTACTTTCTTTAAATACATGCATAACTATACAAATCTGGGGACATACGTCATAAATTACTCTACATGGGGATAATATAATCATGGATACACAAGGTCGTCATTCTGGCAGAGTGTTCTAAACTACTACAAATATAGAAAATCGAAAATATTTGTAGCACCTTGCCAAGCAAATGAAATACATAGCTATGCCTTGTGAAATATCCGTGTGGGTGCAATGACTACATCTTGACTTGGGCTTAACAGAATCCGATACCACTTGCAGTTGTCCTGCATTACCTGACGAGTCGATGTCTGACGGTTGTATGGCGTGTACAAATAAGCTAGACGAGTGATATCCTACAAGACATATTTACATTCACGCACATGTAATGATTTTCACGTGTTATGGAAAGCACTTGAACATTTCTGAAAACTGCTGAAGCCTTTTAGGACCATTTGGGTTTTTTTTGGTTTTTTCGATACTATCTTGAAATTTCAAGAAACTAAGTTGAAATTTCAAGATAAAAAGTTAACATCCTAAGATGTAAAAATACGTTTGAAGTGAATAATCTTGAAAATTCAAGATCCTACGGAAGCCATTTAGGGCCATTTGGAAATTTCAACTAAGTATCTTGAAATTTTAAGATAGTATCGAAAAAAATGGCCCTAAAAGGCTTCCGTACGTATCCCTGTCCCCATTATAATATAATGATAGCTGCGCCAGCTCGGCTCCATGCTGCCAGTGACCGGTCTTTATCAAAGTAGACACTAATAAGTGCAATTATCCCCGTTGGGCCTTTCACAGTGTGAATTACATCAATTTTACATTCACTGATTTTGTTGTTGAAATCCACACAGAATTAAGCAAGAAATAGACAGCAAATGTACCGGGTTGCAAGTCACAATCATCGTCTCCTGGAGACCGACGCACAACACCATTACCAGAATGTCATAACATCCACTACCGTCCTTTGTCTCACTCATTATGTCGGCAGTGCAGCGCAAACTTAGATTCGAACAGCCACGGCCGACTGCATGCAATTATAGTTGATCGCTGATAACCAACGCCTGATTCACTTTCATTCTGAGCGTCACTTTAACTATAATGGGTGACTCAAAGACTTTGAAGAAAGGACATTGTCTTTCTCGTTCATTCAATACATCACACAACAAAGTGATCCCTCTTTATAGCTCGGTTTAGATATTGAAGTAGATTCGCAAGATCTATACAGTTGAATAGTGTGTTTCATCCTACGTGTAAAGGTAGCAGTGTTAAAAATGCTACTTTGCTAAGTGATACGCCAGGTATTATGGATGGTGTAACAATCTGCATGAGACTTGTGTTTACTTTATGCTTCGGTTCCCCCATTCAGGAGGACATTATTCCCACCTCCTATAAAATTATTGGACTGTTTTGTCACTTCAAGATAATGGTATTTCGAGATAAAGAGCCGTCTGTTTATTTGTATGCTGGACTCTCTACTCGGCGGATGAGGCAGCTAGGCGTATAGTGGTTATATGGTGACGCGAGACTTGGACAGGACAGATGATGACGTGAGACTTGGACAGGCTTATGGTGACGTGAGATTTGTACAGGACAGATGTTGACGCGAGACTTGGGCAGGACAGATGTTGACGCGAGACTTGGGCAGGACAGATGATGACGCGAGACTTGGACAGGATGATGGTGACGCGAGGCTTGGACAGGATGATGATGGCGCGAGACTGGAACAGGACAGATGATGACGCGAGACTTGGACAGGATGATGGTGACGCGAGACTTGGACAGGATGATGATGGCGCGAGACTGGGAGAGGACAGTTGATGACGCGAGACTTGGACAGGATGGTGGTGACGTGAGACTTGTACATGACAGGTGATGGCGCGAGACTTGGACAGGATGGTGGTGACGTGAGACTTGTACATGACAGGTGATGGCGCGAGACTGGGACAGGACAGATGATGAGGCGAAACTTGAACAGGACAGATGAGGCGAGACTTGGACAGGACAGATGATGACGCGAGACTTGGACAGGACAGATGATGACGCGAGACTTGGACAGGACAGATGATGACGCGAGACTTGGACAAGGCAGATGACGCGAGACTTAAACAGGACAGATGATGACGCGAGACTTTCACAGGATGCAGGTGACGCGAGACTTGGACAGGATGATGATGGCGCGAGACTTGGACAGGATGATGATGGCGCGAGACTTGGACAGGATGATGATGGCGCGAGACTTGGACAGGACAGATGATGAGGCGAAACTTGAACAGGACAGATGACGCGAGACTTGGACAGGACAGATGATGACGCGAGACTTGGACAGGACAGATGATGACGCGAGACTTGGACAGGACAGATGACGCGAGACTTGTACAGGACAGAATACGCGAGACTTGGACAGGACAGATGATGGCGCGAGACTTGGACAGAATGATGGTGACGCGAGACTTTGGCAGGAGAGATGATGACCTCGAGACTTGCACATGACAGGTGATGACGCGAGACGTGTACAGAACATGATGACCCGCTACTTTTATTTTACAGTCCTTTTAAAACCACCCCACAAGTCAGCAAGTATGCTAAAATATTCAACACCCAGAACAAACGACCATCTTTCATTAGTCGATATGGTTGTCGACAATGTTGAGTATTATACATCGTAGGGTGGTCCATTTGGTTTTTAGAGGGGAGGGGGGTAAAAACACACAGCTCATAAGTTTCTGCTTGGTAAAAAAAAAATCCCATCCTCAAAATAAGAGTCTCCACCGCAATATGACCATCCTCGTCAATACAGATTATTTCGTGAGCAAAACCATAATCTTTGACATCGAGACATGAGCATAATAAAAAGTATGCCTGCAATACTGATCTATTAATAAGCAATTCAAATCATTTCATGCAAGTGACTGTGCCGTATCCTTGGACAAGGTTATTGACTCCACAACTCCAGCTGTAATATGACTGAAACAGTTGTTGACTGTGATGGGAAATGCCCATCAAGCACCATTTACCCTTACTAGGAAAACATATATATCCACATCATTACAAGTTATACCATGAATGAGACCAAAAAGAAGGTATCGTGTCCACAGTTACAACGCATGGTATGTCTCGACTAGGGTTGGACATGGCACAGTTCGGTCGCTGAACGACATTCATTCCGATGGTGCGTTGGATTGGTCAGAATCGAAATCGTAGAAGATGTCTTCCTCGCTGTCGTCAGTATCGTCTTTGTCTGGTTCAACGTCATTGTCAACGTCGTGAATGGCATCCACTTTATCACTATCAGCATGTACGTCACTTGAAGTGTTGGCGTGGTTGTCAGAAGTGCCGTCAGATGTGCCTTGGGTATCAAGGTCAAGGTCACATGTTTCACCTTCCACCTCGTGAATGTCACGCGTAGAAATAACGCTGTCAAGTGGAAGGTTATCTCGGTCGAAGACGTCGTTGTCGGCGTCAATGTCGCCGTCGTCGCTAGTCCTGTCGTCTCTGGTGCGGACGGTGCTGTCACTGAAGTCTCCCAGCTCGGATATTTCACTGAGAGTCACCTGACTGTCAACGGTGTGGTCGGTGTCACTAGTCTGTGTCAGGTCGCTAGTAGCAATGCTGTGAGTCAAGTCGCTTGTCTCTGTGTGGTCGACGGTACCCTCAATGTCAACGTTGCTCTCGATGTTGTCGTTTTCGTTCTTGTCGATGCTGATGTTGATATTGATGTTGATGTCATTGTTGTCCTGGTTGATCACCGTCGCCGTCGTCGTCCGTGTCGTACTCGGGGACGACGAACCCTTCCTGTAATTACAGTAAATGGAGACCATATTAGATCGATATCAAATTGTATATGTCATGTACAAAACAACCATAATTGTATAAATTGCAGGTGACACAGGACACGAATATATATATTAGTCCAGATATTCGTACTTTTCAAAACTCCTTTATCTTGTCCGCCAGACCTTTTCTATCACGTACTGATCATATTAAGTATCGTTAACAACTGTAGGCTGAGTGAGTGTTTGTCTCCCAGGGCCTAGAAGTTAAATTAAAAATGAATCCAATCCATGGCAAGTCAAGATTGCCTCTGGGCTCCTTTTCGATGTTATTTTGCACACATAGATTAGATAAGATATCTTAATTCCCGTGACTAAATGTTAGTCTGGGATATATTGAGTTAGATGTAATGTGTACATTCTATAAAACGTGCACGGAGATGTGCATAAGAAGTTCGGTGCTGACAACAGGACATGCGACATAGAATGTGACAAAAAGTATATGATTTCAAACAACATGAATTCAATACACACCGACACGAACATAGAGAATTGATCGAACACATGCAACACACGAGTGAGAAGCTATAACACTGCACACATACTGGCCAAAGTGCCATTGTACGAAGCGATCGTAGCGCTAAGGTTGTTTTGTACAACGACACCCTGGTGCTCAATATTCTCGAGGTACACATCTTCCCGAGGCAAAGCAATTAACTGACCATAAAAGCCCAGTTTCCACCCTTGCCGACCTTGGCTGGAGTTATATGTTGGCCGGTCTAACGAGTCTATGCATAATTCAATCAAAATCGCGTAACGAAATTGACATCCGGTTCGTAAACTGCCCTCCAGATTTCGGTCGATTGCAGGATTTGCAACTCCGCCATCTCGGCGTCAACAGATATTTTCCAAATCTGTTCATGTTTTTAATCAAGGTGTTCACGTGATTTGATGCACTTCGCGAAGTAAGACCAGTCTTCTTACAAGGTAGATTTTGATTTTCAATCAGATCGTCTTGACTGGGTGACGCCATTCTGTTTGAAGCAAATGCAAGCGATATGAGAGGTGGAATCTGATTGGTCAGTAGGAGGAACTTAAAGGGCCATAACTCGTAATAGCTATTGGTGGCGCCCATAAATTCCAGCCTAGTTCGGCAAGGGTGGAAACTGGACTTTTAAAGTCAGTTAACTCTCATGCCTCGGGAAGATGGAGGTACACTTAGTGCAACATCCTTACCGACAGACGAACTCCACTCAGTGGTTGGGAAGAAGGTGTTTATATCAGTTATTTTGTGATAGTTATTCTTGCCGACTCAAAAATCAACACATGGAATATACACAATGCAAAGCAGTCGTACAGATTGAACAGGGAAACATTAATTGTCGCGCTGTGTGTATTAACTCATTATCAAATGGTCCTATCTAATTTGGATGATGGTAATCGAAACTGGACTTGACAAACCAGTGATTTGCTTGTCTGTTTGTTTGATGCCGCACTCAGCAATATTCCAGCTATATGACGGCGGCCTGTAAATAATCGAGTCTGGACCAGACAATCCAGTGATTCGCATCATGAGCATCGATCTACGCAATTGGGATACGATGACATGCATCAACCAAGTCAGCGAGCCTTACCCGATCCCGTTAGTCGCCTCTTACGAAAAACATAGCGCCTTTTACGCCTTTTACCAATTCGAACCCCGATCTTCACGGGTGTTTGATATTATTATACTATATTATATTATCTTCGGACAACCATGTCCCGGGACCCGACTACCTGATCCCTATAGTTGCCTCCTATGATAAGCATAGGTTGCGGGGGACCAATTCTAACCCGGAATCCCCAAGCGGCTGTGCCTGTTTATATATATACCGACCAACACAGCTGTTGCGCACGTGTATGGCATTAGTCCATTGTTACAATAGAGCTCTTGGGATCTCAGGAGATCAATCATTTAAGTAATTAAACTATCGGGCAAAAGAAAGCACACACTTATGTTTGATAGTGTCTGAAATGAAACAAACAAGAAATGGTTATACGATGGTAATGTATTTGATATGGGTATCATAGTAGTGTTCTGGAACTAAGTTTGCTGTGTTTCGGCGACTGTTTTCAACCTAGTAACGTGTTGATGACGTTTGTAATCGTATTGTCAAATCTATTTCTCAAGTGTATAACTTCTTTCGCCCGGCAGAATATTATCCATATCTAGCAGTCATTATGTCCACCGGATATCCATATAAAGTCGATTTTATGCCTGGGGTACTGGGTCGTGTTCGTCAAACCGATCTTAGCACTACGACCATCCTAGGTCTATGGTGAAGCATGGGAGTCACGATGGTTGTAGTGCTACGATCGCGTTGTGAAACGTGGCCCTGAGAACATTTAATCTAACGTGGTGAATTATGGTAAATAATACGTAGGTATAAGCATATCGCTGCATGAAGGTGTCGAACAGGAATAGGGTGAACAGCGAAGCATACTAACAGTGCAACTGGTATGTGTGAGTTAGAGTGCAGCTCTAGTCTACGTGACGCCGACTTGTCCGGGGCAGTCACCTCCGTGGCGTACAGGATCTCCATGACAGACTGAATGACGGCGAGGTCCTCGTGGTCCTGGCAGTAACTCTCGATGTCGCGCAGCTTCTTCAGGTAGAACTCCTTCTCCTTCGTCAGCGTCTGGATCGTCAGCTGCAACTCCAGGAGCTGTTGGTCATACTGGATCATATTATAGGCCAGTAAACTCGCGGAATACTGGATCATATTATAGGTCAGTGAACTCGCGGAATACTGGATCATATTATAGGTCAGTGAACTCGCGGAATACTGGATCATATTATAGGCCAGTGAACTCGCGGAATACTGGATCATATTATAGGTCAGTGAAGTCGCGGAATACTTGGTCTATTGAATCATAGTATAGGGTACAAAACACGTGGTACACATTAAAATAATGGATCATATAATAGGCGAGTACACAAGCCGAAAGTATGGAATAGTTGGTCATATTGCGAAATCTGGATCACGACATGGGCGAGTAAACTCGCGGAGCACATGGAACACTAACACATGTTATAGCAGAGAAAATATAAATGTTCCAAATGTCATAACGCTTAAAAGGAATGTAGTAATACAATGGAATTGGTCACCCAATCACAAGCAGCAGATTTCAGGATAGGAGATAATTAGTTTGTTATTTAACGCCTCATTCAGCAATATTCCAGCTATATGACAGTGAATACTCGCAATCGGGATACGATGACATGCACCAACCAAGTCAGCGAGCCTCACCACCCAATCCCGTTTGTTGCTTCTTACGAGCAGCATGGGTTGCTGAAGACCAAATGTATCCCGGATGTTCACGGGGTGGTAGGTGATAGATGGCGATCATGATCTAGGATACATACACTGTCCTTGATGTCCTCGAGCTGTCTGCTGGAGACCCGGATGTGACTGTCCTCTTTAGTGTGCGAGTGTTGGCGTGCTGTGAGAACAAATGAAGGGGGTTAGCCCAAATCTGTGTTATTAATAAACGGTTGGATTAAGGAAGAGACAAATCAATCCTATTCTTGATCGAGTGTCGATTCCTTGACCAGTGGATGGACCATTGACACAAGGTGTGGCGACTCACCATTCAGAGTTGGGCCTCATATCTAGTCATTGGTTATTTGGACTGCTCATTGGTTCAGTTCAGAAAAAAGGGTAAACGTGGACGACATGTTTCCATTTGCCCCCTCCTAAATTAAGCTGAAACACCACAATACAGTTTTTCACTAAACGACTATTTTCAAACGGGGAGACGTCCCTATCATTTAAGTTGTCACAATTCGCTATGTATAGTTGCGTCCCTTGGGCGTGACAGGAACCTATGATCTTTGGGTCGAATTCCAGATTTGGCCTGATTATGTTTCTAGGTTTGTCAGCGCCATACCCGTGCTCGTGGCTTCACGAAAGTGGTAAACGTTATTTTCCACCCGCCTCAAGTTGACCCGTCGTGATATAACTGGAATACTGGGATACTCTTCAATAAAGGATCATTTTACTGAACTGCAACCACTGGCCAATAATGTGCCCAGAGTATCTACAGACCTCACCACCCCACCCTATGCTGCATCAGTATACCCCCACCCCCTCACCACCCCACCCTATGCCATATCAGTATACCCCCACCCCTCACCACCCCACCCTATGCTATATCTGTATACCTCCACCCCTCACCACCCCACTCTATACTGCATCTGTATACCCCCACCCCTCACCACCCCACCCTATGCTATATCTGTATACCTCCACCCCTCACCACCCCACTCTATACTGCATCTGTATACCCCCACCCCCTCACCACCCCATCCTATGCTGCATCTGTATACCTCCACCCCCTCACCACCCCACTCTATACTGCATCTGTATACCCCCACCCCTCACCACCCCACCCTATGCTATATCTGTATACCTCCACCCCTCACCACCCCACTCTATACTGCATCTGTATACCCCCACCCCCTCACCACCCCATCCTATGCTGCATCTGTATACCTCCACCCCCTCACCACCCCACCCTATGCTGCATCTGTATACCCCCACCCCCCTCACCACCCCATCCTATGCTCTGTATACCTCTACCCCACACCACACCACCCAATGCTGCATCTGTATACCTCTACCCCTCACCACCCCACCCTATGCTGCATCTGTATACCCCCACCCCCCTCACCACCCCATCCTATGCTCTGTATACACCCATCCCCACACCACACCACCCAATGCTGCATCTGTATACCTCTACCCCTCACCACCCCACCCTATGCTGCATCTGTATACCTCTACCCCTCACCACCCCACCCTATGCTGCATCTGTATACCCCCACCCCCTCACCACCCCACCCTATGCTGCATCTGTATACCCCCACCCCCTCACCACCCCACCCTATGCTGCATCTGTATACCTCTACCCCTCACCACCCCACCCTATGCTGCATCTGTATACCCCCACCCCCTCACCACCCCACCCTATGCTGCATCTGTATACCCCCACCCCCCTCACCACCCCATCCTATGCTCTGTATACCTCTACCCCTCACCACCCCACCCTATGCTGCATCTGTATACCTCTACCCCCTCACCACCCCACCCTATGCTGCATCTGTATACCCCCACCCCCTCACCACCCCACCCTATGCTGCATCTGTATACCCCCACCCCCTCACCACCCCACCCTATGCTGCATCTGTATACCCCAACCCCTCACCACCCCACCCTATGCATCATTTGTATACCCCCACCCCCTCACCACCCCACCCTATGCTGCATTTGTATACCCCCACCCCTCATCACCCCACCCAATGCTGTATCTGTATACCCCCAACCCCTCACCACCCCACCCTATGCATCATTTGTATACCCCCACCCCCTCACCACCCCACCCTATGCTGCATTTGTATACCCCCACCCCTCATCACCCCACCCAATGCTGTATCTGTATACCCCAACCCCCTCATCACCCCACCCAATGCTGCATCTGTATACCCCAACCCCCTCATCACCCCACCCTATGCTGCATCTGTATACCCCCACCCCTCACCACCCCACCCTATGCCATATCAGTATACCCCCACCCCCTCACCACCCCACCCTATGCTGCATCTGTATACCCCAACCCCTCACCACCCCACCCTATGCATCATTTGTATACCCCCACCCCCTCACCACCCCACCCTATGCTGCATTTGTATACCCCCACCCCTCATCACCCCACCCAATGCTGTATCTGTATACCCCCAACCCCTCACCACCCCACCCTATGCATCATTTGTATACCCCCACCCCCTCACCACCCCACCCTATGCTGCATTTGTATACCCCCACCCCTCATCACCCCACCCAATGCTGTATCTGTATACCCCAACCCCCTCATCACCCCACCCAATGCTGCATCTGTATACCCCAACCCCCTCATCACCCCACCCTATGCTGCATCTGTATACCCCCACCCCTCACCACCCCACCCTATGCCATATCAGTATACCCCCACCCCTCACCACCCCACCCTATGCTGCATCTGTATACCCCCAACCCCTCACCACCCCACCCTATGCTGCATCTGTATACCCCCAACCCCTCACCACCCTATGCTGCATTTGTATACCCCCACCCCCTCACCACCCCACCCTATGCTGCATCTGTATACCCCCACCCCTCACCACCCCACCCTATGCCATATCAGTATACCCCCACCCCTCACCACCCCACCCTATGCTGCATCTGTATACCCCCAACCCCTCACCACCCCACCCTATGCTGCATCTGTATACCCCCAACCCCTCACCACCCCACCCTATGCTGCATCTGTATACCCCCAACCCCTCACCACCCTATGCTGCATCTGTATACCCCCACCCCCTCACCATCCCACCCTATGCTGCATTTGTATACCCCCACCCCCTCACCACCCCACCCTATGCTGCATCTGTATACCCCCACCCCTCACCACCCCACCCTATGCTGCATTTGTATACCCCCACCCCCTCACCACCCCACCCTATGCTGCATCTGTACACACACACGCACACGCGCGCACACACACACACACACACACACACACACACACACACACACACGCCATAATCTGTATGCTCTCTATATATAAATCTGTATGCTCTCTCTATATATATCTGTATGCTCTCTCTATATATAAATCTGTATGCTCTCTCTATATATATCTGTATGCTCTCTCTATATATAAATCTGTATGCTCTCTCTATATATATCTGTATGCTCTCTCTCTATATAAATCTGTATGCTCTCTCTATATATATCTGTATGCTCTCTCTATATAAATCTGTATGCTCTCTCTATATATATCTGTATGCTCTCTCTCTATATATATCTGTATGCTCTCTCTCTATATAAATCTGTATGCTCTCTCTATATAAATCTGTATGCTCTCTCTATATAAATCTGTATGCTCTCTCTATATAAATCTGTATGCTCTCTCTATATAAATCTGTATGCTCTCTCTATATAAATCTGTATGCTCTCTCTATATATATATCTGTATGCTCTCTCTATATAAATCTGTATGCTCTCTCTCTATATATATCTGTATGCTCTCTCTCTATATAAATATGTATGCTCTCTCTATATAAATCTGTATGCTCTCTCTATATAAATCTGTATGCTCTCTCTATATAAATCTGTATGCTCTCTCTATATATATATCTGTATGCTCTCTCTCTATAAATCTGTATGCTCTCTCTCTATATATATCTGTATGCTCTCTCTCTATATAAATCTGTATGCTCTCTCTATATATATCTGTATGCTCTCTCTCTCTATATATCTGTATGCTCTCTCTCTATATAAATCTGTATGCTCTCTCTATATAAATCTGTATGCTCTCTCTATATAAATCTGTATGCTCTCTCTATATAAATCTGTATGCTCTCTCTATATAAATCTGTATGCTCTCTCTATATAAATCTGTATGCTCTCTCTATATATATATCTGTATGCTCTCTCTATATATATCTGTATGCTCTCTCTCTATATATATCTGTATGCTCTCTCTCTATATAAATCTGTATGCTCTCTCTATATAAATCTGTATGCTCTCTCTATATAAATCTGTATGCTCTCTCTATATAAATCTGTATGCTCTCTCTCTATATAAATCTGTATGCTCTCTCTATATAAATCTGTATGCTCTCTCTATATAAATCTGTATGCTCTCTCTATATAAATCTGTATGCTCTCTATATATATCTGTATGCTCTCTCTATATAAATCTGTATGCTCTCTATATATATCTGTATGCTCTCTCTATATAAATCTGTATGCTCTCTATATAAATCTGTATGCTCTCTCTATATAAATCTGTATGCTCTCTCTCTATATAAATCTGTATGCTCTCTCTCTATATATATCTGTATGCTCTCTCTATATAAATCTGTATGCTCTCTCTCTATATATATCTGTATGCTCTCTCTCTATATAAATCTGTATGCTCTCTCTCTATATAAATCTGTATGCTCTCTATATAAATCTGTATGCTCTCTATATAAATCTGTATGCTCTCTCTATATAAATCTGTATGCTCTCTATATAAATCTGTATGCTCTCTATATAAATCTGTATGCTCTCTCTATATAAATCTGTATGCTCTCTCTCTATATAAATCTGTATGCTCTCTCTCTATAAATCTGTATGCTCTCTATATAAATCTGTATGCTCTCTATATATTAATCTGTATGCTCTCTCTATATATATCTGTATGCTCTCTCTATATAAATCTTCCCCTTGCCCCATCACCACCCTCATACACTTACACGTAATGGTCACTTGTTTCTCCGACTGTCTGGTTGACCTTGGAGTGTGCGCTGTCCAGTTGACTGGTTCCCCCTCATTCTTCCCCCCTCGTGCTGTCACAGGGTCGTATCCCAGCCCGTTATAATTCATATCGAAAAACTTCTTGAACCATTGTGCAAACTCAAAATTGTCTTGAAATTTCATTTTCAGCAATTTATCCACCGGAACTATCTGAAATACAAGAAACCGTTTTAATAAGTAAGAACGTCAACATGTGGACTGATAGGTCTGTTGTTTTTACCAAGCTAATTCAATAAAAAAATAATTGCATATTCATGTCCAAGATACATCAAAGGTCCATCTTGAAATACAACAATCTCCATTACAATTGATTCATGAAATATTCAGCACCATGGTAGCGGGTCAAAAGGTGTGTATGGTGTGACATTGCAGACGTAGACCAGTGTTACAATAGAGCTCTGGGATCCCAGGAGATCAATCACTTAAGTAATTAAACTATCGGACAAAAGAACACATACATCCATGTTTGATGGTGGCTAAAATGAAACAAACAGGAAATGGTTAATCGATGGTAATGTATTTGATTGGGGAATCGTTGTCTTTTTGAAAGTTCAAGTTTGCAGAGTTTCGGCGACTGTTTTCAACCTGATAACGTTTTGATAACTTTTGTAATGTGTTGGTCAAATTCAATTTTCAGGTGTAAACATTCATATGCCGGCAGTTTAGTTCATTTTTAAACCAGTCCATGCATGTGACACTGCGTCGACGTGTCACGACTGATTGTTCAGAAAACATCACTGTGGTGTAGAACTGACCTAGTTTCTAATTGCCACTCACTATCAGGGGTGGTTTCAGTGCTGGCTACTTGCTGAGAGATAGTGCTATTGACACATTTGAATTGTTTCAAATACTGGAACACCCACATCATTTGAAAACAACTTACAAACTACCTCGTGCATAATGAAAAAAGCCATTACTTAAATTAAACCAGGAGTGATTAAATTAGTGCTAGAGTCGGATAACGGTATTTCAGTTATATCTAGGCATGTCAACATGCTTAAAGTGTCACAGGGAATGTTTGCTACTTAATTAATTAGGAGACAAAATAACTGTGTTTTCAGTGTAGAGCCAATCTCATTAAAATCAGATCTTAGTTCTCGCTACCGCTAAACAGAGCGCTAAGTTGAATTTGAAACCGAACGTCACAGTCGGCTATGGAAAAGCGCCAAATGTGGTCCTTAAAAACTAAAAAAACACTCTTTCTCGATTTATAAAGCGTTATCTGGACAACATGTATTGCCGCGCATACTTTGATTATTGTAGTAGCCGCTAATCTGCATTTTGTAACTTATAACTGCATATATTATCATTCCAAAATGCCTGGCGACAATGACAGAAGAAGTACTATTCTATAAATAGTACATGTGATTTGATACCTCGATTGACCAATCGGAATCGAGAATTTTCCAAATTCATGACAGGGATTTAGTATGTCTTATAGGATTCACGAATTTCAAATTCTGTGCGCATCTATCCACACAGGGACACTTGAATCAGTAAGGCGGCAGTTCTTAAAACACGTACTGGTGTGTTATTCAGGTCGTGTGACTTTCACATGACCTCCACTACTTATCTAACCAATTTCGTGATCTCACTCTTCATCCCCATCACGTGACCTCACCTTGACTACCCCTATCACGTGACTCACCGCCATGTCTACCCAATCACGTGACTCCTCACCTTATCTACCCCCATCACGTGGAAACTGTTCTGGAGTTGTTTAAAGTTGCTGACGTACTCGTGTTCTAGTTTAGAGTTGAACTTTACTTTCCTCAGTGGTATGCAATCTTGAAAAACAAAAGACCACATTAAGTGCACAAGCGGGAGAAACTTGACCTACAAATATGACATGACGTAAGATATCTGGAATCACAATAAGGAAGATGTTAATTGTCTTGGTTTGTGTGTCGAGCGGGTTCTCCAAATTTGTGATCCGCTTAAAAATATTAGTGAAAATATTTATTTGTAAACTTCCTTAAACACGAATGATTAGTTATACAGTGATGCAAGCCCCATGTCGTGAAGGATACTCACGTGACCACATCATGTGCATCAGCTGGCAATAGGCGGCTCCTGGTGAAGAAACAAGAGTCAGTGAGTGAATTGGGTTTTACGCCGCAGCATTTCAGTTATATCACGGGTGTCGGCGTACTGAGAGGAATGCCTGAAGTGATGCAGGTCTCAGACGTTCACAACTTCAGTGTAACCCACGAGCACGGGTATGGTGCTGACAAACCTCGAAACATAATCAGGGCGAACCCGGATTCGAACCCACAATCATAGGGGGAAGGAAGAGCCTCTCAAACACGGACGTCTGGAAGTAGCAGGCTGCATCCTTGGCACCTCCTTTGACCTTCATCTTCATAACATTGGAGATGTATTAGTCTTCTCTCGGAATTATTTTTTTTTAAATTCAAATATATATAAATATATATATATATATATCGGTATTAATATCGGCTATATATACTAATATCGATATATTGTCTATGGTACCAGGACAATGGTGCTTCGCGGTGGTGGCATGTCGAAAGACGGAAGCAAATGTATTTTGCAAATGCTATGTATTTTACATGATTGATAATTCTTACACTAATTCTACAATATATATGTGTGAAAAAGTGTTCTTTGAAAATAATTACAAGCAGAATGATAGGAAACCTCGTGTGTATCTGCCATTCCTGATTAACGGCAGGGGTCATGTCATACACTAGTAGCCTGGCAAGCTTCCATGGCTAGTCAATGTTTTTTCCGGGGTATTATTCCATTTTCCCATGATATTATATCAATAAACAAAAATTTAAAAAATAAACTTTGGGCAGTGTTAACATGGCGCGTGGCTGATAATGAGTTGCATCTATTTTCCTTTCACCGATATATCATTTTCCATGATTTTCTTTCATGACTTTATAACAATATTCCATTTTCCAAAACTATTCAAGGTTTGGGAAACTCAAACTATACTTCCATGACTTTTCCAGGATTCAATCACCTGTATGCACTTTGTTGGCAGGTACGTGATTTACAGTATGTCACAAAGTAGGTTTTAGTACTTGAGATCGATTCATGGACGAAATATCACACTTGGTAAATTTGAATATTTATATACTCCTGAAAATTTCAAGAATATCTCATCACCAACATTTGTTTTCGCTTCTTGTCTTGTCAATAAATACACACGATAGACAACTGGCCTCAATGTTGTGAAAATAGATGACATCCTGTTTTCAGAGCTGCTATTGACATTTCTCCCCGTACCGTAGTTCTGCACTTTTCCTTTCGGGAGAAGCAGCATTCATGGCACTACGTACACCGGTATACTCCCCATGGAGCTGAGCATGCAGCATATATACAGTAAATGGATAAATGACATGCTTTTTGAGGAATCCGATGTTTAATAAGTGTATTACTATAATTTATATTATTTAATTGCTTTTTTTATTGCTTTTGTAGTAGTAGTAGTAGTAGTAGTAGTAGTAGTAGTAGTAGTAGTAGTAGTAGTAATAACAACAGTAGTAGTAGTAGTAGCAATAACAACAGTAGCAGTAGTAGTAGTAGTAGTAGTAGTAGTAGTAGTAGTAATGATAGCGGTGGTGGTCGTCGTTGTAGTTTGTTGGTTAACGCCGCACTCAGCAATATTCCGGAGGTCTGCGAATAATCGAGTCTGGACCAGACAATCCAGTGATTGACATGCGCATCGATCTACGTACTTGGAATACGATAACATGTATCAACCAAGTCAGCGAGCATCTTACGACAAGCATGGGTTGTACTAGTAGTAACGTTATTCATCATTATCATCATCATCATCCAAACAGATTTTATTGAAAGCGACATGTTTATTGCTTTTGAGGATTGTTACCGAGATCAGTATTGCCTTGTATTTACTACCCAACCATCATCAGCCGAGTCGACTCACGACTCATCACTGGCTGTAGTGTGTGTTGGGCGAATGAGGACTGTAGCTGTCTGCCCAGCACCTTATCGTGGCATATCATCACTTTCATGCTTCATCATCTGTTTCAGATAACACTTTCCGATATTACACAAATCTCAAAATCTCATTGGCAAGCGCCACCCACCTTGCAAACAAACACAGGGAACAGGTTGTCAACACAGCGTCCCATGGCATTATCCAGTAGATTAATCATTAGTAATAATGTCGATGTTCAGTGGAGTACAATTGCTGCCCACATGGCGTTTAGTATAATGTCGGTTTAATCGATGTAAACAATAGAGACGATCAGCGTTCTGCGGCAGGCATGTCGGACAACACACTTATACAGATATCATCATAGAAACTACTACTCATCCAGTTGATTTTCTTTACCAGGTAAATTGGTTAGGGTGTTTCAGATCGAAGTGTAGGGGGAGGGAAATACCATGTAGTAGGCCATACATACCATCTTAATGTAGTCCAAGATTGATTCATATGTGTAATGGACTGCCCACGTACGTCAGTGTACAATGCAGAACAAATGTCTTATTCCTCACGTAACGACAGGTCTTGGACTAACGCCGGGTCTAAGGGTATATAAGGCAAATTACGACGGAATTACGATGAAAATATAAGATATTGATTGAAATAATTCTTGACTAAAGAGATTTATGAAGAGATCATTGAACGCACGAGGCGTCCTCCTTACATGAATACATAAATGGCTGGCAACCACAGGACACTGATCTTGTACTATTTGAATCATCGATTGACTGTATTTAATATCACAACAGTGGTGCTTTCATAAGTGTTTACATAACATGAGCTTGTGAATACTGCTGCCAGACCGAGAAGGACCATGGCCGGAGTGAACTGGGTTAGCACCAGGCTGACCTCAGTCAGCTACCATACATCTTCCCGAGGCAAGGGAGGGCACTGAGTGTAAAAGTCCAGTTTCCACCCTTGCGAACTAGCCTGTAATTTCTGGGCTCGATCGTATCGCCACAAGTGGCTATTACGAGTTATGTCCCTTATTTGTCCCTCCTGTTGACCAATCAGATTCCACCTCTCATATCACTTGCATTTGCTTCAAACAAAATGGCGGCGCCCAGTCAAGAGGATGTGATAGATAATCAACATTTATGTTGTCATAAAACGGGTCATACTTCGCAAATCACGTGAGCACCTTGATTAAAAACATGAAAAGATTTCGAAAATATCTGTTGACGGCGAGTTGGCGGTATACATGCTTTGAAAATCCTGCAATCGACCGAAATCTGGACGGCAGTGTAACGGATGTCAATTTCGTTAAGCGATGTTGATTGACCTATGCACAGGCTCGTTAGTCCAGCGAAATTATAACTCCATAATTCCAGCCCAGTTCGACAAGGGTGGAAACTGGACTTTTTCGGTCCGTTAACTCCCTTGCCTCGGGAAGATGGCTACCGTATCATACAAGTGTATGCGAGGTTTAACGCCGCTTTAAACAATAACGGCTTAACATGGAAGCTCCAATGTGCCCCAGCCTTGGTGAAACCCTCCAGTCTAATTTTGGTGATTCAGGATTCGAACCCACGGATCTTGGAAGCAAAGGGCCTTAGACCACAGGGCCACCAGTACCTCCACCGCTCGCAGACGCTGCCTGTGTGTAGTACCTGTACCGAGTTGTTCCACCTTCGTGTAGTTGACCTTCAGGCTGTTGTTGACCCAGTCGAGGATGTCGTTACGGCTGATGTTGCTCACGTTGGTGTTGGTAATAAACACGTTGACAGCCATCGTGGCAGCGTTCACATAGAGGTCTTTTCAATGTTTCTGTGTGAGGTTGTAGTTCCCTGAAATGAAAAGAATTAGTTGACGATTGGATACAGACATAACCGATCTGGATTGTTAATGTTTTGAATTGAGATAATAAAGTGTTTGGTGCCTACATTCATTGTTGGTTTGTTGTGTAATGCCGCACTCCGCAATATCCCAGCTATATGACGGCGGAAAGTAAATAAACGAGTGTGGATCAGACAATCCAGTGATAATATCATGAGCATCCATCCACGTAATTTGGATACGATGACATGTGTCAACCAAGTCAGCGAGCCTGACCACCCGATCCCGTTGGTCGCCTCTTACGACAAACATAGTAATCCTTTTACGGCAAGCATGGGTTGCTGAAGACCTATTCTACCCCGGATCTTCAGGGATCTACACTCATTGTGATCAATAGACAGCCTACTAGGATATATCCGTATCCATATATCTTATCCTTATGTAACCTACAAGGGGACAAGTGACGTCATAAAGTCCACAAATGATTAATCCGGCACATCCATGTCTGCCTGTTTACATATTTGTTCCTTGTCATTTGGCAACGCATTGCCTGACGTGGTTTGCTAGCGCTAAACACAGAAGACACTGAAGCTAACAGTGGCCAGTCGATACCAGCACGGTAGTGACACGTCAGCCATGGTGACACTCCATGGTCAATATGCCATTGTACACTCTTATGTAACCATGCTTGAACATCGTAGTCAGTGAAGTGTGTGCTGCTACTGCAGATGGACTACTGGTCACAAGTGATGACTATTGATGGACTACTGGTCACAACCGATGACCATTGATGGACTACTGGTCAAAGGTGATGACTATTGATGGAAATACTGGTCACAACCGATGACCATTGATGGACTTCTGGTCACAAGTGATGACTATTGATGGACTACTGGTCACAACCGATGACCATTGATGGACTACTGGCCAAAGGTGAAGACTATTGATGGACTTCTGGTCACAAGTGATGACTATTGATGGACTACTGGTCACAAGTGATCACCTTTGATGGACTACTGGTCACAAGTGATCACCTTTGATGGACTACTGGCCACAAGTGATGATTATTGATGGACTACTGGTCACAACCGATGACTGTTGATTGACTACTGGTCAAAGGTGATGACTATTGATGGACTACTGGTCGCAACTTATGATCATTGATGGACTACTGGTCGCAAGCAGAGACCATATAATAGAGGGACGGCCCTCTAGCCTATGCGCGAAACCATCAGTGCTACGGCTTGTACTGCGCAGCCTGTCCGGAAGCGAGCAGAAACGCGTTCACTGCAGTCATCGTTGTTGCCTTTTTTTCCCATGCAAAAGATATATTTCACAATACAGAATTACACTCATGTATTTCTTATCATTGTTGACATTACAACTGAGATTTGTTGGTGCCCTAAAGCATGTCGTTGTCACTGTATTTGATGACTGTGATCACGCTTTGTCTTTGTCCGAGAGAACAAAATGGCGCGCATGTAAAATCGGCAAAAGTGCAGATCTTGATTTTCAATAACGGCCTCTAATTCGCAATGCAAGTCCTTGGTTACCTAGGTGTATAAAAAGGAGATATGTTAAAACATGGCTTAGTGCCATTTACAAATTTAGGGCGGATGCGAAATTTCAGATTTTGACTCCAGAAATGGGACTAAATCTGAATTTTCCCGAAATAATTACACCACAACTCTTAATTTTCGCATGCTTTCAGACGAATGTGTTCCTATTATCGGTCCTGAATTTAATAGTTTTACATTCATCACGATTTCCCCTTTGGCTTGGTACCAACGTTATTTAGGTACGATCGGTAGTTTTTTTGGTATGATTTTTGGCGCAAGGCCATATTTTACGTCACATATTTTAAGTTAAATTACCATATAGCAGACGACATAACATGCATTTTGTCTGTGATTATCATCCGCATATATCCTTTGAAACATTCTACAAAGTGACTTATATTGTATGATATTAGAATTTTTTTTGTAAAACGCATATTTCTTTTACCATTGCTTTCGCCATTTCTTCGTAAGTTTAACAGTGTTTCAGTTAGGCTTCTATCACATATCGCGCATATACTACATACTACAATACTGCATATCTGTTATCTTCTGTAGATTTTGTCTGTATAAATCATGACTACATTTAATCAATTATTTATTTTATGCCGTGTAAATATAGATTATGAGCAAAATGATATTGGCCTAAACCCAATCATAATAATATAAATATGATGAAGGTACTACTTACTTTGTGTATTTACACAACAATGAAAACATCATACAAAAATAAAAATCCGTTACATGAAATATTTGTATAATAAAATTATCATTTGCTTTGTAAATGCCAAGAAAGAAGAAGGATTATATCGGCAGTCGTCGGGAGAGAAGTTCCAGACAACAAGGTCGAAGGTGTCATTCAGTAAAATATATAAATGGTCTATTTTCCTTTTCTGTGAAAAATACATTTACATATGTCAGAGTTTGTTTTGTTTTAATAGTAATAGTTGCATGCTTCGTTCCTGGTTAGAGTTTAAAGTTTGTTTTTCATTGATCAATATAGAAAACTATGATGAAAGGATTTTGAAAACAACAAACGTTACTACAGTTTACGATATACTAGTACATATCTGGTACCATGCTCGTTGAAGCTATATTGTTATACCTGAAATACCTAATTATTTGTATGCTGAAATATCAATCTAATCGGGTAATATCGAATAACGATTGTAAAATTACAATCGTCCTCTTTGCTTTGGAATTTAACAGTAGCCTCCCTTTGAAAAAAAACTTACCTCGCTCCGGCAAACCCCATTATCACTGCTAGCCCCAAACTGGCATTAACCAATAACATTTGATTCTTTCGAAGCCCATTGTCGGACACATCGAAAATTCATTTAACAACGCTCGTAGTTTAATGTGTATTTCTAATTCATTGGAACTATTAGCATTATAAAATAGTAGCGAATTTACATGAAATAAAAACATTAATATGGCGTCATTTTTTTTCTGGCTAATAGTAAAGCATTTACACCAGTCGGTGATCATGCATTTTTGCAAGTAAATCTAGTCTGGACTTATTATAAGATATGAAGTTAATCTGGAGATATATTTTGTGAACATCGGGAATATGGTGATATGTTACAAGTGTCTTCCCTGCTTCTGGATGAGTTTTATTTACACTTCCTGAGTTCCTGTGCAATTTACCGGATCGTAGTTTTCTGTGGCGTTCGTAGTAGATTTGGTATATTTGTTTATTTATAATAGTTAACAATTGCAGCATAAAATGAGATATGTTAACTGATTTTTAAAACAAATAGAATACGTTATAAAATACTTTTGATATCGGAACGGCTTTTTCTTCATTCGCCCTCGAAAACTTACGCTTGTGGACAGACGTCATATTTTCATTTCCTATCTTTTTCTTTGAGTGAAACTTTTTGGGAGGTATTACCAACGGCTTGGTAGCGGTAACATCACTGTCATTCTATTTAGACCAAGAGTCATCCGAAACCAACCCCTGGTCGAAGAGAGGGAATTCTTCAAGTGGCATATCTAGGTCCAAAACGAAATCGTCCAAGTGAATGAAGTCGTCCATGGCTGTAGCGAATGTAAATTGAAAATAAATGTCCCGGAAGACACACATGTTCAGCAAATAATTTGCAGCCAACTGACATGTGCTAGTGAGAGATATCATAAAAAGAATCATTGTAATCCGCTAAGAGACGTCCTTTTATTGGATTGTCGCTGGTCGTAGTCGGAGAAATCTCGGCTAAGGGAATTAACTCTTACCCCGGATATTATGTAATATTGTTTACGTGGTTACCAGAATGGTCAGTCGTGAATGTCTGCGCATCTATTGCGCATCTGCAGCGGTACAGGGAGGTTAACAGCAGGGTGTCGGGGTGTATCAGTTACATGCCAGACCGTAGCGCTGATGGTTTATGATAAGCTGTTGGGGAGGGCCGTCCCTCTATTATATGGTCTCTGTCGCAAGTGATGATTATTGATGGACTACTGGTCACAACCGATGACCATTGATGGACTACTGGTCAAAGGTGATGACTATTGATGGACTTCTGGTCACAAGTGATGACTATTGATGGACTACTGGTCTCAAGTGATGACCATTGATGGACTACTGGTCACAAGTGATAACCATTGATATACTACTGGTCGCAAGCGATGACTATTGATGGACTACTGGTCAAAACTGATGACTATTGATTGACTTCTGGTCACAAGTGATGACCATTGATGGACTACTGGTCACAGGTGATGACCACTGATGGACTACTGGTCGCAATTGATGACCATTGATTGACTTCGGGTCACAACTGATGACCTTTGATGGACTACTTGTCGCAGGTGATGACCACTGATGGACTACTGGTCACAACTAATGACCATTGATTGACTACGGGTCACAACTGATGACCTTTGATGGACTACTTGTCACAGGTGATGACCACTGATGGACTACTGGTCACAATTGATGACCATTGATTTCCTACTGGTCACAACTGATGACTTTTTATGGACGACTGGTCACAACCGATGAGCACTGATGGACTACTGGTCACAAGTGATGAACATTGATGGACTACTGGTTGCAAGTGATGATTATTGATGGACTACTGGTCACAAGTGATGACCACCAATGGACTACTGGTCACAACCGATGACCATTGATGGACTACTGGTCACAGGTGATGGCCATTGATGGACTACTGGTCACAACCGATGACTATTGATGGACTACTGGTCACAAGTGATGACCACCAATGGACTACTGGTCACAAGTGATGACCATTGATGGACTACTGGTCACAAGTGATAACCATTGATATACTACTGGTCGCAAGCGATGACTATTGATGGACTACTGGTCAAAACTGATGACTATTGATTGACTTCTGGTCACAAGTGATGACCATTGATGGACTACTGGTCACAGGTGATGACCACTGATGGACTACTGGTCGCAATTGATGACCATTGATTGACTTCGGGTCACAACTGATGACCTTTGATGGACTACTTGTCGCAGGTGATGACCACTGATGGACTACTGGTCACAACTAATGACCATTGATTGACTACGGGTCACAACTGATGACCTTTGATGGACTACTTGTCACAGGTGATGACCACTGATGGACTACTGGTCACAATTGATGACCATTGATTTCCTACTGGTCACAACTGATGACTTTTTATGGACGACTGGTCACAACCGATGAGCACTGATGGACTACTGGTCACAAGTGATGAACATTGATGGACTACTGGTTGCAAGTGATGATTATTGATGGACTACTGGTCACAAGTGATGACCACCAATGGACTACTGGTCACAACCGATGACCATTGATGGACTACTGGTCACAGGTGATGGCCATTGATGGACTACTGGTCACAACCGATGACTATTGATGGACTACTGGTCACAAGTGATGACCACCAATGGACTACTGGTCACAAGTGATGACCACCAATGGACTACTGGTCACAGGTGATGGCCATTGATGGACTACTGGTCACAACTGATGACCACTGACGGACTACTGGTCACAAGTGATGGCCATTGACAGACTACTGGTCGCAAGTGACACGTCAGCTATGGTGACACTCCATGGTCAATATGCCATTGTACACTCTTATGTAACCATGCTTGAACATCGTAGTCAGTGAAGTGTGTGCTGCTACTGTTGATGGACTACTGGTCACAAGTGATGACCATTGATGGACTACTGGTCACAAGTGATGACCATTGATGGACTACTGGTCGCAAGAGATGATCATTGATGGAAATACTGGTCACAAGCGATGACTATTGATGGACTACTGGTCACAAGTGATGAACATTGATGGACTACTGGTCGCAAGTGATGATCATTGATGGACTACTGGTCACAAGCGATGACTTTTGATGGACTACTGGTCACAAGTGGTGACCATTGATGGACTACTGGTCACAACTTATGACCATTGATGGACAACTGGTCACAACTGATGACCATTGATGGACTACTGGTCACAGGTGATGATTATTGATGGACTAAAGTCACACGTGATGACCATTGATGGGCTACTGTCACAACTGATGACCATTGATGGACTACTGGTCACAAGCGATGCCTATTGACGGACTACTGGTCACAAGTGATGAACATTGATGGACTACTGGTCACAAGTGATGACCATTGATGGACTACTGGTCACAACCGATGACTATTGATGGACTACTGGTCAAAACTGATGACCATTGATGGACTACTGTTTACAGGTGATGACTATTGATGGACTACTGGTCACAAGTGATGATCATTGACGGACTACTGGTCACAAGTGATGGCCATTGACAGACTACTGGTCGCAAGTGACACGTCAGCTATGGTGACACTCCATGGTCAATATGCCATTGTACACTCTTATGTAACCATGCTTGAACATCGTAGTCAGTGAAGTGTGTGCTGCTACTGTTGATGGACTACTGGTCACAAGTGATGACCATTGATGGACTACTGGTCACAAGTGATGACCATTGATGGACTACTGGTCGCAAGAGATGACCATTGATGGAAATACTGGTCGCAACTGATGACCATTGATGGACTACTGGTCGCAAGCGGTGACTATTGATGGACTACTGGTCACAAGTGATGAGCATTGATGAACTACTGGTCGCAACCGATGACCATTGATGGACTACTGGTCACAGCTGATGACCATTGATGGACTACTGGTCACAGCTGATGACCATTGATGGACTACTGGTCACAAGTGATCACCTTTGATGGACTACTGGTCGCAAGTGATCACCTTTGATGGACTACTGGTCACATCTGATGACCATTGACGGACTACTGGTCACATCTGATGACCATTGACGGACTACTGGTCACATCTGATGACCATTGACGGACTACTGGTCACATCTGATGACCATTGACGGACTACTGGTCGCAAGTGATGACCACCGATGCACTACTGGTCACAACTGATGACCATTGACGGACTTCTTGTCACACGTGATGACCATTGATGGGCTACTGTCACAAGTGATGACCATTGACGGACTACTGGTCGCAAGTGATGATTATTGATGGACTACTGGTCACAGCTGATGACCTTTGGTGGACTACTGGTCACAGCTGATGACCTTTGGTGGACTACTGGTCACAACTGATGACCATTGATGGACTAAAGTCCCACGTCGCCGTATAAGTGCAAACCGCATTTCACCTCAACCCACATATATGGGATTAGTTCAAATGCGTTGCCAGGAATTAAAAAACAGCTGATCGCAAATACAGCGTTGATACTGGCAGTGTTATCAGATACAGACAAATATTTCCTTCTGCTTCAGGATGAGGCAATCAATGCTTTAATTAAGAGACAATCGAAGTTCAATGGTTTTCAGTATTAACATTTCTAGCGGTACACAGAAACGATCTTTGTGCGTGTGACACGGTAATTCTTGACAAAAAATACATGTGTACATAATAGAGACGCCCTTACGTCATCAACATGGGCTCATTAATGAAATCTTTGAATTAATTCGTTATGACATTAACTTAAACGTCAACATATCCCTCAGTGGACTGTCACTGTACATGTGATAGGATTTAGGTTAGCCAGTGCCAGCGAGCTCCCTGGTGTTTAAGCCCTAAGTGACGATAATGATCCCTCTACAGTGCCTGGTTGTTGGATGGTATTTGTCTAATTGATTCTCACTACTCCGTGTCCAAAAGAAGCCGATATTGATTAGCTGTATTCGGTGAAGTTGATTTGGACATGTGAAGAAGCATATATACGCATGTGACGACATCAAAGTTATAGCGATTGAATAATACGTATGGCCGGTCTCGGGCAACGCTAGGTAGCAAAGATGTTGTATTTAACAACTATGGCGTACTGTTTGCCCGTTGTGGGTGAGGGCCGTGCGCTCATCGATGGAGTGTCAACACAGTGCCAGCGAGTGCCGGCGGGTGCCAGCGAGTGCCACACCCAGCCTGGCTGTGTTTAGACACTGGGCCATTGACCAATCACTTAATTAGCTCTGCCGGTTGGTACGAAACAAATAAAGCTGACACAGAAAGAAATTATGCGAATTCTAGTTATTAGAATAAACACGGTTGGACTTGAAATAGATACGACTATTTTACTCAATTGGCAAAATATTTGTGACGAGAAAGAGTGAATATATAAAAGTAATTATGAATTTGAAACATCTGATTTCATAAAATCATTTTCTTTAAGACCAGATATTTATCGCTTTACAGTTTAAATTACATATTTAGTGGGTATTAGTATTTAATCATGTCTAACTGTAAGGTGTACGATGTATCTCACAACTGAATTTCACCAGTGGTGATTATATTGGAAGCAGTGACGTAATATCCCTTTAAAGCCTCTTAAACTCTGCCTCTTTGTCTCTGATGAAGGAGATCGAAATAAGGACGTCGCGTATTTCCATGTTGGCCTGTACTGGATATATAAATATATATATATATATATATATATATAGAGAGAGAGAGAGAGAGAGAGAGAGAGAGAGAGAGAGAGAGAGGGGAGGGGGGGGGAGAGATAGGGATAGATAGATAGACAGATAGATAGATAGATAGAAAGATATAGATAGATAGATAGATATGTGGTCTGGGCAACTGTCTGTCACTGTGGTTGAATTCCTAGATTCAAACATCGACCATACGGAATCTACATTGCTCCTACATTGCGACAGATGGACGTCCCCCATTGTTGTCAGTCACGTGACGCGTTAAGAAAATAACTAACATACAATACACAATATGCATATATGAATATGTATTACAAAAAAAAAGAATTCTGGAAAGAGAATTATATTTACAATAGTCATACAGCTTTGGATAATAAATATTATGATGCTACAATTTTGAAAGTGTTCATACTTGATACTTGCAGTTACATTGGAAAGCAAAAGTCACCATGATGACTGTTAGATATTCAATGGAATTAATAAATTCGTGATTTCCAGTCGTGACATGTGGCGGAATGTCGACAGCTTGTGTACTGAGCGAGTCCAATACAACCATCATTAAGGCTTGCCTCTTTGCACAACATCGATGACGGTATAGAAACATACCTGATTTCTATCTGAACGATTTATTTCCTGTGGCGACGCTTGGTGCAGATTAAGAAATAAGTTGTTCAAAATATCTCAAAAGGGTTCGGAATTCGGAACGAAAGATGAATGTAATTGAAAATTTTCAAGGTCAATCTTTAGAACATTCATGAGTAATATAAGCTATACCTGTTGTTGGTGTGAGGTTATGCAACAATGATTGGGTAAATGGCAACTGAACTATATATTGCCCTTCATATACTAGCCTTAAATAGATTTGAATTAAAGACATGAAAACAACGCCTAGAATAGGTTTTAGGTTTGTTACAAAAGATTTCCACTGAACCGTGTGTAATGCGTTTACGAGATGCAATGTCTAATTTCAGTAGCGTTTACGAAGGAAATAAAACTATTTTGTTCCAAATAATCGAAAAATGATTGCTGCCACTATATCCAAAGCTGTATAAACGTGTTACAAAATACATTTGTCATGTTTAAAGTTGTATATCTGAAAAAAGGAACAAGCGACCAATTTGTTTCAAATGATCAGAAAGAGAATTGATGTGATGAAATCCAAGGTGTTAAAACAGCTTGTATGAGATCCCTGTCAGATTTCATCAAGAGATCTGCATCATGGAAACAGGTAGGGAGATGAAGTTCAGATGTGGATTTTTACATACCTTATGTGATATGCAAGATGTAGGTGGAGTCTCCCCGCTTTGGACGACCACGTCTCTGTGTCGTCGCGACGTCTCACGTGAACAGCAGTAGAGGTAGAAGTCGCCCGATCACTTGTATATTGATCTCTAACGCCGTTACCGCTGGCCTCGTTATAACGACGGCTATAACTGTATCAATTTGTTGTAATGCCCCAGCGAACTAGAATACAGGTATGAATCATTGAATAGTTTGAGTGTCATATTCCTATTCCGTTAAAAACCTTATATCAACTTCACTATCAGAAGATGCGGTTGTTGTATGACGCCATGGTTATAAGCTCTGTCGGGCGGATAAAAGTACCTTAACGATTTGTGATCATGATAAATAACTATTGACATTAATCGAAGTGTTTAGTAATGGATGATGTTTAAAGTTGACGTCATACATGACAGAAAGGCTAGGTTTCTATGGGTGAGTGAGTATGGTTTTACGCCGCTTTTAGCAATATTCCAGCAATATCACGGCGGGACACAAAAAATGGACTTCACACAATGTACCCATGTCGGGAATCGAACCCGGGTCTTCGGCGTGATGAGCGAAAGCTTGAACCACTAGGCTACCCGACCGCCCCAGGTTTCTATGGACTTAAATGCCTCAAGCGAACGCCTTTGCTACCTCCCTATCTTGTGTTCACCAAAGAGGACGCCATATGCCAGGTATACGTGATTAAGACAGTGTCAGACAAGGCATTCATTTCAACCAGCCAGCGTGTTTGGTCAGGTAATAACGTCATTTCTTTCACGGTAGGTCAACGTATTCATTCACATAGAACAATGAGTGGTCATCTTTTCAGGAAATGAGTACTTGTAGGTTACAAAAAGCCAATATTCTAAATTTAAGATGTAGTTGGTCGATCAAGAAAGGGGAACAGTACACAACGTTATAGTTATCGGGCGGGGCGGAAGCCTAGTGGTTAAAGCGTTCGCTCGTCACGCTGAAGGCCCGGGTTAGAAGAGATGCTGGTCTCAGACGTGTACCAAAACCCACGAGGACGGGTATGGTGCTGACAAACCTGGAAACAATCGGGGCGAACCGGGATTCGAACCCACGATCATATGTTTCTGGCGTGCCAAAGGGACGCAACTCTGCACAGCGGATTTCGACGCACCTGTGCCCACCTCTCACTCAGTGAAATATATTTACTAGCATCTTCATTAAGACGATTGTACAGAGGGAAAGGTGAGAGAGTGAGTGTATCAGTTTGGGGCAGGTTAACGAAGTATAAGCAGATTAACGTTTACCATGTTGGAGAACCTCACGTGCACGTTGATGGCACCGTTGAACATAATCGGGGCGAATCTGATTTGAACAACTGAGCCTCTCTTTGGTTTAGACGTGAAGCAAAGCACAGACTATGACCCCAGTCGGTCAATAGTGCTGTATCGATGTATCGCTGATATGGGGCAGGCAGTACTGCCTAGAGTCGTCAGTGGACCACGGTGCACGAGAACCTCATATCACTATGATACAACCATTATGTGTCAGCATCTGTGGCTGGAAGCGCTAGGCAAATATTTGTTTGTTTATAGTCAGATGTGTAGTTAGTTACTTTTCATACTTGTCACGACTGGTCGATGCAAACAGCATTTCGTTATGAGTATGTATGGTTCAATGTTGGACGGCTATGGGCAAACATTAATGTAACAGAAAGGACGTTGATGTAGATTCGACTCATGGGTTTACAGTCCACTTTCTGTCGAACCTTCAAGGTGAGGTGAAATTGGGTTTAACGTCGCGTCCAAGATTATTGCACTTATATAGCGACATACATGCACGTGTGTGTGTGGTTGCTTGTACGTAGAGGGGAATGTCCGAGTAACTCTCCATTCCTTAAAAATAATGGAGCAGAGGCCCCGCAGGGGCCGAGGCCCATTATTTTTAAGGAATGGAGAGTTACGAGGATATTCCCCTACTTAAAACCCATCCCTACTTTTACACTTTGACAAAATATTCTGTAGTTGAATATATTTGAAAAATTCAAATGCTGCTTCAAGATAATGTACAGTTGACAAGCAACTCTCCATTCCTGAAAAATAATGGAGCGTTCAAACAATAGAATGACGTCACAGATGTGTTTTGATAGACCGGACTGATGCCGATTTATAGTGCTAACCCACTGAGATACCATGCCGCAGTTTAACATGAATACCCCACTCAGACACAGTATACTGACTCCGAGCCGACCAGTCCTTGCTTTAACCCCTTAATGCCGAGCGCCAGACAGGGTACGACAAGTACTATCTTTATACGTCTTTTGGTATGAGGCGGCCGGGGATCGAACCCCTGACCTTCCGCTCTCCGGGCGGACGCTCTACCACTAGACCACGGAGGCGGTCCGAACCTTCAAGAATAAAAACTTGCAAAGAGGTCTCGTTTCTGAAATATTCTATCGTCATTATCGCGATTAAGACCCTTTGTCTGTCAGCATCACCCCGTGGTTTTCACTACCTGCGTCACTTCCGGTTATAACGTAGACATAACTGAAATACTGTTTATAGCTACGATAAACCAAGCAGTCGGCGGTTGTCGGGATGCAATCTATACACACATCGGATATATAGATGTCTCGGTTTTCGCGAATGATATGACACACGGAGCTCCGAAGATGACTTCCGGTCTTGGTTTTGATTGGACGACTGCGGATATTCGACCACGTGTGGTGGTCCTCGTAGGAAACCGGCTTAGACTTATTAGAATAGGTCACCAGTAGCCCATGCTTGTCGCACGGTGACATTACAGGTACGGTTGACAGATGTGTGAAGACACCACACCTCTGTAGGTTCTCGGATCACTCCTCAGAACGAAGTGATGCCTCCACATCCACGCCTATGCGATCTTGCAATACGATCCAACATTAACTGTAGAGCAAAGATACCGCTGTGACCATGACACCATGTAGATTTTTCACATCTGATTTGGGGACATGAGATGCTCTGTGTAACTGAATCGTTTTGTTAGTTTTTGACTCCCAAGCCGTGAACTCAGTTCTTCGAGTGTCCTGACTCAGATGTCCATCGATTAACTCTTTCGGTGCAATTACTCAAGTAGGAGCCTATATCTTAGCCAGGTGAAGAACGTTCAAACAAACTGGAATCGACAAATGCATACAAACTCCTTAGAAGTTCCAACGTAGCATATGAACATCATACAGTTATTGCTTATTGATCTTTATGGATTAATATACAAGTCTAACATGTCTACAATGTGTGTTGGTGTGTATTCTACTCTCGGTCCTGACAAAGTCAAATATCCGCTCTTCGCTCTTTTCTCTGCTGCCACGGAACGAGTTTTACAGCGCTTTTGGCAATATTCCAATACACGTGGGGATCGAACACGTGTCTCCGTACGACGAGTCAGTCCCTTAGCTACTAACGTTCCTTGACGCTTTGTTATCACAGACCCACTTGTTATGTGGCAGTAGCGATTGTGGTAAGGTTATGTGTAGTGATTGTCGGTGGAAGCAAATGATTGAAACGCTCGTAAAATATCGAGTGATGTAGTGGCGGATTAAAACAGGAAGTGTGTTTTAGAGTAACCTCCCTTGGTTGTTGAAACATACTGATCGTTCGTGATGTGATAGTTTCTAGAGTGCCGGCTGTACATATAAAAGAGCCAGACGTTGAAAATTCGAAGCCTTTGAGTCTTATCTCTTGCCAAGTGCGGATTGGAACTCTTCCGGGTTCTAAAACGGAGCACGCCCTCTGAAAAGACAGTCGACAATGACAAATTCTGGACATTTGTGTGTGCACCTATTGTGTTATGATTGTAAATTTAAAACTGTGTGTTTCAATTTGTTGATTATTAGTTTCTGCTCTCTCATACATGTGTGATAACTGCAATGATTTACCCTTTTCGGATGAACTCCTGTCAGGTGAGATCACTGAAAAAGAGGTCACTGACGCTATCAATAACCTGAGTCCGCAGTTGAAGATGGGATACCATCTGAATTCTTTAAACTACCATCGGATCTCTTTGCACCATACTTGAAGTTATTGTTCAATAAGATTTTAGAAATGGGTGTGTTTCCAGAATCTTGGAATATAAGTATGATTATTTCATTATATAAATCTGGGTCAGTTTGTGAACCAAGTAATTATAGAGGCATTTCACTACTAAATGTTATGGGAAAAATCTTCACGTTTGAGAATATGGATGGAAGTAAATGATTTACTGTCCGAGTCTTAAGCAGGGTTCCGACCAAATTTCTCTACTGTTGATAACTTGTTTGTTTTACAAGCTCTTTGTTATAAATACTTGTGCAATACAGACGTCGCTTTTATGGTGTATATGATTTTAAGAGCTTTTGACAATGTTAATAGGAATAATTGATGTATTTACTTATTACTAAAGGATGTCATGGTAAAATGTCTGTACTTTTAAAAAACATGTGTGCATCAGTCAGCGCATGTATATATAATACGGACTGTTTTACAACATCCTCCGGTGGTACGACAAGGTTGTGTTTTAAGTTCGTTGTTTATATTCTTCATAAATGAACTTGCTATAGAGCTGCAAAATAGTTGCCAACATGGGATTTTTGTAACATAATAGAAATAATGGACATTATGCTCCTTCTCTTTGCTGATGATGTTGTCATTTTTCCTATTCTGTAAATGGCTTACAAAAACAGTTAAATGTGTTTCAGAGTTACTGTTCAAAATAGAGTCTTGACGTAAATCTGAATAAAACCAATGCTGTAGTTTTTAGAAAAGGTGGTATTGTTGCAAAACATGAAAAGTGTTTTCTTGATTCGTCTGCCTTGAGTGTAGTCACTTACTATAAATATTTATGTCTTATGTTCTCCTCTAGATTGTCATGGTCTATAGCATATAAGCAATTAGCTGTTCAGACGTCGAAAGCCATAATGCCTCTTTTTAATTTATTCAGGAAAAATAGTTGTGTGTCTTTTTTCACAGCATGTACCATTTTTTAAGGCAAAATTATGCATATACTTTTGTATGGTTCTGAAATATGGGATGCTAAGTATAACGCTGCAGTTAAAAAAGTTCCCACTTCATATTTCAAATGATTTCTGTGTTCCTTTATAA